GCTTTCTACTGCAGGCTCAGAGTACACCAAGACAAATCTGAATGAACGGTTTCATTTTCTTACATTAGGCTTTGAGATCTTAGTGTTTAACATAGTCAGAAAAATAGGAATAAGGCCAAAGGTAGTCTTCTGAACATTATATTCATGGCACCATCATGTCAACCTTAAAAAAAAAAAACCAAAAAAAAAAACACTCAAATGTTTCTCTAGGTGTCATGGATTCATGTTCAGGGTACCTGTCAGTGGATTTTATGGTCCAGTGGTCTGAATAACGCCATCTGCTGGACCTTTAGACTTGATACCAGAGTGGAATTTAACTGAAAAGCACCAATTGTGTCCAATGTTGTGTTTGACTTTCTTGGTGCTTAAGCATGTCATGCAGATATGAAAATTCCATGAAAATAAAAAGCATTTTACCATTGAAGAGTGCCGAGGACCATTTTGTTGGTTTTCAGTTCAAACACTAGCTCAGCAGGTCATTTCCCATCCAAAGCGGTTGTCGTGGGGTTCTCACTCAAACAATCAAAATATAGTGGAAAAACACAGGTGTAGTTGGAGAAATAAGGTGATGGTGATATTTAATGACAGCTGGCCTTCCAAGGTGCAGTGCAAAAACATAAAAAAAAAAAAAAAAAAAAGGTCAAATAGTATTTACAAAATGTACAAGGCAAAAAAGGAAAAAAAAAAACAAGGCAGGAGTTCCATTAATGACTCAAGAAAAAAAAAGAGAATAGAAAAAATATAAAACAGAAACACAGCAGCACTCCAAAAGTCACTTTAGCAGTTACCGTCCAAGCAACAAACTCCAAACTTAGAGAAAGGCCCAGACGGCCTTTTTTTTTTTAAACCCCCCAGCCCCTCCCAGTGTGTCTTATTAATCAAATAAGTTTGGAAAAAACTCATTTATTCACATTTAAACTAAACACACATCAATGGAGCATTAATCTTTAGGGATTCATGGCAAACAACAAGGGAATCCATTTTTCTTGCATCATATGATCACTTTGACCCTCCATACCCACTTGAAGGCTCTGTATGCTCATTTGGAAACATGATCCTGCATGATGGCGCTAATGAGTGGACGCCCGGCAACTAAGTGGAGGGATGAATATCTATGTGAATGTATGTTAAAAGGTAACTGATGGGGCTCAAATTTTACACCCTTTGTCACCATATTCAACAGAGAAAGGAGAAGGAAAAGTATCACTGTTTAGTGGGTAATCGGCGACGCTGGCGGGGAAGGAAATTTTTGGCGCCTATGTAGGTGCAGGCCTATGTGCGTTTGGCTCCATGTGCTGCCCGCAGTCAGCGAGGAAACGTTGAAATGGTAGAAATATTTCCAATGTTAAATTATTGGTAATGTTTCCACATAAAAATGGCTGATAGAAAGCTGGAACGATCGTTTTCGAAGGGGAACGATTTTTACCATTTCCCCCTCATCACCCCTCAACTCGAGTACTGACTACATTCACACATTACCACAAATCAATCAAGTAGGTGACAAACAAGTAACACAACAGCGAGTTTAAAGTTTGCTGAGCCCTTACCTGCACTCCAGACGAAGGTGTTGGTTCCTCTCAGTTGAACTAACCGTTGTCTTCCGGTGACCCTCTTTTAAACCCTGTGACCCCTCCCACGGGCGTTATTAATTACATAATTTTAAACAAACCAACTTTTTCTCATCTTCTAAAAGCAGTTTCTACCCCTAAACTCTTATTCCAACCGCATTCAGTTTTTTTACACTTATAGATTCACTTTATCTCAACCATAGGCTGTTTTTAATCATATTTGTTAATTTCTGAACCACCTGACCGTCATTTCGTATTTACTCAGAGGAAGTTCGCCGCCTCGGTTTCCTGGATTTCACCTGCGGCCGGTCTCGGCGTGGCTTGGGAATCTGCGCCGCACCTTGAGGTTTGAGTGAATACAGATGTTCAGATGTAAATGTATATTTGATGGCTGAGATTCCCGATTGTGGTCGCGTTATTAAATCGGATTTGAACAGTAGTGTGATGGTTAAGATAACGGTCGAATTATGCGTCCATTTCGCATTCTGCGTCCATTCTGCTCTGCCTCAATGTATCTCCAGTGAACCAATTCTCCAGTATTCCAAACCACCACCATTTCTTGATGTATAATTTTTTTTCAAGATAGTTTAAGTCCCTGTAATACCTATTTAACATGAAATGTGTTAATGGCATTTGAATATGCACTGCATAAAGTTTTATTTAGCCATACAAACTGATTTTTTCCAGTAGCACCAAGCCACGAAATCCAGCCCTTCTCAAGTTAATGCATTTTAATACTGTTTCTGTTGCATTTAGATTGTGGGGTGGGAATTAGGGGTTGGGATGTGGTAAATTTGGGTATTCCTTGTTAGGGCCCGAGCGTAGCTGCTAAGCAGCTGCGAGGCCCTATTATTCCTGTAGTGGTTTTTCTTTGTTAGGGCCCGAGCGTAGCTGCTAAGCAGCTGCGAGAGCCCTATTATTCCCCAAGCGGTTTTTCTTTGTTTCTTTGTTTCTTTCTTTAGGGCCCGAGCGTAGCTGCTAAGCAGCTGCGAAAGCCCTCTTGTTCCTGATGGATTCTTCTTTAGGGCCCGAGCGTAGCTGCTAAGCAGCTGCGAGAGCCCTATTGTTCCTGATGGATTCTTCTTTCTTCTTCTTCTTCTTCTTCTTATTAGGGCCCGAGCCAGCTGCAGAGCAGCCGGGCGTAGAGCCCTATTATTCCCCAAGTGGTTTTTCTTTGTTTCTTTCTTTCTTTAGGGCCCGAGCCAGCTGCAGAGCAGCCGGGCGTAGGCCCTATTATTCCCCAAGTGGTTTTTCTTTGTTTCTTTCTTTAGGGCCCGAGCGTAGCTGCTAAGCAGCTGCGAGAGCCCTCTTGTTCCTGCATGTTTCCTTCTTTTGTTATTAGGGCCCGAGCGTAGCTGCTAAGCAGCTGCGAGAGCCCTATTATTCCCCAAGTGGTTTTTTAGGGCCCGAGCGTAGCTGCTAAGCAGCTGCGAGAGCCCTATTATTCCCCAAGTGGTTTTTCTTTGTTTCTTTCTTTCTTCTTTTTCCTCCCCTTTGAACTGGAAAATGGCCCACTTCCCACTGGCGAAAACTCATGAAATTTGGCAGGATGACCGGGCCTGGTGAAAAATTTGATATTCCGAAGTCGCCCAAACAAGAAAATGCAAAATGGCTCCATAGCGCCCCCTAAGGTGAAAATTCACACTATTGACTGTCACGCCTTTACGCTTTGTCAAAATGACACAAAAATTGACACACATATGTATCTCAATAAGATCTACAAAAAAGTCAGTGCGGGCGTATCTGTCAAATGTACGGTTAAAGGGTTATTCCGCATTTTTTGCCGAGCCGCACACATTGGAATTTCGCTAACTCCTCCGAAGGCTTTCTTTCCACCGGCACCACATTTGCTCAGGCCAATCTACACCCCATGGCCATTAAAAGTTATTCAAATCATGACGCTGCACCCCACGGTTTAGGTTCTAGGGGGCGCCAAAGATAACCCTAAAATCCACATATTTAAAAGTCTTATAACTTTTTATTTTTGCCCTCACTGGCCTCCAAGTTTTCTAGGATGATGCAATGTCCAGCCATCAAAACATTTGTGAAGGAATTTTTACTCCCCAAAAGAGCGCCCCCCCATGGCCGGAGAAAAAAGTCCATTTTTTCTTGTCCCCTAAGGTGAAAATACACATTGTTGAGTGTCACGCCTGTACGCTTTGTCATATTGACACAAAATTTGACACACACATGTATCTCAATAAGATCTACGAAAAAGTCAATGGGTGCGTATCTGTCAAATGTACGGTTAGAGGGCTATTTTGCATTTTTTGCCGATTCGCACACATTGGAATGTGGCTAACTCCTTCTAAGGCTTTCGTCCCACTGAAACCAAATTTGCTCAGGCCAATCTACACCCCATGGCCATTCAAAGTTGTAAAAATCATGACGCTGCACCCCACGGTTTACGTTCTAGGGGGCGCCAAAGATGACCAAAAAATCCACATTCTTAAAAGAATCCACATTCTCCCCCCCCCATGGCAGGAGAAAAAGTCAAGTTTTTCCTGCCCATCGCTCAATGGCTCAATCGCATCGCTCTCCAGGCAACACCATAACGAGGAGCAACCTGCCATTTGGATATATCCCAGCTGTGTTTGTGCCCTCACTCATGGTCCAGACTTTTTTCAAATAGGACATGAAGTTTGTCTGCAGCGAGTGTTTTGGTAGAAACTGCGCCTCCCATTCATTATAATGGGAAATGACCACAGACAAGTGCGCACACCATCTTTGGACCTTGAGTGTGACGCGATCGGGAGGGGGAGGCGGTCACGCTGGGGGCGGCACAACGCGGCTCGGGCCCGACAGTGCCCCACCGGGGCCCTAGTCTTTGTTTCTTTTTAGGGCCCGAGCGTAGCTGCTAAGCAGCTGCGAGAGCCCTATTATTCCCCAAGTGGTTTTTCTTTGTTTCTTTTTAGGGCCCGAGCGTAGCTGCTAAGCAGCTGCGAGAGCCCTATTATTCCCCAAGTGGTTTTTCTTTGTTTCTTTCTTTCTTTCTTTCTTTCTTCTTTTTCCTCCCCTTTGAACTGGAAAATGGCCCACTTCCCACTGGCGAAAACTCATGAAATTTGGCAGGACGACCGGGCCTGGTGAAAAATTCGATATTCTGAAGTCGCCCAAACAATAAAATGCAAAATGGCTCCATAGCGCCCCCTAAGGTGGAAATTCACACTATTGACTGTCACGCCTGTACGCTTTGTCATATTGACACAAAAATTGACACACATATGTATCTCAATAAGATCTACGAAAAAGTCAATGCGCGCGTATCTGTCAAAATTACGGTTAAAGGGTTATTTCGCATTTTTTGCCGATCCGCACACATTGGAATTTCGCTAACTCCTCCGAAGGCTTTCGTTCCACCGGCACCACATTTGCTCAGGCCAATCTACACCCCGTGGCCATTAAAAGTTATCAAAATCATGACGCTGCACCCCAAGGTTTAGGTTCTAGGGGGCGCCAAAGATAACACTAAAATCCACATATTTAAAAGTCTTATAACTTTTTATTTTTGTCCTCACTGGCCTCCAAGTTTTCTAGGATGATGCAATGTCCAGCCATCAACACATTTGTGAAGGAATTTTTACTCCCCAAAAGAGCGCCCCCCCATGGCAGGAGAAAAAAAGTCCATTTTTTCTTGTCCCCTAAGGTGAAAATACACATTGTTGAGTGTCACGCCTATACGCTTTGTCAAAATGACACAAAAATTGACACACACATGTAACTCAATAAGATCTACGAAAAAGTCAATGCGCGCGTATCTGTCAAATGTACGGTTAAAGGGTTATTCCGCATTTTTTGCCAATCCGCACACATTGGAATTTCGCTAACTCCTCCGAAGGCTTTCTGTCCACCGGCACCACATTTGCTCAGGCCAATCTACACCCCATGGCCATTAAAAGTTATTCAAATCATGACGCTGCACCCCACGGTTTAGGTTCTAGGGGGCGCCAAAGACAACCCTAAAATCCACATATTTAAAAGTCTTATAACTTTTTATTTTTGTCCTCACTGGCCTCCATGTTTTCTAGGATGATGCAATGTCCAGCCATCAACACATTTGTGAAGGAGTTTTTTCTCGTTAAAAGAGCGCCCCCCGTGGCAGGAGAATAAAGTCAAGTTTTTCCTGTTCATCATTCAATGGCTCAAACGCACTGCTCTCTCGGCAAAAGCGAAAGGAGGAGCAACTTGCCATTTGGATATATCTTAGCTGTCTTTGTGCCCTCACTCATGGTCCAGACTTTTTTCAAATAGGACATGGAGTTTTTCTGCAGCGAGCGTTTTGGTAGAAACTGCGCCTCCCGTTCATTATAATGGTAAATGACCACAAACAAGTGCGCACACCATCTTTGGACCTTGAGTGTGACGCGATCGGGTGGGGGAGGCGGTCGCGCTTGGGGCGGCGTGACACGGCTCGGGCCCGCCAGTGCCCCAACGGGGCCCTAGTTTCTTTTTCCTCCCCTTTGAACTGGAAAATGGCCCACTTCCCACTGGCGAAAACTCATGAAATTTGGCAGGACGACCGGGCCTGGTGAAAAATTTGATATTCCGAAGTCGCCCAAACAATAAAATGCAAAATGGCTCCATAGCGCCCCCTAAGGTGAAAATTCACACTATTGACTGTCACGCCTGTACGCTTTGGCAAAATGACACAAAAATTGACACACACATGTATCTCAATAAGATCTACAAAAAAGTCAGTGCGGGCGTATCTGTCAAATGTACGGTTAAAGGGCTATTTCGCATTTTTTGCCGATCCGCACACATTGGAATTTCGCTAACTCCTCCGAAGGCTTTCGTTCCACCGGCACCACATTTGCTCAGGCCAATCTACACCCCATGGCCATTAAAAGTTATTCAAATCATGACGCTGCACCCCACGGTTTAGGTTCTAGGGGGCGCCAAAGATAACCCTAAAATCCACATATTTAAAAGTCTTATAACTTTTTATTTTTGCCCTCACTGGCCTCCAAGTTTTCTAGGATGATGCAATGTCCAGCCATCAACACATTTGTGAAGGAATTTTTACTCCCCAAAAGAGCGCCCCCCCCATGGCAGGAGAAAAAAGTCCATTTTTTCTTGTCCCCTAAGGTGAAAATACACATTGTTGAGTGTCACGCCTGTACGCTTTGTCAAAATGACACAAAAATTGACACACACATGTAACTCAATAAGATCTACAAAAAAGTCCATGCGCGCGTATCTGTCAAATGTACGGTTAAAGGGTTATTCCGCATTTTTTGCCGATTCGCACACATTGGAATTTCGCTAACTCCTCCGAAGGCTTTCGTTCCACCGGCACCACATTTGCTCAGGCCAATCTACACCCCATGGCCATTAAAAGTTATTCAAATCATGACGCTGCACCCCACGGTTTAGGTTCTAGGGGGCGCCAAAGATAACCCAAAAATCCACAGTCTTAAAAGTCTTATAACTTTTTATTTTTGTCCTCACTGGCCTCCAAGTTTTCTAGGATGATGCAATGTCCAGCCATCAACACATTTGTGAAGGAATTTTTACTCCCTAAAAGAGCGCCCCCCATGGCAGGAGAAAAAAGTCCATTTTTTCTTGTCCCCTAAGATGAAAATACACATTGTTGACTGTCACGCCTGTACGCTTTGGCAAAATGACACAAAAATTGACAATCATGTGTATCTCAATTAGATCTACGAAAAAGTCAAAGAGCGCGTATCTGTATAATGTACGGTAAAAGGGCTATTTTGCATTTTTTGCCGATTCGCACACATTGGAATTTCGCTAACTCCTCCTAAGGCTTTCGTCCCACTGACACCAAATTTGCTCAGGCCAATCTACACTCCATGGCCATTCAAAGTTGTAAAAATCATGACGCTGCACCCCACGGTTTACGTTTTAGGGGGCGCCAAAGATGACCCAAATATACATTACAGTAGACAAAGTAGTTTTGCCCACTGAGTGGCGCCAAAGGGACTTGTCTGTGGAGTCTGTGAGTCACTATTGGCCGTTTTTGACTACTTTAGATTTTACCTTTATATTTCCTCTTACAAAATTTTTACCTTGCCTTGCCTGGTATCATTTTTTTCAGCACAACCTCACCTGTGTCAATTTACAGTTATTTTATCATTTTGACATACTATATTTACACATTGGACCCAAATTCACACACAAAACATAAAATCCGAGTGGAAAAAAGTAACGTTTTTACTGTGAAAACCACAAATATGTGTGATGAACTGTTTTTAAAACTTAAACTTCAAATTAAAATTGTAAACTTCAAAACATATGCAAATTTTTAACAAAGAACATAGTAATTTACCTCTATTTACATCAAAATGCAGGCAATGGCCCAGGCGTTCTTTGTAAAATTATTTACAAAACACTGTATAGTCTCACAAATGTCACTTTTTATTTATGCCACTACAAAAAAACATGATGTAAATGATGCATGATGTAAAACATGATGTAAAAAACTTGTGTAGATCCTCCTCTATGTCAGTCCATGTGTAATTTTTCCATAATTCTTTGTTTTTTGCAGCAATTTTGTTAGTGTAACTGCAGATTGTGCTGACAGTGTCTATGGCACAAAAAAAAAAAAAATTAAAATGCCTCAACATGAACCCCTGGTGGTCTCTGAGGGTGAAACCTGCTAACTGCTGCAGCTCTGTCAGCTTCAGTCTCCCATGCAGAGCTCTGAGCGCATGTGTGGCTCTGCACCCTTAGCAGCGTTGCTAACTCCTCAGTAAGGAAAGCCTGCTTCATGTCAGAGTCTCTAAACTCCAGAAGAAGTCGATAAAAGTCCCTTTCTTTCTAAAAAAAAGTCGTTAGGGGGTCTGAAAAGTCATTGAATCTAACAACAAAGTCGCTAGGTTTGCAACTACGTGTCCCAGACTGCATCCCTGCTGAGAGTCCCTCCCTCCCTTCTCATGTTGCAGGAAGAACGTAAGCGCCCGCCCCTTGTCAATCAGTCACCATATAATTTTGGATTGGTTGTTGTGGTGAAGTTTTCCACCAATAGGAGAGATGTTGTGGTGTGTTTTTTTTTTCTTTTGGCAAGCCTTTTCCGCCTGTAAGACCTGTCGCTAATGTCTGCATGCTATGTTTTCCTGTCTCATACAGCGCGATCGAGCGCCGAACGTGATCAAAATAAGCAGAAAAAAAGTATCGCGGACATAATTTATCATAACTCTGGTTTTATTTGGCCTATCAACACAATTTAAAAACTGGTATATAGGTTGAGGTCCTCACTTTTGAGATAACTTGAAACGGAGAGTCAACGAGGCTCCGTCTTGCAGCTACATCCGGGTAAATATGTCATGTGACTTGAACGCACACATAGACACACACACGCACACACACACACACACACACACACACACACACACACACACACACACACACACACACACACACACACACACACACAGAGTCTGGTTTTTAGCACCTGCAAAAACATGCTATTTACATTTTTGACAAGAATGCAGAGGCTCCTTTTGCCCCTGAAAAAAATCAAATTTCAAACACAACTTGACTGGTCATTTCTCCAAAAGACAACCATGAAGCTCCATCCAAACCTGAAGCAGGCAGTTGGTGCATGTGTACAGTAACCTGAGGGGAGTGAGGGGAGTGCTTCTGAGGAGAACATGAGCAGTGAAGATTCACCTTGGAGCTAGAACAGAGACATGCACATGATTATACAGGGGCAGGGGCTCAAGTTTTTTCCAGTCGTTTATACAATATGGAAATTAATGTGAAATTAAAACACAAAGTATTAATAGAAAGGTAATGACTGTCCTGTGTAGGTGACAGTGATATCCAATAGGCTAGGCACTCACGAGGCTGGCTGTGGCAAGTGTAAGTGAAAGCAACACGCACTGGCAGGAAGAACAGCAAACGCCGATGAAGGAAAAGGGTCTTTGCAGTGATGGGCGTTACCAGAGAGGGCAATGGCCAGAGGACACAAATGGGACGGGGAGGCAGCACGTTGGGGGGGGGACGCAACACGGCTCGGGCCCGCCAGTGCCCCAACGGGGTCCTAGTTCTTTCTTTCTTTCTTTCTTTCTTCTTTTTCCTCCCCTTTGAACTGGAAAATGGCCCACTTCCCACTGGCGAAAACTCATGAAATTTGGCAGGACGACCGGGCCTGGTGAAAAATTCGATATTCTGAAGTCGCCCAAACAATAAAATGCAAAATGGCTCCATAGCGCCCCCTAAGGTGAAAATTCACACTATTGACTGTCACGCCTGTACGCTTTGTCATATTGACACAAAAATTGACACACATATGTATCTCAATAAGATCTACAAAAAAGTCAGTGCGGCCATATCTGTCAAAATTACGGTTAAAGGGTTATTTCGCATTTTTTGCCGATCCGCACACATTGGAATTTCGCTAACTCCTCCGAAGGCTTTCGTTCCACCGGCACCACATTTGCTCAGGCCAATCTACACCCCGTGGCCATTAAAAGTTATCAAAATCATGACGCTGCACCCCAAGGTTTAGGTTCTAGGGGGCGCCAAAGATAACACTAAAATCCACATATTTAAAAGTCTTATAACTTTTTATTTTTGTCCTCACTGGCCTCCAAGTTTTCTAGGATGATGCAATGTCCAGCCATCAACACATTTGTGAAGGAATTTTTACTCGCCAAAAGAGCGCCCCCCCATGGCAGGAGAAAAAAGTCCATTTTTTCTTGTCCCCTAAGGTGAAAATACACATTGTTGAGTGTCACGCCTATACGCTTTGTCAAAATGACACAAAAATTGACACACACATGTAACTCAATAAGATCTACAAAAAAGTCCATGCGCGCGTATCTGTCAAATGTACGGTTAAAGGGTTATTCCGCATTTTTTGCCGATACGCACACATTGGAATTTCGCTAACTCCTCCGAAGGCTTTCGTTCCACCGGCACCACATTTGCTCAGGCCAATCTACACCGCATGGCCATTAAAAGTTATTCAAATCATGATGCTGCACCCCATGGTTTAGGTTCTAGGGGCGCCAAAAATAACCCAAAAATCCACATTCTTAAATGTTTTATAACTTTTTATTTTTGTCCTCACTGGCCTCCAAGTTTTCTAGGATGATGCAATGTCCAGCCATCAACACATTTGTGAAGGAATTTTTACTCCCCAAAAGAGCGCCACCCCATGGTAGGAGAAAAAAGTCAATTTTTTCTTGTCCCCTTACATAAAAATACACATTGTTGAGTGTCACGCCTGAACGCTTTGTCATATTGACACAAAAATTGACAATCATGTGTATCTCAATTAGATCTACGAAAAAGTCAAAGAGCGCGTATCTGTATAATGTACGGTTAAAGGGCTATTTTGCATTTTTTGCCGATTCGCACACATTGGAATGTGGCTATCTCCTCCTAAGGCTTTCGTCCCACCGATACCAAATTTGCTCAGGGCAATCTACACCCCATGCCCATTCAAAGTTGTAAAAATCATGACGCTGCACCCCACGGTTTACGTTCTAGGGGGCGCCAAAGATGACCCAAAAATCCACATTCTTAAAAGTCATTTTGGCCACTGCAGGAGTACAGAGTACTGCAGTTCTAGGGGGCGCCAAAGATGACCCAAAAATCCACATTCTTAAAAGTCTTTTTGGCCACTGCAGGAGTACAGAGTACTGCAGGATACACACACATATACACACACGCCAACATACACACACACACACACACACACACACACACTCAGAGTCTGGTTTTTAGCACCTGCAAAAACATGCTGTTTACATATTTGACAAGAATGCAGAGGCTTCCTTTTGCCCCTGAAAAAAATCAAATTTCAAACACAACTTGACTGTTCATTTCTCCAAAAGACAACCATGAAGCTCCATTTCAAACCTGAAGCAGATAGTTGGTGCATGTGTACAGTAACCTGAGGGGAGTGAGGTGACTATTTCTGAGGAGAACATGAGCAGTGAAGATTCACCTTGGAGCTAGAACAGGGACGTGCACATGATTATACAGGGGCAGGGGCTCAAGTTTTTTCCAGTCATTTATACAATATGGAAATTAATGTGAAATTAAACCACAAATATGTGTGATGAACTGTTTTTAAAACTTAAACTTCAAATAAAAATTGTAAACTTCAAAACATATGCAAATTTTTAACAAAGAACATAGTAATTTACCTCTATTTACATCAAAATGCAGGCAATGGCCCAGGCGTTCTTTGTAAAATTATTTACAAAACACTGTATAGTCTCAAAAATGTCACTTTTTATTTATGCCACTACAAAAAAACATGATGTAAATGATGCATGATGTAAAACATGATGTAAAAAACTTGTGTAGATCCTCCTCTATGTCAGTCCATGTGTAATTTTTCCATAATTCTTTGTTTTTTGCAGCATTTTTGTTAGTGTAACTGCAGATTGTGCTGACAGTGTCTATGGCACAAAAAAAAAAAAAATTAAAATGCCTCAACATGAACCCCTGGTGGTCTCTGAGGGTGAAACCTGCTAACTGCTGCAGCTCTGTCAGCTTCAGTCTCCCATGCAGAGCTCTGAGCGCATGTGTGGCTCTGCACCCTTAGCAGCGTTGCTAACTCCTCAGTAAGGAAAGCCTGCTTCATGTCAGAGTCTCTAAACTCCAGAAGAAGTCGATAAAAGTCCCTTTCTTTCTAAAAAAAGTCGTTAGGGTGTCTGAAAAGTCATTGAATCTAACAACAAAGTCGCTAGGTTTGCAACTACGTGTCCCAGACTGCATCCCTGCTGAGAGTCCCTCCCTCGCTTCTCATGTTGCAAGAAGAACGTAAGCGCCCGCCCCTTGTCAATCAGTCACCATATAATTTTGGATTGGTTGTTGTGGTGAAGTTTTCCACCAATAGGAGAGATGTTGTGGTGTGTTTTTTTTTTCTTTTGGCAAGCCTTTTCCGCCTGTAAGACCTGTCGCTAATGTCTGCATGCTATGTTTTCCTGTCTCATACAGCGCGATCGAGCGCCGAACGTGATCAAAATAAGCAGAAAAAAAGTATCGCGGACATAATTTATCATAACTCTGGTTTTATTTGGCCTATCAACACAATTTAAAAACTGGTATATAGGTTGAGGTCCTCACTTTTGAGATAAGTTGAAACGGAGAGTCAACGAGGCTCCGTCTTGCAGCTACATCCGGTTAAATATGTCATGTGACTTGAACGCACACATAGACACACACACACGCACACACACACACACACACACACACACACACACACACACACTCAGAGTCTGGTTTTTAGCACCTGCAAAAACATGCTATTTACATATTTGACAAGAATGCAGAGGCTCCTTTTGCCCCTGAAAAAAATCAAATTTCAAACACAACTTGACTGGTCATTTCTCCAAAAGACAACCATGAAGCTCCATCCAAACCTGAAGCAGGCAGTTGGTGCATGTGTACAGTAACCTGAGGGGAGTGAGGTGAGTGCTTCTGAGGAGAACATGAGCAGTGAAGATTCACCTTGGAGCTAGAACAGAGACATGCACATGATTATACAGGGGCAGGGGCTCAAGTTTTTTCCAGTCGTTTATACAATATGGAAATTAATGTGAAATTAAAACACAAAGTATTAATAGAAAGGTAATGACTGTCCTGTGTAGGTGACAGTGATATCCAATAGGCTAGGCACTTACGAGGCTGGCTGTGGCAAGTGTAAGTGAAAGCAACACGCACTGGCAGGAAGAACAGCAAACGCCGATGAAGGAAAAGGGTCTTTGCAGTGATGGGCGTTAACAGAGAGGGCGATGGCCAGAGGACACAAATGGGACGGGGAGGCAGCACGTTGGGGGGGGGGGGGGGGACGCGACACGGCTCGGGCCCGCCAGTGCCCCAACGGGGTCCTAGTTAGGGCCCGAGCCAGCTGCAGAGCAGCCGGGCGTAGAGCCCTATTATTCCTGTATAGGTTTTTAGGGCCCGAGCGTAGCTGCTAAGCAGCTGCGAGAGCCCTCTTGTTCCTGCATGTTTCCTTCTTTCGTTATTATTTTTCCTCCGCTTTAAACTGGAAAATGGCCCACTTCCCACTGGCGAAAACTCAGGAAATTTGGCAGGACGACCGGGCCTGGTGAAAAATTCGATATTCTGAAGTCGCCCAAACAATAAAATGCAAAATGGCTCCATAGCGCCCCCTAAGGTGAAAATTCACATGACGGCTGTACGCTTTGTCATATTGACACAAAAATTGACACACACATGTATCTCAATAAGATCTACAAAAAAGTCAGTGCGGGCGTATCTGTCAAATGTACGGTTAATGGGTTATTTTGCATTTTTTGCAGATCTGCACACATTGGAATTTCGCTAACTCCTCTGAAGGCTTTCGTTCGACCGGCACCACATTTGCGCAGGCCAATCTACCCCCCATGGCCATTAAAAGTTGTACAAATCATGACGCTGCACCCCACGGTTTACGTTCTAGGGGGCGCCAAAGATAACCCAAAATCCACATTCTTAAAAGTCTTATAACTTTTTATTTTTGTCCTCACTGGCCTCCAAGTTTTCTAGGATGATGCAATGTCCAGCCATCAACACATTTGTGAAGGAATTTTTACTCCCCAAAAGAGCGCCCCCCCATGGCAGGAGAAAAAAGTCCATTTTTTCTTGTCCCCTAAGGTGAAAAAACACATTGTTGACTGTCACGCCTTTACGCTTTGTCATATTGACACAAAAATTGACACACACGTGTATCTCAATACGGTCTACGAAAAAGTCAGTGCGGGCGCATCTGTGAAATGTACGGTTAGAGGGTTATTTCACATTTTTTGCAGATCTGCACACATTGGAATTTCGCTAACTCCTCCGAAGGCATTCATTCCACCGGCACCACATTTGCTCAGGCCAATCTACACCCCATGGCCATTAAAAGTTGTACAAATCATGACGCTGCACCCCACGGTTTACGTTCTAGGGGGCGCCAAAGATAACCCTAAAATCCACAGTCTTAAAAGTCTTATAACTTTTTATTTCTGTCCTCACTGGCCTCCAAGTTTTCTAGGATGATGCAATGTCCAGCCATCAACACATTTGTGAAGGAATTTTTACTCCCCAAAAGAGCGCCCCCACATGGCAGGAGAAAAAAGGCCATTTTTTCTTGTCCTATAAGGTGAAAATACACATTGTTGAGTGTCACGCCTGTACGCTTTGTCATATTGAAACAAAATTTGATAATCACGTGTATCTCAATAAGATCTACGAAAAAGTCAATGCGCACGTGTCTGCAAAATGTACGGTTAAAGGGCTATTTCGCATTTTTGGTTGATTCGCACACATTGGAATGTGGCTAACTCCTCCTAAAGCTTTCGTTCCACCGGCACCAAATTTGCTCAGGCCAATCTACACCCCATGGCCATTAAAAGTTGTACAAATCATGACGCTGCACCCCACGGTTTACGTTCTAGGGGGCGCCAAAGAGGACCCAAATATCCACATTTTTAAAAGTCTTATAACTTTTTATTTTTGTCCTCACTGGCCTCCAAGTTTTCTAGAATGATGCAATGTCCAGCCATCAACACATTTGTGAAGGAATTTTTTCTCCCCAAAAGAGCGCCCCCCCATGGCAGGAGAAAAAGTCAAGTTTTTCCTGCCCATCGCTCAATGGCTCAAACGCATCGCTCTCTCGGCAAAACCGAAAGGAGGAGCAACTTGCCATTTGGATATATACTAGTTGTGTTTATGCCCTCACTCATGGTCCAGACTTTTTTCAAAAAGGACATGGAGTTTGTCTGCAGCGAGCATTTTGGTAGAAACTGCGCCTCCCATTCATTATAATGGTAAATGACCACAGACAAGTGCGCACACCATCTTTGGACCTTGAGTGTGACGCGATCGGGAGGGGTAGGCGGTCGCGCTGGGGGCGGCGCAACACGGCTCGGGCCCGCCAGTGCCCCAATGGGGCCCTAGTTAGGGCCCGAGCGTAGCTGCTAAGCAGCTGCGAGAGCCCTCTTGTTCCTGATGGATTCTTCTTTCGTTATTTTTCCTCCGCTTTAAACTGGAAAATGGCCCACTTCCCACTGGCGAAAACTCAGGAAATTTGGCAGGACGACCGGGCCTGGTGAAAAATTTGATATTCTGAAGTCGCCCAAACAAAAAAATGAAAAATGGCTCCATAGCGCCCCCTATGGTGAAAACTCACCTGACGCCTGTACGCTTTGTCAAAATGACACAAAATTTGACACACATGTGTATCTCAATAAGATCTACAAAAAAGTCAGTGCGGGCGTATCTGTCAAATGTACGGTTAAAGGGCTATTTCGCATTTTTTGCCGATCCGCACACATTGGAATTTCGCTAACTCCTCCGAAGGCTTTCGTTCCACCGGCACCAAATTTGCTCAGGCCAATCTACACCCCATGGCCATTAAAAGTTGTACAAATCATGACGCTGCACCCCACGGTTTATGTTCTAGGGGGCGCCAAAAATAACCCAAAAATCCACATTCTTAAAAGTCTTATAACTTTTTATTTTTGTCCTCACTGGCCTCCAAGTTTTCTAGGATGATGCTATGTCCAGCCATCAACACATTTGTGAAGGAATTTTTACTCCCCAAAAGAGCGCCCCCACATGGCAGGAGAAAAAAGTCCATTTTTTCTTGTCCCCTAAGGTGAAAATACACATTGTTGAGTGTCACACCTATACGCTTTGTCATATTGACCCAAAATTTGACAATCACGTGTATCTCAATAAGATCTACGAAAAAGTCAATGGGCACGTATCTGTAAAATGTACGGTTAAAGGGTTATTTCGCATTTTTTCCCGATCCGCACACATTGGAATTTCGCTAACTCCTCCGAAGGCTTTAGTTCCACCGCCACCAAATTTGCTCAGGCCAATCTACACCCCATGGCCATTAAAAGTTGTACAAATCATGACGCTGCACTCCACGGTTTAGGTTCTAGGGGGCGCCAAAGATAACCCAAAAATCCACATTCTTAATAGTCTTATAACTTTTTATTTTTGTCCTCACTGGCCTCCAAGTTTTCTAGGATGATGCAATGTCCAGCCATCAACACATTTGTGAAGGAATTTTTACTCCCGAAAAGAGCGCCCCCCATGGCAGGAGAAAAAAGTCCATTTTTTCTTGTCCCCTAAGGTGAAAAAACACATTGTTGACTGTCACGCCTATACGCTTTGTCAAAATGACACAAAATTTGACACACACGTGTATCTCAATAAGATCTACGAAAAAGTCAATGGGCACGTATCTGTAAAACGTACGGTTAAAGGGCTATTTCGCATTTTTTGCCGATTCGCACACATTGGAATGTGGCTAACTCCTCCTAAGGCTTTCTTCCCACCAACACCAAATTTGCTCAAGCCGATCTACATCACATGGCCATTCAAAGTTGTAAAAATCATGCCGCTGCACCCCATGGTTTACGTTCTAGGGGGCGCCAAAGATGACCCAAATATCCACATTCTTAAAAGAATCCACCCCCCCCCCCCCCCCAAGGCAGGAGAAAAAGTCCAGTTAACCCTGCCCATCGCTCAATGGCTCAATCGCATCGCTCTCCTGGCAACACCGTAAGGAGGAGCAACTTGCCATTTGGATATATCCTAGCTGTGTTTGTGCCCTCACTCATGGTCCAGACTTTTTTCAAATAGGACATGTAGTTTGTCTGCAGCGACCGTTTTGGTAGAAACTGCACCTCCCATTCATTATAATGGGAAATGACCACAGACAAGTGCGCACACCATCTTTGGACCTTGAGTGTGATGCGATCGTGAGGGGGAGGCGGTCGCGCTGGGGGCGGCGCGACGCGGCTCGGGCCCGACAGTGCCCCACCGGGGCCCTAGTTATTATTTTTCTGCCCCTTTGAACTGGAAAATGGCCCACTTCCCACTGGTGAAAAGTCATGAAATTTGGCAGGACGACCGGGCCTGGTGAAAAATTCGATATTCTGAAGTCGCCCAAAAAATCAAATGCAAAATGGCTCCATAGCGCCCCCTAAGGTGAAAAATTCACATGATTGAGTGTCACGCCTGTACGCTTTGTCAAAATGACACAAAATTTGACACACACGTGTATCTCAATAAGATCTACAAAAAAGTCAGTGCGGGCGTATCTGTCAAATGTACGGTTAAAGGGCTATTTCGCATTTTTTGCCGATCCGCACACATTGGAATTTCGCTAACTCCTCCGAAGGCTTTCGTTCCACCGGCACCAAATTTGCTCAGGCCAATCTACACCCCATGGCCATTAAAAGTTGTACAAATCATGACGCTGCATCCCACGGTTTACGTTCTAGGGGGCGCCAAAGATAACCCAGAAATCCACATTCTTAAAAGTCGTATAACTTTTTATTTTTGTCCTCACTGGCCTCCAAGTTTTCTAGGATGATGCAATGTCCAGCCATCAACACATTTGTGAAGGAATTTTTACTCCCCAAAAGAGCGCCCCCCATGGCAGGAGAAAAAAGTCCATTTTTTCTTGTCTCCTAAGGCGAAAATTCACACTATTGACTGTCACGCCTTTACGCTTTGTCATATTGACACAAAAATTGACACACACATGTATCTCAATAAGATCTACAAAAAAGTCAGTGCGGGCGTATCTGTCAAATGTACGGTGAAAGGGCTATTTCGCATTTTTTGCCGATCCGCACACATTGGAATTTCGTTAACTCCTCCGAAGGCTTTCGTTCCAAAGGCACCACATTTGCTGAGGCCAATCTACACCCCATGGCCATTAAAAGTTGTACAAATCATGACGCTGCACCCCACGGTTTACGTTCTAGGGGGCGCCAAAGATAACCCAAAAATCCACAGTCTTAAAAGTCTTATAACTTTTTATTTTTGTCCTCACTGGCCTCCAAGTTCTCTAGGATGATGCAATGTCCAGCCATCAACACATTTGTGAAGGAATTTTTACTCGCCAAAAGAGCGCCCCCCATGGCAGGAGAAAAAAGTCCATTTTTTCTTGTCTCCTAAGGCGAAAATACACATTGTTGACTGTCACGCCTTTACGCTTTGTCAAAATGACACAAAATTTGACACACACATGTATCTCAATAAGATCTACAAAAAAGTCAGTGCGGGCGTATTTGTCAAATGTACGGTTAAAGGGTTATTTCGCATTTTTTGCCGATCCGCACACATTGGAATTTCGCTAACTCCTCCTAAATCTTTTGTCCCATCGGCTTCAAATTTGCTCAGGTCAATCTACACCCCATGGCCATTCAAAGTTGTACAAATCATGACGCTGCACCCCACAGTTTACGTTCTAGGGGGCGCCAAAGAGGACCCAAATATCCACATTTTTAAAAGTCTTATAACTTTTTATTTTTGTCCTCACTGGCCTCCAAGTTTTCTAGGATGATGCAATGTCCAGCCATCAACACATTTGTGAAGGAATTTTTCTCCCCAAAAGAGCGCCCCCCATGGCAGGAGAAAAAGTCAAGTTTTTCCTGCCCATCGCTCAATGGCTCAAACGCATCGCTCTCTCTGCAAAACCGAAAGGAGGAGCAACTTGCCATTTGGATATATACTAGCTGTGTTTGTGCCCTCACTCATGGTCCAGACTTTTTTCAAATAGGACATGTAGTTTGTCTGCAGCGAGCGTTTTGGTAGAAACTGCGCCTCCCGTTCATTATAATGGGAAATGACCACAGACAAGTGCGCACACCATCTTTGGACCTTGAGTGTGACGCGATCGGGAGGGGGAGGCGGTCGCGCTGGGGGCGGCGCGACGCGGCTCGGGCCCGACAGTGCCCCACCGGGGCCCTAGTTTCTTTTTAGGGCCCGAGCGTAGCTGCTAAGCAGCTGCGAGAGCCCTATTATTCCCCAAGTGGTTTTTCTTTGTTTCTTTTTTCTTTTTCCTCCCCTTTGAACTGGAAAATGGCCCACTTCCCACTGGCGAAAACTCATGAAATTTGGCGGGACGACCGGGCCTGGTGAAAAATTTGATATTCCGAAGTCGCCCAAACAAGAAAATGCAAAATGGCTCCATAGCGCCCCCTAAGGTGAAAATTCACACTATTGACTGTCACGCCTGTACGCTTTGTCAAAATGACACAAAAATTGACACACACATGTATCTCAATAAGATCTACAAAAGAGTCAGTGCGGGCGTATCTGTCAAATTTACGGTTAAAGGGTTATTTCGCATTTTTTGCCGATCCGCACACATTGGAATTTCGCTAACCTCTCCGAAGGCTTTCGTTCCACCGGCACCACATTTGCTCAGGCCAATCTACACCCCATGGCCATTAAAAGTTATTCAAATCATGACGCTGCACCCCACGGTTTAGGTTCTAGGGGGCGCCAAAGATAACCCTAAAATCCACATATTTAAAAGTCTTATAACTTTTTATTTTTGCCCTCACTGGCCTCCAAGTTTTCCAGGATGATGCAATGTCCAGCCATCAACACATTTGTGAAGGAATTTTTACTCCCCAAAAGAGCGCCCCCCCATGGCAGGAGAAAAAAGTCCATTTTTTCTTGTCCCCTAAGGTGAAAATACACATTGTTGAGTGTCACGCCTGTACGCTTTGTCAAAATGACACAAAAATTGACACACACATGTATCTCAATAAGATCTACAAAAAAGTCAATGCGCGCGTATCTGTCAAATGTACGGTTAAAGGGTTATTCCGCATTTTTTGCCGATTCGCACACATTGGAATTTCGCTAACTCCTCCGAAGGCTTTCGTTCCACCGGCACCACATTTGCTCAGGCCAATCTACACCCCATGGCCATTAAAAGTTATTCAAATCATGACGCTGCACCCCACAGTTTACGTTCTAGGGGGCGCCAAAGATAACCCAAAAATCCACATTTTTAAAAGTCTTATAACTTTTTATTTTTGTCCTCACTGGCCTCCAAGTTTTCTAGGATGATGCAATGTCCAGCCATCAACACATTTGTGAAGGAATTTTTACTCCCCAAAAGAGCGCCCCCCCATGGTAGGAGAAAAAAGTCAATTTTTTCTTGTCCCCTTACATGAAAATACACATTGTTGAGTGTCACGCCTGAACGCTTTGTCATATTGACACAAAAATTGACACACACATGTATCTCAATAAGATCTACAAAAAAGTCAAAGAGCGCGTATCTGTATAATGTACGGTTAAAGGGCTATTTTGCATTTTTTGCCGATTCGCACACATTGGAATGTGGCTATCTCCTCCTAAGGCTTTCGTCCCACCGATACCAAATTTGCTCAGGGCAATCTACACCCCATGCCCATTCAAAGTTGTAAAAATCATGACGCTGCACCCCACGGTTTACGTTCTAGGGGGCGCCAAAGATGACCCAAAAATCCACATTCTTAAAAGTCATTTTGGCCACTGCAGGAGTACAGAGTACTGCAGTTCTAGGGGGCGCCAAAGATGACCCAAAAATCCACATTCTTAAAAGTCTTTTTGGCCACTGCAGGAGTACAGAGTACTGCAGGATACACACACATATACACACACGCCAACATACACACACACACACACACACACACACACACACACACACACACACACACAGACACACACACACACTCAGAGTCTGTTTTTTAGCACCTGCAAAAACATGCTGTTTACATATTTGACAAGAATGCAGAGGCTTCCTTTTGCCCCTGAAAAAAATCAAATTTCAAACACAACTTGACTGTTCATTTCTCCAAAAGACAACCATGAAGCTCCATTTCAAACCTGAAGCAGATAGTTGGTGCATGTGTACAGTAACCTGAGGGGAGTGAGGTGACTATTTCTGAGGAGAACATGAGCAGTGAAGATTCACCTTGGAGCTAGAACAGGGACGTGCACATGATTATACAGGGGCAGGGGCTCAAGTTTTTTCCAGTCATTTATACAATATGGAAATTAATGTGAAATTAAACCACAAATATGTGTGATGAACTGTTTTTAAAACTTAAACTTCAAATAAAAATTGTAAACTTCAAAACATATGCAAATTTTTAACAAAGAACATAGTAATTTACCTCTATTTACATCAAAATGCAGGCAATGGCCCAGGCGTTCTTTGTAAAATTATTTACAAAACACTGTATAGTCTCACAAATGTCACTTTTTATTTATGCCACTACAAAAAAACATGATGTAAATGATGCATGATGTAAAACATGATGTAAAAAACTTGTGTAGATCCTCCTCTATGTCAGTCCATGTGTAATTTTTCCATAATTCTTTGTTTTTTGCAGCATTTTTGTTAGTGTAACTGCAGATTGTGCTGACAGTGTCTATGGCACAAAAAAAAAAAAAATTAAAATGCCTCAACATGAACCCCTGGTGGTCTCTGAGGGTGAAACCTGCTAACTGCTGCAGCTCTGTCAGCTTCAGTCTCCCATGCAGAGCTCTGAGCGCATGTGTGGCTCTGCACCCTTAGCAGCATTGCTAACTCCTCAGTAAGGAAAGCCTGCTTCATGTCAGAGTCTCTAAACTCCAGAAGAAGTCGATAAAAGTCCCTTTCTTTCTAAAAAAAAGTCGTTAGGGGGTCTGAAAAGTCATTGAATCTAACAACAAAGTCGCTAGGTTTGCAACTACGTGTCCCAGACTGCATCCCTGCTGAGAGTCCCTCCCTCCCTTCTCATGTTGCAGGAAGAACGTAAGCGCCCGCCCCTTGTCAATCAGTCACCATATAATTTTGGATTGGTTGTTGTGGTGAAGTTTTCCACCAATAGGAGAGATGTTGTGGTGTGTTTTTTTTTTTCTTTTGGCAAGCCTTTTCCGCCTGTAAGACCTGTCGCTAATGTCTGCATGCTATGTTTTCCTGTCTCATACAGCGCGATCGAGCGCCGAACGTGATCAAAATAAGCAGAAAAAAAGTATCGCGGACATAATTTATCATAACTCTGGTTTTATTTGGCCTATCAACACAATTTAAAAACTGGTATATAGGTTGAGGTCCTCACTTTTGAGATAAGTTGAAACGGAGAGTCAACGAGGCTCCGTCTTGCAGCTACATCCGGTTAAATATGTCATGTGACTTGAACGCACACACAGACACACACACACACACACACACAGACACACACACACACTCAGAGTCTGTTTTTTAGCACCTGCAAAAACATGCTGTTTACATATTTGACAAGAATGCAGAGGCTCCTTTTGCCCCTGAAAAAAATCAAATTTCAAACACAACTTGACTGTTCATTTCTCCAAAAGACAACCATGAAGCTCCATTTCAAACCTGAAGCAGATAGTTGGTGCATGTGTACAGTAACCTGAGGGGAGTGAGGTGACTATTTCTGAGGAGAACATGAGCAGTGAAGATTCACCTTGGAGCTAGAACAGGGACGTGCACATGATTATACAGGGGCAGGGGCTCAAGTTTTTTCCAGTCATTTATACAATATGGAAATTAATGTGAAATTAAAAACAAAGTATTAATAGAAAGGTAATGACTGTCCTGTGTAGGTGACAGTGATATCCAATAGGCTAGGCACTCACGAGGCTGGCTGTGGCAAGTGTAATTGAAAGCAACACGCACTGGCAGGAAGAACAGCAAACACCGATGAAGGAAAAGGGTCTTTGCAGTGATGGGCGTTACAAGAGAGGGCGACGGCCAGAAGACGCAAATGGGACGGGGAGGCGGTCTCGCTGGGGGCGGCGCGACACGGCTCGGGCCCGCCAGTGCCCCAACGGGGCCCTAGTTTCTTTTTCCTCCCCTTTGAACTGGAAAATGGCCCACTTCCCACTGGCGAAAACTCATGAAATTTGGCAGGACGACCGGGCCTTGTGAAAAATTCGATATTCTGAAGTCGCCCAAACAATAAAATGCAAAATGGCTCCATAGCGCCCCCTAAGGTGGAAATTCACACTATTGACTGTCACGCCTGTACGCTTTGTCATATTGACACAAAAATTGACACACATATGTATCTCAATAAGATCTACGAAAAAGTCAATGCGCGCGTATCTGTCAAAATTACGGTTAAAGGGTTATTTCGCATTTTTTGCCGATCCGCACACATTGGAATTTCGCTAACTCCTCCGAAGGCTTTCGTTCCACCGGCACCACATTTGCTCAGGCCAATCTACACCCCGTGGCCATTAAAAGTTATCAAAATCATGACGCTGCACCCCAAGGTTTAGGTTCTAGGGGGCGCCAAAGATAACACTAAAATCCACATATTTAAAAGTCTTATAACTTTTTATTTTTGTCCTCACTGGCCTCCAAGTTTTCTAGGATGATGCAATGTCCAGCCATCAACACATTTGTGAAGGAATTTTTACTCCCCAAAAGAGCGCCCCCCCATGGCAGGAGAAAAAAGTCCATTTTTTCTTGTCCCCTAAGGTGAAAATACACATTGTTGAGTGTCACGCCTATACGCTTTGTCAAAATGACACAAAAATTGACACACACATGTAACTCAATAAGATCTACGAAAAAGTCAATGCGCGCGTATCTGTCAAATGTACGGTTAAAGGGTTATTCCGCATTTTTTGCCAATCCGCACACATTGGAATTTCGCTAACTCCTCCGAAGGCTTTCTGTCCACCGGCACCACATTTGCTCAGGCCAATCTACACCCCATGGCCATTAAAAGTTATTCAAATCATGACGCTGCACCCCACGGTTTAGGTTCTAGGGGGCGCCAAAGACAACCCTAAAATCCACATATTTAAAAGTCTTATAACTTTTTATTTTTGTCCTCACTGGCCTCCATGTTTTCTAGGATGATGCAATGTCCAGCCATCAACACATTTGTGAAGGAGTTTTTTCTCGTTAAAAGAGCGCCCCCCCGTGGCAGGAGAATAAAGTCAAGTTTTTCCTGTTCATCATTCAATGGCTCAAACGCACTGCTCTCTCGGCAAAAGCGAAAGGAGGAGCAACTTGCCATTTGGATATATCTTAGCTGTCTTTGTGCCCTCACTCATGGTCCAGACTTTTTTCAAATAGGACATGGAGTTTTTCTGCAGCGAGCGTTTTGGTAGAAACTGCGCCTCCCGTTCATTATAATGGTAAATGACCACAAACAAGTGCGCACACCATCTTTGGACCTTGAGTGTGACGCGATCGGGTGGGGGAGGCGGTCGCGCTTGGGGCGGCGTGACACGGCTCGGGCCCGCCAGTGCCCCAACGGGGCCCTAGTTAGGGCCCGAGCGTAGCTGCTAAGCAGCTGCGAGAGCCCTCTTGTTCCTGATGGATTCTTCTTTCGTTATTTTTCCTCCGCTTTAAACTGGAAAATGGCCCACTTCCCACTGGCGAAAACTCAGGAAATTTGGAAGGACGACCGGGCCTGGTGAAAAATTTGATATTCTGAAGTCGCCCAAACAAAAAAATGAAAAATGGCTGCATAGCGCCCCCTATGGTGAAAACTCACCTGACGCCTGTACACTTTGTCAAAATGACACAAAATTTGACACACATGTGTATCTCAATAAGATCTACAAAAAAGTCAGTGCGGACGTATCTGTCAAATGTACCGTTAAAGGGCTATTTCGCATTTTTTGCCGATCCGCACACATTGGAATTTCGCTAACTCCTCCGAAGGCTTTCGTTCCACCGGCACCACATTTGCTCAGGCCAATCTACACCCCATGGCCATTAAAAGTTGTACAAATCATGATGCTGCACCCCACGGTTTACGTTCTAGGGGGCGCCAAAGATAACCCAAAAATCCACATTCTTAAAAGTCTTATAACTTTTTATTTTTGTCCTCACTGGCCTCCAAGTTTTCTAGGATGATGCCATGTCAAGCCATCAACACATTTGTGAAGGAATTTTTACTCCCCAAAAGAGCGCCCCCCATGGCAGGAGAAAAAAGTCAAGTTTTTCTTGTCCCCTAACATGAAAATACACATTGTTGAGTGTCACGCCTAAACGCTTTGTCATATTGACAAAACATTTGACAATCACGTGTATCTCAATAAGATCTACAAAAAAGTCATAGAGCGCGTATCTGTATAATGTACGGTTAAAGGGCTATTTTGCATTTTTTGCCGATCCGCACACATTGGAATTTCGCTAACTCCTCCGAAGGCTTTCGTTCCACCGGCACCAAATTTGCTCAGGCCAATCTACACCCCATGGCCATTAAAAGTTGTACAAATCATGACGCTGCAACCCACGGTGAAGGTTCTAGGGGGCGCCAAAGATAACCCAAAAATCCACATTCTTAAAAGTCTTATAACTTTTTATTTTTGTCCTCACTGGCCTCCAAGTTTTCTAGGATAATGCAATGTCCAGCCATCAACACATTTGTGAAGGAAATTTTACTCCCCAAAAGAGCGCCCCCCCATGGCAGGAGAAAAAAGTCTATTTTTTCTTGTCCCCTAAGGTGAAAATACACATTGTTTAGTGTCACGCCTGTACGCTTTGGCAAAATGACACAAATATTAACACACACATGTATCTCAATAAGATCTACGAAAAAGTCAAAGAGCGCATATCTGTCAAATGTACGGTTAAAGGGTTATTCCGCATTTTTTGCCGATCCGCACACATTGGAATGTGGCTAACTCCTCCTAAGGCTTTCGTTCCACTGGCACCACATTTGCTCAGGCCAATCTACACCCCATGGCCATTAAAAGTTATTCAAATCATGACGCTGCACCCCACGGTTTAGGTTCTAGGGGGCGCCAAAGATAACCCTAAAATCCACATATTTAAAAGTCTTATAACTTCTTATTCTTGTCCTCACTGGCCTCCAGGTTTTCTAGGATGATGCAATGTCCAGCCATCAACACATTTGTGAAGGAATTTTTACTCCCCAAAAGAGCGCCCCCCCATGGCAGGAGAAAAAAGTCCATTTTTTCTTGTCCCCTAAGGTGAAAATACATATTGTTGAGATTCACGCCTATACGCTTTGTCATATTGACACAAAATTTGACAATCACGTGTATCTCAATAAGATCTACGAAAAAGTCAATGGGCGTGTATCTGTCAAATGTACGGTTAAAGGGCTATTTTGCATTTTTTGCCGATTCGCACACATTGGAATGTGGCTAACTCCTCCTAAGGCTTTCGTCCCACTGACACCAAATTTGCTCAGGCCAATCTACACCCCATGGCCATTCAAAGTTGTAAAAATCATGACGCTGCACCCCACGGCTCACGTTCTTGGGGGCGCCAAAGATGACCCAAATATCCACATTCTTAAAAGAATCCACATCCCCCCCCCCATCCCCCATCCCCCATGGCAGGAGAAACAGTCAAGTTTTTCCTGCCCATCACTCAATGGCTCAATCGCATCGCTCTCCCGGCAACACCGTAACAAGGAGCAACTTGCCGTTTGGATATATCCTAGCTGTGTTTGTGGCCTCACTCATGGTCCAGACTTTTTTCAAATAGGACATGTAGTTTGTCTGCAGCGAGTGTTTTGGTAGAAACTGCGCCTCCAATTCATTATAATGGGAAATGACCACAGACAAGTGCGCACACCATCTTTGGACCTTGAGTGTGACGCGATCGGGAGGGGGAGGCGGTCGCACTGGGGGCGGCGCAACGCGGCTCGGGCCCGCCAGTGCCCCAACGGGGCCCTAGTTTCTTTTTCCTCCCCTTTGAACTGGAAAATGGCCCACTTCCCACTGGCGAAAACTCATGAAATTTGGCAGGACGACCGGGCCTGGTGAAAAATTTGATATTCCGAAGTCGCCCAAACAATAAAATGCAAAATGGCTCCATAGCGCCCCCTAAGGTGAAAATTCACACTATTGACTGTCACGCCTGTACGCTTTGTCAAAATGACACAAAAATTGACACACACATGTATCTCAATAAGATCTACAAAAAAGTCAGTGCGGGCGTATCTGTCAAATGTACGGTTAAAGGGCTATTTCGCATTTTTTGCCGATCCGCACACATTGGAATTTCGCTAACTCCTCCGAAGGCTTTCGTTCCACCGGCACCACATTTGCTCAGGCCAATCTACACCCCATGGCCATTAAAAGTTATTCAAATCATGACGCTGCACCCCACGGTTTAGGTTCTAGGGGGCGCCAAAGATAACCCTAAAATCCACATATTTAAAAGTCTTATAACTTTTTATTTTTGCCCTCACTGGCCTCCAAGTTTTCTAGGATGATGCAATGTCCAGCCATCAACACATTTGTGAAGGAATTTTTACTCCCCAAAAGAGCGCCCCCCCCATGGCAGGAGAAAAAAGTCCATTTTTTCTTGTCCCCTAAGGTGAAAATACACATTGTTGAGTGTCACGCCTGTACGCTTTGTCAAAATGACACAAAAATTGACACACACATGTATCTCAATAAGATCTACAAAAAAGTCCATGCGCGCGTATCTGTCAAATGTACGGTTAAAGGGTTATTCCGCATTTTTTGCCGATTCGCACACATTGGAATTTCGCTAACTCCTCCGAAGGCTTTCGTTCCACCGGCACCACATTTGCTCAGGCCAATCTACACCCCATGGCCATTAAAAGTTATTCAAATCATGACGCTGCACCCCACGGTTTAGGTTCTAGGGGGCGCCAAAGATAACCCAAAAATCCACAGTCTTAAAAGTCTTATAACTTTTTATTTTTGTCCTCACTGGCCTCCAAGTTTTCTAGGATGATGCAATGTCCAGCCATCAACACATTTGTGAAGGAATTTTTACTCCCTAAAAGAGCGCCCCCCATGGCAGGAGAAAAAAGTCCATTTTTTCTTGTCCCCTAAGATGAAAATACACATTGTTGACTGTCACGCCTGTACGCTTTGGCAAAATGACACAAAAATTGACAATCATGTGTATCTCAATTAGATCTACGAAAAAGTCAAAGAGCGCGTATCTGTATAATGTACGGTAAAAGGGCTATTTTGCATTTTTTGCCGATTCGCACACATTGGAATTTCGCTAACTCCTCCTAAGGCTTTCGTCCCACTGACACCAAATTTGCTCAGGCCAATCTACACTCCATGGCCATTCAAAGTTGTAAAAATCATGACGCTGCACCCCACGGTTTACGTTTTAGGGGGCGCCAAAGATGACCCAAATATACATTACAGTAGACAAAGTAGTTTTGCCCACTGAGTGGCGCCAAAGGGACTTGTCTGTGGAGTCTGTGAGTCACTATTGGCCGTTTTTGACTACTTTAGATTTTACCTTTATATTTCCTCTTACAAAATTTTTACCTTGCCTTGCCTGGTATCATTTTTTTCAGCACAACCTCACCTGTGTCAATTTACAGTTATTTTATCATTTTGACATACTATATTTACACATTGGACCCAAATTCACACACAAAACATAAAATCCGAGTGGAAAAAAGTAACGTTTTTACTGTGAAAACCACAAATATGTGTGATGAACTGTTTTTAAAACTTAAACTTCAAATTAAAATTGTAAACTTCAAAACATATGCAAATTTTTAACAAAGAACATAGTAATTTACCTCTATTTACATCAAAATGCAGGCAATGGCCCAGGTGTTCTTTGTAAAATTATTTACAAAACACTGTATAGTCTCACAAATGTCACTTTTTATTTATGCCACTACAAAAAAACATGATGTAAATGATGCATGATGTAAAACATGATGTAAAAAACTTGTGTAGATCCTCCTCTATGTCAGTCCATGTGTAATTTTTCCATAATTCATTGTTTTTTGCAGCATTTTTGTTAGTGTAACTGCAGATTGTGCTGACAGTGTCTATGGCAAAAAAAAAAAAAAAACTGAAAATGCCTCAACATGAACCCCTGGTGGTCTCTGAGGGTGAAACCTGCTAACTGCTGCAGCTCTGTCAGCTTCAGTCTCCCATGCAGAGCTCGGAGCGCATGTGTGGCTCTGCACCCTTAGCAGCGTTGCTAACTCCTCAGTAAGGAAAGCCTGCTTCATGTCAGAGTCTCTAAACTCCAGAAGAAGTCGATAAAAGTCACTTTCTTTCTAAAAAAAAAGTCGTTAGGGGGTCTGAAAAGTCATTGAATCTAACAACAAAGTCGCTAGGTTTGCAACTACGTGTCCCAGACTGCATCCCTGCTGAGAGTCCCTCCCTCCCTTCTCATATTGCAGGAAGAACGTAAGCGCCCGACCCTTGTCAATCAGTCACCATATAATTTTGGATTGGTTGTTGTGGTGAAGTTTTCCACCAATAGGAGAGATGTTGTGGTGTGTTTTTTTTTTCCTTTGGCAAGCCTTTTCCGCCTGTAAGACCTGTCGCTAATGTCTGCATGCTATGTTTTCCTGTCTCATACAGCGCGATCGAGCGCCGAACGTGATCAAAATAAGCAGAAAACACGTATCGCGGACATAATTTATCATAACTCTGGTTTTATTTGGCCTATCAACACAATTTAAAAACTGGTATATAGGTTGAGGTCCTCACTTTTGAGATAAGTTGAAACGGAGTCAACAAGGCTCCGTCTTGCAGCTACATCCGGTTAAATATGTCATGTGACTTGAACGCACACAGACACACACACACACGCACACACACACTCAGAGTCTGGTTTTTAGCACCTGCAAAAACATGCTATTTACATATTTGACAAGAATGCAGAGGCTCCTTTTGCCCCTGAAAAAAATCAAATTTCAAACACAACTTGACTGGTCATTTCTCCAAAAGACAACCATGAAGCTCCATCCAAACCTGAAGCAGGCAGTTGGTGCATGTGTACAGTAACCTGAGGGGAGTGAGGTGAGTGCTTCTGAGGAGAACATGAGCAGTGAAGATTCACCTTGGAGCTAGAACAGAGACATGCACATGATTATACAGGGGCAGGGGCTCAAGTTTTTTCCAGTCGTTTATACAATATGGAAATTAATGTGAAATTAAAACACAAAGTATTAATAGAAAGGTAATGACTGTCCTGTGTAGGTGACAGTGATATCCAATAGGCTAGGCACTCACGAGGCTGGCTGTGGTTAGTGTAAGTGAAAGCAACACGCACTGGCAGGAAGAACAGCAAACGCCGATGAAGGAAAAGGGTCTTTGCAGTGATGGGCGTTACCAGAGAGGGCGATGGCCAGAGGACACAAATGGGACGGGGAGGCAGCACGTTGGGGGGGGGGGGGGGACACGGCTCGGGCCCGCCAGTGCCCCAACGGGGTCCTAGTTTGTTATTATTAGGGCCCGAGCGTAGCTGCTAAGCAGCTGCGAGAGCCCTCTTGTTCCTGATGGATTCTTCTTTTGTTATTATTATTATTTTTCCTCCGCTTTAAACTGGAAAATGGCCCACTTCCCACTGGCGAAAACTCATGAAATTTGGCAGGACGACCGGGCCTGGTGAAAAATTCGATATTCTGAAGTCGCCCAAACAATAAAATGCAAAATGGCTCCATAGCGCCCCCTAAGGTGAAAATTCACACTATTGACTGTCACGCCTGTACGCTTTGTCATATTGACACAAAAATTGACACACACATGTATCTCAATAAGATCTACAAAAAAGTCAGTGTGGGCGTATCTGTCAAATGTACGGTTAAAGGGTTATTTCGCATTTTTTGCAGATCCGCACACATTGGAATTTCGCTAACTCCTCCTAAGGCTTTCGTTCCACCGGCACCACATTTGCTCAGGCCAATCTACACCCCGTGGCCATTCAAAGTTGTACAAATCATGATGCTGCACCCCATGGTTTAGGTTCTAGGGGGCGCCAAAGATAACCCAAAAATCCACATTCTTAAAAGTTTTATAACTTTTTATTTTTGTCCTCACTGGCCTCCAAGTTTTCTAGGATGATGCAATGTCCAGCCATCAACACATTTGTGAAGGAATTTTTACTCCCCAAAAGAGCGCCCCCCAATGGCAGGAGAAAAAAGTCAATTTTTTCTTGTCCCCTAAGGTGAAAATACACATTGTTGAGATTCACGCCTGTACGCTTTGTCATATTGACAAAAAATTTGACGCACACGTGTATCTCAATAAGATCTACGAAAAAGTCAATGCGCGCGTATCTGTAAAATGTACGGCTAAAGGGCTATTTTGCATTTTTTGCCGATTCGCACACATTGGAATGTGGCTAACTCCTCCTAAGGCTTTCGTCCCACTGACACCAAATTTGCTCAGGCCAATCTACACCCCATGGCCATTGAGAGTTGTAAAAATCATGCCGCTGCACCCCATGGTTTACGTTCTAGGGGGCGCCAAAGATGACCCAAATATCCACATTCTTAAAAGTCGTTTTGGCCACTGCAGGAGTACAGAGTACTGCAGGATACACACACACAGACACACACACACACACAGACACACACACACACACACACACACACACACACACACACACACACACACACACACTCAGAGTCTGTTTTTTAGCACCTGCAAAAACATGCTATTTACATATTTGACAAGAATGCAGAGGCTTCCTTTTGCCCCTGAAAAAAATCACATTTCAAACACAACTTGACTGCTCATTTCTCCAAAAGACAACCATGAAGCTCCATCCAAACCTGAAGCAGGCAGTTGGTGCATGTGTACAGTAACCTGAGGGGAGTGAGGTGAGTGCTTCTGAGGAGAACATGAGCAGTGAAGATTCACCTTGGAGCGAGAACAGGGACGTGCACATGATTATACAGGGGCAGGGGCTCAAGTTATTTCCAGTTGTTTTTACAATATGGAAATTAATGTGAAATTAAAAAACAAAGTATTAATAGAAAGGTAATGACTGTCCTGTGTAGGTGACAGTGATATCGAATAGGCTAGGCACTCACGAGGCTGGCTGTGGCAAGTGTAAGTGAAAGCAACACGCACTGGCAGGAAGAACAGCAAACGCCGATGAAGGAAAAGGGTCTTTGCATTGATGGGCGTTACCAGAGAGGGCGATGGCCAGAGGACACAAATGGGACGGGAAGGCAGCGCGTTGGGGGGGGGGGGGCACACGGCTCGGGCCCGCCAGTGCCCCAACGGGGTCCTAGTTAGGGCCCGAGCGTAGCTGCTAAGCTGCGAGAGCCGTCTTGTTCCTGTAGTTTCCTTCTTTAGGGCCCGAGCGTAGCTGCTAAGCAGCTGCGAGAGCCCTATTATTCCTGATGGATTCTTCTTTCTTCTTCTTCTTCTTCTTATTATTTTTCTGCCCCTTTGAACTGGAAAATGGCCCACTTCCCACTGGTGAAAAGTCATGAAATTTGGCAGGACGACCGGGCCTGGTGAAAAATTCGATATTCTGAAGTCGCCCAAAAAATCAAATGCAAAATGGCTCCATAGCGCCCCCTAAGGTGAAAAATTCACATGATTGAGTGTCACGCCTGTACGCTTTGTCAAAATGACACAAAATTTGACACACACGTGTATCTCAATAAGATCTACAAAAAAGTCAGTGCGGGCGTATCTGTCAAATGTACGGTTAAAGGGCTATTTCGCATTTTTTGCCGATCCGCACACATTGGAATTTCGCTAACTCCTCCGAAGGCTTTCGTTCCACCGGCACCAAATTTGCTCAGGCCAATCTACACCCCATGGCCATTAAAAGTTGTACAAATCATGATGCTGCATCCCACGGTTTACGTTCTAGGGGGCGCCAAAGATAACCCAGAAATCCACATTCTTAAAAGTCGTATAACTTTTTATTTTTGTCCTCACTGGCCTCCAAGTTTTCTAGGATGATGCAATGTCCAGCCATCAACACATTTGTGAAGGAATTTTTACTCCCCAAAAGAGCGCCCCCCCATGGCAGGAGAAAAAAGTCCATTTTTTCTTGTCCTATAAGGTGAAAATACACATTGTTGAGTGTCACGCCTGTACGCTTTGTCATATTGAAACAAAATTTGATAATCACGTGTATCTCAATAAGATCTACGAAAAAGTCAATGCGCTCGTGTCTGCAAAATGTACGGTTAAAGGGCTATTTCGCATTTTTGGTTGATTCGCACACATTGGAATTTCGCTAACTCCTCCTAAAGCTTTCGTTCCACCGGCACCAAATTTGCTCAGGCCAATCTACACCCCATGGCCATTAAAAGTTGTACAAATCATGATGCTGCACCCCACGGTTTACGTTCTAGGGGTCGCCAAAGATAACCCAAAAATCCACATTCTTAAAAGTCTTATAACTTTTCATTTTTGTCCTCACTGGCTTCAAAGTTTTCTAGGATGATGCAATGTCTAGCCATCAACACATTTGTGAAGGAATTTTTTCTCCCTAAAAGAGTGCCCCCCCATGGCAGGAGAAAAAGTCAAGTTTTTCCTGCCCATCGCTCAATGGCTCAAACACATCGCTCTCTCGGAAAAAAACGAAAGGAGGAGCAACTTGCCGTTTGGATATATCCTAGCTGTGTTTGTGCCCTCACTCATGGTCCAGACTTTTTTCAAATAGGACATGTAGTTTGTCTGCAGCAAGCGTTTTGGTAGAAACTGCGCCTCCCATTCATTATAATGGTAAATGACCACAGACAAGTGCGCACACCATCGTTGAACCTTGAGTGTGACGCGATCGGGAGGGAGAGGCGGTCGTGTTGGGGGCGGCGTGACACAGCTCGGGCCCGCCAGTGCCCCAACGGGGCCCTAGTTATTATTTTTCCTCCGCTTTAAACTGGAAAATGGCCCACTTCCCACTGGCGAAAACTCAGGAAATTTGGCAGGACGACCGGGCCTGGTGAAAAATTCGATGTTCTGAAGTCGCCCAAACAATAAAATGCAAAATGGCTCCATAGCGCCCCCTAAGGTGAAAATTCACATGACGGCTGTACGCTTTGTCATATTGACACAAAAATTGACACACACATGTATCTCAATAAGTTCTACAAAAAAGTCAGTGCGGGCTTATCTGTCAAATGTACGGTTAATGGGTTATTTTGCATTTTTTGCAGATCTGCACACATTGGAATTTCGCTAACTCCTCCGAAGGCTTTCGTTCGACCGGCACCACATTTGCGCAGGCCAATCAACCCCCCATGGCCATTAAAAGTTGTACAAATCATGACGCTGCACCCCACGGTTTACGTTCTAGGGGGCGCCAAAGATAACCCAAAATCCACATTCTTAAAAGTCTTATAACTTTTTATTTTTGTCCTCACTGCCCTCCAAGTTTTCTAGGATGATGCAATGTCCAGCCATCAACACATTTGTGAAGGAATTTTTACTCCCCAAAAGAGCGCCCCCCCATGGCAGGAGAAAAAAGTCAGTTTTTTCTTGTCCCCTTACATGAAAATACACATTGTTGAGTGTCACGCCTGAACGCTTTGTCATATTGACACAAAAATTGACAATCATGTGTATCTCAATTAGATCTACGAAAAAGTCAAAAAGCGCGTATCTGTATAATGTACGGTTAAAGGGCTATTTCGCATTTTTTGCCGATTCGCACACATTGGAATGTGGCTATCTCCTCCTAAGGCTTTCGTCCCACCGATACCAAATTTGCTCAGGGCAATCTACACCCCATGCCCATTCAAAGTTGTAAAAATCATGACGCTGCACCCCACGGTTTACGTTCTAGGGGGCGCCAAAGATGACCCAAAAATCCACATTCTTAAAAGTCATTTTGGCCACTGCAGGAGTACAGAGTACTGCAGGATACACACACATATACACACACACACACACACACACACACACTCAGAGTCTGTTTTTTTGCACCTGCAAAAACATGCTGTTTACATATTTGACAAGAATGCAGAGGCTTCCTTTTGCCTCTGAAAAAAATCAGATTTCAAACACAACTTGACTGTTCATTTCTCCAAAAGACAACCATGAAGCTCCATCCAAACCTGAAGCAGATAGTTGGTGCATGTGTACAGTAACCTGAGGGGAGTGAGGTGACTATTTCTGAGGAGAACATGAGCAGTGAAGATTCACCTTGGAGCTAGAACAGGGACGTGCACATGATTATACAGGGGTAGGGGCTCAAGTTTTTTCCAGTCATTTATACAATATGGAAATTAATGTGAAATTAAACCACAAATATGTGTGATGAACTGTTTTTAAAACTTAAACTTCAAATAAAAATTGTAAACTTCAAAACATATGCAAATTTTTAACAAAGAACATAGTAATTTACCTCTATTTACATCAAAATGCAGGCAATGGCCCAGGCGTTCTTTGTAAAATTATTTACAAAACACTGTATAGTCTCACAAATGTCACTTTTTATTTATGCCACTACAAAAAAACATGATGTAAATGATGCATGATGTAAAACATGATGTAAAAAACTTGTGTAGATCCTCCTCTATGTCAGTCCATGTGTAATTTTTCCATAATTCTTTGTTTTTTGCAGCATTTTTGTTAGTGTAACTGCAGATTGTGCTGACAGTCTATGGCAAAAAAAACAAAAACTGAAAATGCCTCAACATGAACCCCTGGTGGTCTCTGAGGGTGAAACCTGCTAACTGCTGCAGCTCTGTCAGCTTCAGTCTCCCATGCAGAGCTCGGAGCGCATGTGTGGCTCTGCACCCTTAGCAGCGTTGCTAACTCCTCAGTAAGGAAAGCCTGCTTCATGTCAGAGTCTCTAAACTCCAGAAGAAGTCGATAAAAGTCCCTTTCTTTCTAAAAAAAAGTCGTTAGGGGGTCTGAAAAGTAATTGAATCTAACAACAAAGTCGCTAGGTTTGCAACTACGTGTCCCAGACTGCATCCCTGCTGAGAGTCCCTCCCTCCCTTCTCATGTTGCAGGAAGAACGTAAGCGCCCGCCCCTTGTCATTCAGTCACCATATAATTTTGGATTGGTTGTTGTGGTGAAGTTTTCCACCAATAGGAGAGATGTTGTGGTGTGTTTTTTTTTTCTTTTGGCAAGCCTTTTCCGCCTGTAAGACCTGTCGCTAATGTGTGCATGCTATGTTTTCCTGTCTCATACAGCGCGATCGAGCGCCGAACGTGATCAAAATAAGCAGAAAAAAAGTATCGCGGACATAATTTATCATAACTCTGGTTTTATTTGGCCTATCAACACAATTTAAAAACTGGTATATAGGTTGAGGTCCTCACTTTTGAGATAAGTTGAAACGGAGAGTTAACGAGGCTCCGTCTTGCAGCTACATCCGGTTAAATATGTCATGTGACTTGAACGCTGGGGAGCGTCAATCGAATCGAATCAAACCTAACTCTCAGATGAATCTTCAAAATTCACCTCAGAAATATGCTTATTATTCTTCTCAGAGTACTGCAGGATACACACACAGACACACACACACACACGCACACACACACACACACACACACACACACACACACACACACTCGGAGTCTGTTTTTTAGCACCTGCAAAAACATGCTATTTACATATTTGACAAGAATGCAGAGGCTTCCTTTTGCCCCTGAAAAAAATCAAATTTCAAACACAACTTGACTGCTCATTTCTCCAAAAGACAACCATGAAGCTCCATCCAAACCTGAAGCAGGCAGTTGGTGCATGTGTACAGTAACCTGAGGGGAGTGAGGTGACTGCTTCTGAGGAGAACATGAGCAGTGAAGATTCACCTTGGAGCTAGAACAGGGACGTGCACATGATAATACAGGGGCAGGGGCTCAAGTTTTTTCCAGTCGTTTATACAATATGGAAATTAATGTGAAATTAAAAAACAAAGTATGACTGTCCTGTGTAGGTGACAGTGATATCCAATAGGCTAGGCACTCACGAGGCTGGCTGTGGCAAGTGTAAGTGAAAGCAACACGCACTGGCAGGAAGAACAGCAAACGCAGATGAAGGAAAAGGGTCTTTGCTGTGATGGGCGTTACCAGAGAGGGCGATGGCCAGAGGACACGAATGGGACGGGGAGGCAGCGCGTTGGGGGGGGGGGGGGGGGGGTGCGACACGGCTCGGGCCCCCCAGTGCCCCAACGGGGCCCTAGTTTGTTATTATTATTTTTCCTCCCCTTTGAACTGGAAAATGGCCCACTTCCCACTGGCGAAAACTCATGAAATTTGGCAGGACGACCGGGCCTGGTGAAAAATTTGATATTCCGAAGTCGCCCAAACAAGAAAATGCAAAATGGCTCCATAGCGCCCCCTAAGGTGAAAATTCACACTATTGACTGTCACGCCTGTACGCTTTGTCAAAATGACACAAAAATTGACACACACATGTATCTCAATAAGATCTACAAAAAAGTCAGTGCGGGCGTATCTGTCAAATGTACGGTTAAAGGGTTATTTCGCATTTTTTGCCGATCCGCACACATTGGAATTTCGCTAACTCCTCCGAAGGCTTTCGTTCCACCGGCACCACATTTGCTCAGGCCAATCTACACCCCATGGCCATTAAAAGTTATTCAAATCATGACGCTGCACCCCACGGTTTAGGTTCTAGGGGGCGCCAAAGATAACCCTAAGAACCACATATTTAAAAGTCTTATAACTTTTTATTTTTGCCCTCACTGGCCTCCAAGTTTTCTAGGATGATGCAATGTCCAGCCATCAACACATTTGTGAAGGAATTTTTACTCCCCAAAAGAGCGCCCCCCCATGGCAGGAGAAAAAAGTCCATTTTTTCTTGTCCCCTAAGGTGAAAATACACATTGTTGAGTGTAACACCTGTACGCTTTGGCAAAATGACACAAAAATTGACACACACATGTATCTCAATAAGATCTACGAAAAAGTCAATGCGCGCGTATCTGTCAAATGTACGGTTAAAGGGTTATTCCGCATTTTTTGCCGATCCGCACACATTGGAATTTCGCTAACTCCTCCGAAGGCTTTCGTTCCACCGGCACCACATTTGCTCAGGCCAATCTACACCCCATGGCCATTAAAAGTTATTCAAATCATGACGCTGCACCCCACGGTTTAGGTTCTAGGGGGCGCCAAAGATAACCCTAAGATCCACATATTTAAAAGTCTTATAACTTTTTATTTTTGCCCTCACTGGCCTCCAAGTTTTCTAGGATGATGCAATGTCCAGCCATCAACACATTTGTGAAGGAATTTTTACTCCCCAAAAGAGCGCCCCCCCATGGCAGGAGAAAAAAGTCCATTTTTTCTTGTCCCCTAAGGTGAAAATACACATTGTTGAGTGTAACACCTGTACGCTTTGGCAAAATGACACAAAAATTGACACACACATGTATCTCAATAAGATCTACGAAAAAGTCAATGCGCGCGTATCTGTCAAATGTACGGTTAAAGGGTTATTCCGCATTTTTTGCCGATCCGCACACATTGGAATTTCGCTAACTCCTCCGAAGGCTTTCGTTCCACCGGCACCACATTTGCTCAGGCCAATCTACACCCCATGGCCATTAAAAGTTATTCAAATCATGACGCTGCACCCCACGGTTTAGGTTCTAGGGGGCGCCAAAGATAACCCTAAAATCCACATATTTAAAAGTCTTATAACTTTTTATTTTTGTCCTCACTGGCCTCCAAGTTTTCTAGGATGATGCAATGTCCAGCCATCAACACATTTGTGAAGGAATTTTTACTCCCCAAAAGAGCGCCCCCCCCATGGCAGGAGAAAAAAGTCAATTTTTTCTTGTCCCCTAAGGTGGAAATTCACACTATTGACTGTCACGCCTGTACGCTTTATCATATTGACACAAAATTTGACAATCACATGTATCTCAATAAGATCTACAAAAAAGTCAATGCGCGCGTATCTGTCAAATGTACGGTTAAAGGGTTATTCCGCATTTTTTGCCGATCCGCACACATTGGAATTTCGCTAACTCCTCCGAAGGCTTTCGTTCCACCGGCACCACATTTGCTCAGGCCAATCTACACCCCATGGCCATTAAAAGTTATTCAAATCATGACGCTGCACCCCACGGTTTAGGTTCTAGGGGGCGCCAAAGATAACCGTAAAATCCACATATTTAAAAGTCTTATAACTTTTTATTTTTGTCCCCACTGGCCTCCAAGTTTTCTAGGATGATGCAATGTCCAGCCATCAACACATTTGTGAAGGAATTTTTACTCGCCAAAAGAGCGCCCCCCCATGGCAGGAGAAAAAAGTCCATTTTTTCTTGTCCACTAAGGTGAAAATACACATTGTTGAGTGTTACGACTGTATGTTTTGTCGTTTTGACACAAAATTTTACATACACGTGTCTTTCAATAAGATCTTCGAAAAAGTCAATGGCCACGTATCTGTAAAATGTACGGTTAAAGGGTTATTTCGCATTTTTTGCAGATTCGCACACATTGGAATTTCGCTAACTCCTCCGAAGGCTTTCGTTCCACTGGCACCACATTTGCTCAGGCCAATCTACACCCCATGGCCATTAAAAGTTATTCAAATCATGACGCTGCACCCCACGGTTTAGGTTCTAGGGGGCGCCAAAGATAACCCTAAAATCCACATATTTAAAAGTCTTATAACTTTTTATTTTTGTCCTCACTGGCCTCCATGTTTTATAGGATGATGCAATGTCCAGCCATCAACACATTTGTGAAGGAGTTTTTTCTCGTTAAATGAGCGCCCCCCCATGGCAGGAGAATAAAGTCAAGTTTTTCCTGTTCATCATTCAATGGCTCAAACGCACTGCTCTCTCGGCAAAAGCGAAAGGAGGAGCAACTTGCCATTTGGATATATCTTAGCTGTGTTTGTGCCCTCACTCATGGTCCAGACTTTTTTCAAATAGGACATGGAGTTTTTCTGCAGCGAGCGTTTTGGTAGAAACTGCGCCTCCCGTTCATTATAATGGTAAATGACCACAAACAAGTGCGCACACCATCTTTGGACCTTGAGTGTGACGCGATCGGGTGGGGGAGGCGGTCGTGCTGGGGGCAGCGTGACACGGCTCGGGCCCGCCAGTGCCCCAACGGGGCCCTAGTTGTTTCTTTTTAGGGCCCGAGCGTAGCTGCTAAGCAGCTGCGAGAGCCCTCTTGTTCCTGCATGTTTCCTTCTTTTGTTATTAGGGCCCGAGCCAGCTGCAGAGCAGCCGGGCGTAGAGCCCTATTATTCCTGTATAGGTTTTTCTTTCTTCTTTCTTTCTTTCTTTCTTCTTATTTTTCCTCCCCTTTGAAGGGGAAAATGGCCCACTTTCCACTGGCGAAAACTCATGAAATTTGGCAGGACGACCGGGCCTGGTGAAAAATTCGATATTCTGAAGTCGCCCAAACAATAAAATGCAAAATGGCTCCATAGCGCCCCCTAAGGTGAAAATTTACACTATTGACTGTCACGCCTGTACGCTTTGTCATATTGACACAAAATTTGACAATCACGTGTATCTCAATAAGATCTACGAAAAAGTCAATAGGCACGTATCTGTAAAATGTACGGTTAAAGGGCTATTACGCATTTTTGATCGATTCGCACACATTGGAATGTGGCTATCTCCTCCGAAGGCTTTCGTTCCACTGGCACCACATTTGCTCAGGCCAATCTACACCCCATGGCCATTAAAAGTTATTCAAATCATGACGCTGCACCCCACGGTTTAGGTTCTAGGGGGCGCCAAAGATAACCCTAAAATCCACATATTTAAAAGTCTTATAACTTTTTATTTTTGTCCTCACTGGCCTCCATGTTTTATAGGATGATGCAATGTCCAGCCATCAACACATTTGTGAAGGAGTTTTTTCTCGTTAAATGAGCGCCCCCCCATGGCAGGAGAATAAAGTCAAGTTTTTCCTGTTCATCATTCAATGGCTCAAACGCACTGCTCTCTCGGCAAAAGCGAAAGGAGGAGCAACTTGCCATTTGGATATATCTTAGCTGTGTTTGTGCCCTCACTCATGGTCCAGACTTTTTTCAAATAGGACATGGAGTTTTTCTGCAGCGAGCGTTTTGGTAGAAACTGCGCCTCCCGTTCATTATAATGGTAAATGACCACAAACAAGTGCGCACACCATCTTTGGACCTTGAGTGTGACGCGATCGGGTGGGGGAGGCGGTCGTGCTGGGGGCAGCGTGACACGGCTCGGGCCCGCCAGTGCCCCAACGGGGCCCTAGTTGTTTCTTTTTAGGGCCCGAGCGTAGCTGCTAAGCAGCTGCGAGAGCCCTCTTGTTCCTGCATGTTTCCTTCTTTTGTTATTAGGGCCCGAGCCAGCTGCAGAGCAGCCGGGCGTAGAGCCCTATTATTCCTGTATAGGTTTTTCTTTCTTCTTTCTTTCTTTCTTTCTTCTTATTTTTCCTCCCCTTTGAAGGGGAAAATGGCCCACTTTCCACTGGCGAAAACTCATGAAATTTGGCAGGACGACCGGGCCTGGTGAAAAATTCGATATTCTGAAGTCGCCCAAACAATAAAATGCAAAATGGCTCCATAGCGCCCCCTAAGGTGAAAATTTACACTATTGACTGTCACGCCTGTACGCTTTGTCATATTGACACAAAATTTGACACACACATGTATCTCAATAAGATCTACAAAAAAGTCAGTGCGGGCGTATCTGTCAAATGTACGGTTAAAGGGTTATTTCGCATTTTTTGCTGATCCGCACACATTGGAATTTCGCTAACTCCTCCGAAGGCTTTCGTTCCACCGGCACCACATTTGCTCAGGCCAATCTACACCCCATGGCCATTAAAAGTTGTACAAATCATGACGCTGCACCCCACAGTTTAGGTTCTAGGGGGCGCCAAAGATAACCCAAAAATCCACATTTTTAAAAGTCTTATAACTTTTTATTTTTGTCCTCACTGGCCTCCAAGTTTTCTAGGATGATGCAATGTCCAGCCATCAACACATTTGTGAAGGAATTTTTACTCCCCAAAAGAGCGCCCCCCCATGGCAAGAGAAAAAAGTCCATTTTTCTTGTCCCACAAGGTGAAAATACACATTGTTGAGTGTCACGCCTGTACGCTTTGTCATATTGAAACAAAATTTGACAATCACGTGTATCTCAATAAGATCTACGAAAAAGTCAATAGGCACGTATCTGTAAAATGTACGGTTAAAGGGCTATTACGCATTTTTGATCGATTCGCACACATTGGAATGTGGCTATCTCCTCCTAAAGCTTTCGTTCCACCGGCACCAAATTTGCTCAGGCCAATCTACACCCCATGGCCATTCAAAGTTGTACAAATCATGACGCTGCACCCCACGGTTTACGTTCTAGGGGGCGCCAAAGATAACCCAAAAATCCACATTCTTAAAAGTCCTATAACTTTTCATTTTTGTCCTCACTGGCTTCCAGGTTTCCTAGGATGATGCAATGTCTAGCCATCAACACATTTGTGAAGGAATTTTTACTCCTCAAAAGAGCGCCCCCCCATGGCAGGAGAAAAAGTCAAGTTTTTCCTGCCCATCGCTCAATGGCTCAAACACATGTCATGTGTTCAAACTCCTCCGAAAGGAGGAGCAACTTGCCATTTGGATATATCCTAGCTGTGTTTGTGCCCTCACTCATGGTCCAGACTTTTTTCAAATAGGACATGTAGTTTGTCTGCAGCAAGCGTTTTGGTAGAAACTGCGCCTCCCATTCATTATAATGGTAAATGACCAGAGACAAGTGCACACACCATCTTTGGACCTTGAGTGTGACGCTATCGGGAGGGGTAGGTGGTCGCGCTGGGAGCGGCGCGACACGGCTCGGGCCCGCCAGTGCCCCAACGGGGCCCTAGTTATTATTTTTCCTCCCCTTTGAACTGGAAAATGGCCCACTTCCCACTGGCGAAAACTCATGAAATTTGGCAGGACGACCGGGCCTGGTGAAAAATTTGATATTCCGAAGTCGCCCAAACAAGAAAATGCAAAATGGCTCCATAGCGCCCCCTAAGGTGAAAAATTCACCTGACGCCTGTACGCTTTGTCAAAATGACACAAAAATTGACACACACATGTATCTCAATAAGATCTACAAAAAAGTCAATGCGCACGTATCTGTCAAATGTACGGTTAAAGGGTTATTGCGCATTTTTTGCCGAACCGCACACATTGGAATTTCGCTAACTCCTCCGAAGGCTTTCGTTCCACCGGCACCACATTTGCTCAGGCCAATCTACACCCCATGGCCATTAAAAGTTATTCAAATCATGACGCTGCACCCCACGGTTTAGGTTCTAGGGGGCGCCAAAGATAACACTAAAATCCACATATTTCAAAGTCTTATAACTTTTTATTTTTTTCCTCACTGGCCTCCAAGTTTTCTAGGATGATGCAATGTCCAGCCATCAACACATTTGTGAAGGAATTTTTACTCCCCAAAAGAGCGCCCCCCCATGGCAGGAGAAAAAAGTCCATTTTTTCTTGTCCCCTAAGGTGAAAATACACATTGTTGAGTGTCACGCCTGTACGCTTTGTCAAAATGACACAAAAATTGACACACACATGTATCTCAATAAGATCTACAAAAAAGTCAATGGGCGCGTATCTGTCAAATGTACGGTTAAAGGGTTATTCCGCATTTTTTGCCGATTCGCACACATTGGAATTTCGCTAACTCCTCCGAAGGCTTTCGTTCCACCGGCACCACATTTGCTCAGGCCAATCTACACCCCATGGCCATTAAAAGTTATTCAAATCATGACGCTGCACCCCACGGTTTAGGTTCTAGGGGGCGCCAAAGATAACACTAAAATCCACATATTTCAAAGTCTTATAACTTTTTATTTTTGTCCTCACTGGCCTCCAAGTTTTCTAGGATGATGCAATGTCCAGCCATCAACACATTTGTGAAGGAATTTTTACTCCCCAAAAGAGCGCCCCCCCATGGCAGGAGAAAAAAGTCCATTTTTTCTTGTCCCCTAAGGTGAAAATACACATTGTTGAGTGTCACGCCTGTACGCTTTGTCAAAATGACACAAAAATTGACACACACATGTATCTCAATAAGATCTACAAAAAAGTCAATGGGCGCGTATCTGTCAAATGTACGGTTAAAGGGTTATTCCGCATTTTTTGCCGATTCGCACACATTGGAATTTCGCTAACTCCTCCAAAGGCTTTCGTTCCACCGGCACCACATTTGCTCAGGCCAAATTACACCCCATGGCCATTAAAAGTTATTCAAATCATGACGCTGCACCCCACGGTTTACGTTCTAGGGGGCGCCAAAGATAACCCAAAAATCCAAATTTTTAAAAGTCTTATAACTTTTTATTTTTGTCCTCACTGGCCTCCAAGTTTTCTAGGATGATGCAATGTCCAGCCATCAACACATTTGTGAAGGAATTTTTACTCCCTAAAAGAGCGCCCCCCCATGGCAGGAGAAAAAAGTCCATTTTTTCTTGTCCCCTAAGGTGAAAATACACATTGTTGAGTGTAACACCTGTACGCTTTGGCAAAATGACACAAAAATTGACACACACATGTATCTCAATAAGATCTACAAAAAAGTCAATGCGCGCGTATCTGTCAAATGTACGTTTAAAGGGCTATTTTGCATTTTTTGCCGATTCGCACACATTGGAATGTGGCTAACTCCTCCTAAGGCTTTCGTCCCACTGACACCAAATTTGCTCAGGCCATTCTACACCCCATGGCCATTCAAAGTTGTAAAAATCATGACGCTGCACCCCACGGTTTACGTTCTAGGGGGCGCCAAAGATGACCCAAAAATCCACATTCTTAAAGGAATCCACATCCCCCCCAAGGCAGGAGAAAAAGTCAAGTTAACCCTGCCCATCGCTCAATGGCTCAATCGCATCGCTCTCCAGGCAACACCGTAAGGAGGAGCAACCTGCCATTTCGATATATCATAGCTGTGTTTGTGCCCTCACTCATGGTCCAGACTTTTTTCAAATAGGACATGAAGTTTGTCTGCAGCGAGTGTTTTGGTAGAAACTGCGCCTCCCATTCATTATAATGGGAAATGACCACAGACAAGTGCGCACACCATCTTTGGACCTTGAGTGTGACGCGATCGGGAGGGGGAGGCGGTCGCGCTAGGGGCGGCGCGACGCGGCTCGGGCCCGACAGTGCCCCACCGGGGCCCTAGTTAGGGCCCGAGCGTAGCTGCTAAGCAGCTGCGAGAGCCCTCTTGTTCCTGTAGTTTCCTTCTTTTGTTATTATTATTATTATTTTTCCTCCCCTTTGAACTGGAAAATGGCCCACTTCCCACTGGCGAAAACTCATGAAATTTGGCAGGACGACCGGGCCTGGTGAAAAATTTGATATTCCGAAGTCGCCCAAACAAGAAAATGCAAAATGGCTCCATAGCGCCCCCTAAGGTGAAAATTCACACTATTCACTGTCACGCCGGTACGCTTTGTCAAAATGACACAAAAATTGACACACACATGTATCTCAATAAGATCTACAAAAAAGTCAGTGCGGGCGTATCTGTCAAATGTACGGTTAAAGGGTTATTTCGCATTTTTTGCCGATCCGCACACATTGGAATTTCGCTAACTCCTCCGAAGGCTTTCGTTCCACCGGCACCACATTTGCTCAGGCCAATCTACACCCCATGGCCATTAAAAGTTATTCAAATCATGACGCTGCACCCCACGGTTTAGGTTCTAGGGGGCGCCAAAGATAACCCTAAGATCCACATATTTAAAAGTCTTATAACTTTTTATTTTTGCCCTCACTGGCCTCCAAGTTTTCTAGGATGATGCAATGTCCAGCCATCAACACATTTGTGAAGGAATTTTTACTCCCCAAAAGAGCGCCCCCCATGGCAGGAGAAAAAAGTCCATTTTTTCTTGTCCCCTAAGGTGAAAATACACATTGTTGAGTGTAACACCTGTACGCTTTGGCAAAATGACACAAAAATTGACACACACATGTATCTCAATAAGATCTACAAAAAAGTCAATGCGCGCGTATCTGTCAAATGTACGTTTAAAGGGCTATTTTGCATTTTTTGCCGATTCGCACACATTGGAATGTGGCTAACTCCTCCTAAGGCTTTCGTCCCACTGACACCAAATTTGCTCAGGCCAATCTACACCCCATGGCCATTCAAAGTTGTAAAAATCATGACGCTGCACCCCACGGTTTACGTTCTAGGGGGCGCCAAAGATGACCCAAAAATCCACATTCTTAAAGGAATCCACATCCCCCCCAAGGCAGGAGAAAAAGTCAAGTTAACCCTGCCCATCGCTCAATGGCTCAATCGCATCGCTCTCCAGGCAACACCGTAAGGAGGAGCAACCTGCCATTTCGATATATCATAGCTGTGTTTGTGCCCTCACTCATGGTCCAGACTTTTTTCAAATAGGACATGAAGTTTGTCTGCAGCGAGTGTTTTGGTAGAAACTGCGCCTCCCATTCATTATAATGGGAAATGACCACAGACAAGTGCGCACACCATCTTTGGACCTTGAGTGTGACGCGATCGGGAGGGGGAGGCGGTCGCGCTAGGGGCGGCGCGACGCGGCTCGGGCCCGACAGTGCCCCACCGGGGCCCTAGTTAGGGCCCGAGCGTAGCTGCTAAGCAGCTGCGAGAGCCCTCTTGTTCCTGTAGTTTCCTTCTTTTGTTATTATTATTATTATTTTTCCTCCCCTTTGAACTGGAAAATGGCCCACTTCCCACTGGCGAAAACTCATGAAATTTGGCAGGACGACCGGGCCTGGTGAAAAATTTGATATTCCGAAGTCGCCCAAACAAGAAAATGCAAAATGGCTCCATAGCGCCCCCTAAGGTGAAAATTCACACTATTCACTGTCACGCCGGTACGCTTTGTCAAAATGACACAAAAATTGACACACACATGTATCTCAATAAGATCTACAAAAAAGTCAGTGCGGGCGTATCTGTCAAATGTACGGTTAAAGGGTTATTTCGCATTTTTTGCCGATCCGCACACATTGGAATTTCGCTAACTCCTCCGAAGGCTTTCGTTCCACCGGCACCACATTTGCTCAGGCCAATCTACACCCCATGGCCATTAAAAGTTATTCAAATCATGACGCTGCACCCCACGGTTTAGGTTCTAGGGGGCGCCAAAGATAACCCTAAGATCCACATATTTAAAAGTCTTATAACTTTTTATTTTTGCCCTCACTGGCCTCCAAGTTTTCTAGGATGATGCAATGTCCAGCCATCAACACATTTGTGAAGGAATTTTTACTCCCCAAAAGAGCGCCCCCCCATGGCAGGAGAAAAAAGTCCATTTTTTCTTGTCCCCTAAGGTGAAAATACACATTGTTGAGTGTAACACCTGTACGCTTTGGCAAAATGACACAAAAATTGACACACACATGTATCTCAATAAGATCTACGAAAAAGTCAATGCGCGCGTATCTGTCAAATGTACGGTTAAAGGGTTATTCCGCATTTTTTGCCGATCCGCACACATTGGAATTTCGCTAACTCCTCCGAAGGCTTTCGTTCCACCGGCACCACATTTGCTCAGGCTAATCTACACCCCATGGCCATTAAAAGTTATTCAAATCATGACGCTGCACCCCACGGTTTAGGTTCTAGGGGGAGCCAAAGATAACCGTAAAATCCACATATTTAAAAGTCTTATAACTTTTTATTTTTGTCCCCACTGGCCTCCAAGTTTTCTAGGATGATGCAATGTCCAGCCATCAACACATTTGTGAAGGAATTTTTACTCGGCAAAAGAGCGCCCCCCATGGCAGGAGAAAAAAGTCAATTTTTTCTTGTCCACTAAGGTGAAAATACACATTGTTGAGTGCTACGCCTGTATGTTTTGTCGTATTGACACAAAATTTTACATACACGTGTATTTACATAAGATCTTCGAAAAAGTCAATGGCCACGTATCTGTAAAATGTACGGTTAAAGGGTTATTTCGCATTTTTTGCAGATTCGCACACATTGGAATTTCGCTAATTCCTCCGAAGGCTTTCGTTCCACTGGCACCACATTTGCTCAGGCCAATCTACACCCCATGGCCATTAAAAGTTATTCAAATCATGACGCTGCACCCCACGGTTTAGGTTCTAGGGGGCGCCAAATATAACGCTAAAATCCACATATTTAAAAGTCTTATAACTTTTTATTTTTGTCCTCACTGGCCTCCATGTTTTCTAGGATGATGCAATGTCCAGCCATCAACACATTTGTGAAGGAGTTTTTTCTCTTTAAAAGAGCGCCCCCCATGGCAGGAGAATAAAGTCAAGTTTTTCCTGTTCATCATTCAATGGCTCAAACGCACTGCTCTCTCGGCAAAAGCGAAAGGAGGAGCAACTTGCCATTTGGATATATCTTAGCTGTGTTTGTGCCCTCACTCATGGTCCAGACTTTTTTCAAATAGGACATGGAGTTTTTCTGCAGCGAGCGTTTTGGTAGAAACTGCGCCTCCCGTTCATTATAATGGTAAATGACCACAAACAAGTGCGCACACCATCTTTGGACCTTGAGTGTGACGCGATCGGGTGGGGGAGGCGGTCGCGCTGGGGGCGGCGTGACACGGCTCGGGCCCGCCAGTGCCCCAACGGGGCCCTAGTTTCTTCTTTTTCCTCCCCTTTGAACTGGAAAATGGCCCACTTCCCACTGGCGAAAACTCATGAAATTTGGCAGGACGACCGGGCCTGGTGAAAAATTCGATATTCTGAAGTCGCCCAAACAATAAAATGCAAAATGGCTCCATAGCGCCCCCTAAGGTGGAAATTCACACTATTGACTGTCACGCCTGTACGCTTTGTCATATTGACACAAAAATTGACACACATATGTATCTCAATAAGATCTACAAAAAAGTCAGTGCGGCCGTATCTGTCAAAATTACGGTTAAAGGGTTATTTCGCATTTTTTGCCGATCCGCACACATTGGAATTTCGCTAACTCCTCCGAAGGCTTTCGTTCCACCGGCACCACATTTGCTCAGGCCAATCTACACCCCGTGGCCATTAAAAGTTATCAAAATCATGACGCTGCACCCCAAGGTTTAGGTTCTAGGGGGCGCCAAAGATAACACTAAAATCCACATATTTAAAAGTCTTATAACTTTTTATTTTTGTCCTCACTGGCCTCCAAGTTTTCTAGGATGATGCAATGTCCAGCCATCAACACATTTGTGAAGGAATTTTTACTCCCCAAAAGAGCGCCCCCCCATGGCAGGAGAAAAAAGTCCATTTTTTCTTGTCCCCTAAGGTGAAAATACACATTGTTGAGTGTCAAGCCTATACGCTTTGTCAAAATGACACAAAAATTGACACACACATGTAACTCAATAAGATCTACAAAAAAGTCCATGCGCGCGTATCTGTCAAATGTACAGTTAAAGGGTTATTCCGCATTTTTTGCCGATACGCACACATTGGAATTTCGCTAACTCCTCCGAAGGCTTTCGTTCCACCGGCACCACATTTGCTCAGGCCAATCTACACCCCATGGCCATTAAAAGTTATTCAAATCATGATGCTGCACCCCATGGTTTAGGTTCTAGGGGGCGCCAAAAATAACCCAAAAATCCACATTCTTAAATGTTTTATAACTTTTTATTTTTGTCCTCACTGGCCTCCAAGTTTTCTAGGATGATGCAATGTCCAGCCATCAACACATTTGTGAAGGAATTTTTACTCCCCAAAAGAGCGCCCCCCATGGTAGGAGAAAAAGGCAATTTTTTCTTGTCCCCTTACATAAAAATACACATTGTTGAGTGTCACGCCTGAACGCTTTGTCATATTGACACAAAAATTGACAATCATGTGTATCTCAATTAGATCTACGAAAAAGTCAAAGAGCGCGTATCTGTATAATGTACGGTTAAAGGGCTATTTTGCATTTTTTGCCGATTCGCACACATTGGAATGTGGCTATCTCCTCCTAAGGCTTTCGTCCCACCGATACCAAATTTGCTCAGGGCAATCTACACCCCATGCCCATTCAAAGTTGTAAAAATCATGACGCTGCACCCCACGGTTTACGTTCTAGGGGGCGCCAAAGATGACCCAAAAATCCACATTCTTAAAAGTCATTTTGGCCACTGCAGGAGTACAGAGTACTGCAGTTCTAGGGGGCGCCAAAGATGACCCAAAAATCCACATTCTTAAAAGTCTTTTTGGCCACTGCAGGAGTACAGAGTACTGCAGGATACACACACATATACACACACGCCAACATACACACACACACACACACACACACACACACACACACACACACACACACACACACACACACCCACACTCAGAGTCTGGTTTTTAGCACCTGCAAAAACATGCTGTTTACATATTTGACAAGAATGCAGAGGCTTCCTTTTGCCGCTGAAAAAAATCAAATTTCAAACACAACTTGACTGTTCATTTCTCCAAAAGACAACCATGAAGCTCCATTTCAAACCTGAAGCAGATAGTTGGTGCATGTGTACAGTAACCTGAGGGGAGTGAGGTGACTATTTCTGAGGAGAACATGAGCAGTGAAGATTCACCTTGGAGCTAGAACAGGGACGTGCACATGATTATACAGGGGCAGGGGCTCAAGTTTTTTCCAGTCATTTATACAATATGGAAATTAATGTGAAATTAAACCACAAATATGTGTGATGAACTGTTTTTAAAACTTAAACTTCAAATAAAAATTGTAAACTTCAAAACATATGCAAATTTTTAACAAAGAACATAGTAATTTACCTCTATTTACATCAAAATGCAGGCAATGGCCCAGGCGTTCTTTGTAAAATTATTTACAAAACACTGTATAGTCTCACAAATGTCACTTTTTATTTATGCCACTACAAAAAAACATGATGTAAATGATGCATGATGTAAAACATGATGTAAAAAACTTGTGTAGATCCTCCTCTATGTCAGTCCATGTGTAATTTTTCCATAATTCTTTGTTTTTTGCAGCATTTTTGTTAGTGTAACTGCAGATTGTGCTGACAGTGTCTATGGCACAAAAAAAAAAAAAAATTTTTAATGCCTCAACATGAACCCGTGGTGGTCTCTGAGGGTGAAACCTGCTAACTGCTGCAGCTCTGTCAGCTTCAGTCTCCCATGCAGAGCTCTGAGCGCATGTGTGGCTCTGCACCCTTAGCAGCGTTGCTAACTCCTCAGTATGGAAAGCCTGCTTCATGTCAGAGTCTCTAAACTCCAGAAGAAGTCGATAAAAGTCCCTTTCTTTCTAAAAAAAGTCGTTAGGGGGTCTGAAAAGTCATTGAATCTAACAACAAAGTCGCTAGGTTTGCAACTACGTGTCCCAGACTGCATCCCTGCTGAGAGTCCCTCCCTCCCTTCTCATGTTGCAGGAAGAACGTAAGCGCCCCCCTTGTCAATCAGTCACCATATAATTTTGGATTGGTTGTTGTGGTGAAGTTTTCCACCAATAGGAGAGATGTTGTGGTGTGTTTTTTTCTTTTGGCAAGCCTTTTCCGCCTGTAAGAACTGTCGCTAATGTCTGCATGCTATGTTTTCCTGTCTCATACAGCGCGATCGAGCGCCGAACGTGATCAAAATAAGCAGAAAACAAGTATCGCGGACATAATTTATCATAACTCTGGTTTTATTTGGCCTATCAACACAATTTAAAAACTGGTATATAGGTTGAGGTCCTCACTTTTGAGATAAGTTGAAACGGAGAGTCAACGAGGCTCCGTCTTGCAGCTACATCCGGTTAAATATGTCATGTGACTTGAACGCACACACACAGACACACACACACACACACACACACACACACACACACACACACACACACACACACACACACACACACACACACTCAGAGTCTGGTTTTTAGCACCTGCAAAAACATGCTATTTACATATTTGACAAGAATGCAGAGGCTCCTTTTGCCCCTGAAAAAAATCAAATTTCAAACACAACTTGACTGGTCATTTCTCCAAAAGACAACCATGAAGCTCCATCCAAACCTGAAGCAGGCAGTTGGTGCATGTGTACAGTAACCTGAGGGGAGTGAGGTGAGTGCTTCTGAGGAGAACATGAGCAGTGAAGATTCACCTTGGAGCTAGAACAGAGACATGCACATGATTATACAGGGGCAGGGGCTCAAGTTTTTTCCAGTCGTTTATACAATATGGAAATTAATGTGAAATTAAAACACAAAGTATTAATAGAAAGGTAATGACTGTCCTGTGTAGGTGACAGTGATATCCAATAGGCTAGGCACTCACGAGGCTGGCTGTGGCAAGTGTAAGTGAAAGCAACACGCACTGGCAGGAAGAACAGCAAACGCCGATGAAGGAAAAGGGTCTTTGCAGTGATGGGCGTTACCAGAGAGGGCGATGGCCAGAGGACACAAATGGGACGGGGAGGCAGCACGTTGGGGGGGGGGGGGGGCGCGACACGGCTCGGGCCCGCCAGTGCCCCAACGGGGTCCTAGTTTCTTTTTCCTCCCCTTTGAACTGGAAAATGGCCCACTTCCCACTGGCGAAAACTCATGAAATTTGGCAGGACGACCGGGCCTGGTGAAAAATTTGATATTCCGAAGTCGCCCAAACAAGAAAATGCAAAATGGCTCCATAGCGCCCCCTAAGGTGAAAAATTCACCTGACGCCTGTACGCTTTGTCAAAATGACACAAAAATTGACACACACATGTATCTCAATAAGATCTACAAAAAAGTCAGTGCGGGCGTATCTGTCAAATGTACGGTTAAAGGGTTATTGCGCATTTTTTGCCGATCCGCACACATTGGAATTTCGCTAACTCCTCCGAAGGCTTTCGTTCCACCGGCACCACATTTGCTCAGGCCAATCTACACCCCATGGCCATTAAAAGTTATTCAAATCATGACGCTGCACCCCACGGTTTAGGTTCTAGGGGGCGCCAAAGATAACACTAAAATCCACATATTTCAAAGTCTTATAACTTTTTATTTTTGTCCTCACTGGCCTCCAAGTTTTCTAGGATGATGCAATGTCCAGCCATCAACACATTTGTGAAGGAATTTTTACTCCCCAAAAGAGCGCCCCCCATGGCAGGAGAAAAAAGTCCATTTTTTCTTGTCCCCTAAGGTGAAAATACACATTGTTGAGTGTCACGCCTGTACGCTTTGTCAAAATGACACAAAAATTGACACACACATGTATCTCAATAAGATCTACAAAAAAGTCAATGGGCGCGCTGTATCTGTCAAATGTACGGTTAAAGGGTTATTCCGCATTTTTTGCCGATTCGCACACATTGGAATTTCGCTAACTCCTCCGAAGGCTTTCGTTCCACCGGCACCACATTTGCTCAGGCCAAATTACACCCCATGGCCATTAAAAGTTATTCAAATCATGACGCTGCACCCCACGGTTTACGTTCTAGGGGGCGCCAAAGATAACCCAAAAATCCAAATTTTTAAAAGTCTTATAACTTTTTATTTTTGTCCTCACTGGCCTCCAAGTTTTCTAGGATGATGCAATGTCCAGCCATCAACACATTTGTGAAGGAATTTTTACTCCCTAAAAGAGCGCCCCCCCATGGCAGGAGAAAAAAGTCCATTTTTTCTTGTCCCCTAAGGTGAAAATACACATTGTTGACTGTCACGCCTGTACGCTTTGGCAAAATGACACAAAAATTGACAATCATGTGTATCTCAATTAGATCTACGAAAAAGTCAAGAGCGCGTATCTGTATAATGTACGGTAAAAGGGCTATTTTGCATTTTTTGCCGATTCGCACATATTGGAATTTCGCTAACTCCTCCTAAGGCTTTCGTCCCACTGACACCAAATTTGCTCAGGCCAATCTACACTCCATGGCCATTCAAAGTTGTAAAAATCATGACGCGGCACCCCACGGTTTACGTTTTAGGGGGCGCCAAAGATGACCCAAATATACATTACAGTAGACAAAGTAGTTTTGCCCACTGAGTGGCGCCAAAGGGACTTGTCTGTGGAGTCTGTGAGTCACTATTGGCCGTTTTTGACTACTTTAGATTTTACCTTTATATTTCCTCTTACAAAATTTTTACCTTGCCTTGCCTGGTATAATTTTTTTCAGCACAACCTCACCTGTGTCAATTTACAGTTATTTTATCATTTTGACATACTATATTTACACATTGGACCCAAATTCACACACAAAACATAAAATCCGAGTGGAAAAAAGTAACGTTTTTACTGTGAAAACCACAAATATGTGTGATGAACTGTTTTTAAAACTTAAACTTCAAATAAAAATTGTAAACTTCAAAACATATGCAAATTTTTAACAAAGAACATAGTAATTTACCTCTATTTACATCAAAATGCAGGCAATGGCCCAGGCGTTCTTTGTAAAATTATTTACAAAACACTGTATAGTCTCACAAATGTCACTTTTTATTTATGCCACTACAAAAAAACATGATGTAAATGATGCATGATGTAAAACATGATGTAAAAAACTTGTGTAGATCCTCCTCTATGTCAGTCCATGTGTAATTTTTCCATAATTCTTTGTTTTTTGCAGCATTTTTGTTAGTGTAACTGCAGATTGTGCTGACAGTGTCTATGGCAAAAAAAAAAAAAAAAAACTGAAAATGCCTCAACATGAACCCCTGGTGGTCTCTGAGGGTGAAACCTGCTAACTGCTGCAGCTCTGTCAGCTTCAGTCTCCCATGCAGAGCTCGGAGCGCATGTGTGGCTCTGCACCCTTAGCAGCATTGCTAACTCCTCAGTAAGGAAAGCCTGCTTCATGTCAGAGTCTCTAAACTCCAGAAGAAGTCGATAAAAGTCACTTTCTTTCTAAAAAAACGTCGTTAGGGGGTCTGAAAAGTCATTGAATCTAACAACAAAGTCGCTAGGTTTGCAACTACGTGTCCCAGACTGCATCCCTGCTGAGAGTCCCTCCCTCCCTTCTCATATTGCAGGAAGAACGTAAGCGCCCGCCCCTTGTCAATCAGTCACCATATAATTTTGGATTGGTTGTTGTGGTGAAGTTTTCCACCAATAGGAGAGATGTTGTGGTGTGTTTTTTTTTTCCTTTGGCAAGCCTTTTCCGCCTGTAAGACCTGTCGCTAATGTCTGCATGCTATGTTTTCCTGTCTCATACAGCGCGATCGAGCGCCGAACGTGATCAAAATAAGCAGAAAACAAGTATCGCGGACATAATTTATCATAACTCTGGTTTTATTTGGCCTATCAACACAATTTAAAAACTGGTATATAGGTTGAGGTCCTCACTTTTGAGATAAGTTGAAACGGAGAGTCAACGAGGCTCCGTCTTGCAGCTACATCCGGTTAAATATGTCATGTGACTTGAACACACACACACACACACACACAGACACACACACACACACACACACACACACACACACACACACACACACACACACACACACACACACACACACTCAGAGTCTGGTTTTTAGCACCTGCAAAAACATGCTATTTACATATTTGACAAGAATGCAGAGGCTCCTTTTGCCCCTGAAAAAAATCAAATTTCAAACACAACTTGACTGGTCATTTCTCCAAAAGACAACCATGAAGCTCCATCCAAACCTGAAGCAGGCAGTTGGTGCATGTGTACAGTAACCTGAGGGGAGTGAGGTGACTGCTTCTGAGGAGAACATGAGCAGTGAAGATTCACCTTAGAGCTAGAACAGAGACGTGCACATGATTATACAGGGGCAGGGGCTCAAGTTTTTTCCAGTTGTTTATACAATATGGAAATTAATGTGAAATTAAAAAACAAAGTATTAATAGAAAGGTAATGACTGTCCTGTGTAGGTGACAGTGATATCCAATAGGCTAGGCACTCACGAGGCTGGCTGTGGCAAGTGTAAGTGAAAGCAACACGCACTGGCAGGAAGAACAGCAAACGCCGATGAAGGAAAAGGGTCTTTGCAGTGATGGGCGTTACCAGAGAGGGCGATGGCCAGAGGACACAAATGGGACGGGGAGGCAGCGCGTTGGGGGGGGGACGCGACACAGCTCGGGCCCGCCAGTGCCCCAACGGGGTCCTAGTTAGGGCCCGAGCGTAGCTGCTAAGCAGCTGCGAGAGCCCTATTATTCCCCAAGTGGTTTTTTTAGGGCCCGAGCGTAGCTGCTAAGCAGCTGCGAGAGCCCTCTTGTTCCTGCATGTTTCCTTCTTTCGTTATTATTTTTCCTCCGCTTTAAACTGGAAAATGGCCCACTTCCCACTGGCGAAAACTCAGGAAATTTGGCAGGACGACCGGGCCTGGTGAAAAATTCGATATTCTGAAGTCGCCCAAACAATAAAATGCAAAATGGCTCCATAGCGCCCCCTAAGGTGAAAATTCACATGACGGCTGTACGCTTTGTCATATTGACACAAAAATTGACACACACATGTATCTCAATAAGATCTACAAAAAAGTCAGTGCGGGCGTATCTGTCAAATGTACGGTTAATGGGTTATTTTGCATTTTTTGCAGATCTGCACACATTGGAATTTCGCTAACTCCTCTGAAGGCTTTCGTTCGACCGGCACCACATTTGCGCAGGCCAATCTACCCCCCATGGCCATTAAAAGTTGTCCAAATCATGACGCTGCACCCCACGGTTTACGTTCTAGGGGGCGCCAAAGATAACCCAAAATCCACATTCTTAAAAGTCTTATAACTTTTTATTTTTGTCCTCACTGCCCTCCAAGTTTTCTAGGATGATGCAATGTCCAGCCATCAACACATTTGTGAAGGAATTTTTACTCCCCAAAAGAGCGCCCCCCCATGGCAGGAGAAAAAAGTCAATTTTTTCTTGTCCCCTTACATGAAAATACACATTGTTGAGTGTCACGCCTGAACGCTTTGTCATATTGACACAAAAATTGACAATCATGTGTATCTCAATTAGATCTACGAAAAAGTCAAAAAGCGCGTATCTGTATAATGTATGGTTAAAGGGCTATTTCGCATTTTTTGCCGATTCGCACACATTGGAATGTGGCTATCTCCTCCTAAGGCTTTCGTCCCACCGATACCAAATTTGCTCAGGGCAATCTACACCCCATGCCCATTCAAAGTTGTAAAAATCATGACGCTGCACCCCACGGTTTACGTTCTAGGGGGCGCCAAAGATGACCCAAAAATCCACATTCTTAAAAGTCATTTTGGCCACTGCAGGAGTACAGAGTACTGCAGTTCTAGGGGGCGCCAAAGATGACCCAAAAATCCACATTCTTAAAAGTCTTTTTGGCCACTGCAGGAGTACAGAGTACTGCAGGATACACACACACACACACACACACACACACACACACACACACACACACTCAGAGTCTGTTTTTTAGCACCTGCAAAAACATGCTGTTTACATATTTGACAAGAATGCAGAGGCTTCCTTTTGCCCCTGAAAAAAATCAAATTTCAAACACAACTTGACTGTTCATTTCTCCAAAAGACAACCATGAAGCTCCATCCAAACCTGAAGCAGATAGTTGGTGCATGTGTACAGTAACCTGAGGGGAGTGAGGTGACTATTTCTGAGGAGAACATGAGCAGTGAAGATTCACCTTGGAGCTAGAACAGGGACGTGCACATGATTATACAGGGGCAGGGGCTCAAGTTTTTTCCAGTCATTTATACAATATGGAAATTAATGTGAAATTAAACCACAAATATGTGTGATGAACTGTTTTTAAAACTTAAACTTCAAATAAAAATTGTAAACTTCAAAACATATGCAAATTTTTAACAAAGAACATAGTAATTTACCTCTATTTACATCAAAATGCAGGCAATGGCCCAGGCGTTCTTTGTAAAATTATTTACAAAACACTGTTTAGTCTCACAAATGTCACTTTTTATTTATGCCACTACAAAAAAACATGATGTAAATGATGCATGATGTAAAACATGATGTAAAAAACTTGTGTAGATCCTCCTCTATGTCAGTCCATGTGTAATTTTTCCATAATTCTTTGTTTTTTGCAGCATTTTTGTTAGTGTAACTGCAGATTGTGCTGACAGTCTATGGGAAAAAAAAAAAAACTGAAAATGCCTCAACATGAACCCCTGGTGGTCTCTGAGGGTGAAACCTGCTAACTGCTGCAGCTCTGTCAGCTTCAGTCTCCCATGCAGAGCTCGGAGCGCATGTGTGGCTCTGCACCCTTAGCAGCGTTGCTAACTCCTCAGTAAGGAAAGCCTGCTTCATGTCAGAGTCTCTAAACTCCAGAAGAAGTCGATAAAAGTCCCTTTCTTTCTAAAAAAAGTCGTTAGGGGGTCTGAAAAGTAATTGAATCTAACAACAAAGTCGCTAGGTTTGCAACTACGTGTCCCAGACTGCATCCCTGCTGAGAGTCCCTCCCTCCCTTCTCATGTTGCAGGAAGAACATAAGCGCCCGCCCCTTGTCAATCAGTCACCATATAATTTTGGATTGGTTGTTGTGGTGAAGTTTTCCACCAATAGGAGAGATGTTGTGGTGTGTTTTTTTTTTTCTTTTGGCAAGCCTTTTCCGCCTGTAAGACCTGTCGCTAATGTGTGCATGCTATGTTTTCCTGTCTCATACAGCGCGATCGAGCGCCGAACGTGATCAAAATAAGCAGAAAAAAAGTATCGCGGACATAATTTATCATAACTCTGGTTTTATTTGGCCTATCAACACAATTTAAAAACTGGTATATAGGTTGAGGTCCTCACTTTTGAGATAAGTTGAAACGGAGAGTCAACGAGGCTCCGTCTTGCAGCTACATCCGGTTAAATATGTCATGTGACTTGAACGCTGGGGAGCGTCAATCGAATCGAATCAAACCTAACTCTCAGATGAATCTTCAAAATTCACCTCAGAAATATGCTTATTATTCTTCTCAGAGTACTGCAGGATACACACACACACACACACACACAGACACACACACACACACACGCACACACACACACACACACTGAGTCTGTTTTTTAGCACCTGCAAAAACATGCTATTTACATATTTGACAAGAATGCAGAGGCTTCCTTTTGCCCCTGAAAAAAATCAAATTTCAAACACAACTTGACTGCTCATTTCTCCAAAAGACAACCATGAAGCTCCATCCAAACCTGAAGCAGGCAGTTGGTGCATGTGTACAGTAACCTGAGGGGAGTGAGGTGACTGCTTCTGAGGAGAACATGAGCAGTGAAGATTCACCTTGGAGCTAGAACAGGGACGTGCACATGATAATACAGGGGCAGGGGCTCAAGTTTTTTCCAGTCGTTTATACAATATGGAAATTAATGTGAAATTAAAAGTATGACTGTCCTGTGTAGGTGACAGTGATATCCAATAGGCTAGGCACTCACGAGGCTGGCTGTGGCAAGTGTAAGTGAAAGCAACACGCACTGGCAGGAAGAACAGCAAACGCCGATGAAGGAAAAGGGTCTTTGCAGTGATGGGCGTTACCAGAGAGGGCGATGGCCAGAGGACGCGAATGGGACGGGGAGGCAGCGCGTTGGGGGGGGGGGGGGGGGGCACGGCTCGGGCCCGCCAGTGCCCCAACGGGGCCCTAGTCTTTGTTTCTTTCTTTCTTCTTTTTCCTCCCCTTTGAACTGGAAAATGGCCCACTTCCCACTGGCGAAAACTCATGAAATTTGGCAGGACGACCGGGCCTGGTGAAAAATTTGATATTCCGAAGTCGCCCAAACAAGAAAATGCAAAATGGCTCCATAGCGCCCCCTAAGGTGAAAATTCACACTATTGACTGTCACGCCTTTACGCTTTGTCATATTGACACAAAAATTGACACACACATGTATCTCAATAAGATCTACAAAAAAGTCAGTGCGGGCGTATCTGTCAAATGTACGGTTAAAGGGTTATTCCGCATTTTTTGCCGATCCGCACACATTGGAATTTCGCTAACTCCTCCGAAGGCTTTCGTTCCACCGGCACCACATTTGCTCAGGCCAATCTACACCCCATGGCCATTAAAAGTTATTCAAATCATGACGCTGCACCCCACGGTTTAGGTTCTAGGGGGCGCCAAAGATAACCCTAAAATCCACATATTTAAAAGTCTTATAACTTTTTATTTTTGCCCTCACTGGCCTCCAAGTTTTCTAGGATGATGCAATGTCCAGCCATCAACACATTTGTGAAGGAATTTTTAATCCCCAAAAGAGCGCCCCCCCATGGCAGGAGAAAAAAGTCCATTTTTTCTTGTCCCCTAAGGTGAAAATACACATTGTTGAGTGTCACGCCTGTACGCTTTGTCATATTGACACAAAATTTGACACACACATGTATCTCAATAAGATCTACGAAAAAGTCAATGCGCGCGTATCTGTCAAATGTACGGTTAAAGGGTTATTCCGCATTTTTTGCTGATCCGCACACATTGGAATTTCGCTAACTCCTCCTAAGGCTGGCGTTCCACCGGCACCACATTTGCTCAGGCCAATCTACACCCCATGGCCATTAAAAGTTATTCAAATCATGACGCTGCACCCCACGGTTTAGGTTCTAGGGGGCGCCAAAGATAACCCTAAAATCCACATATTTCAAAGTCTTATAACTTTTTATTTTTGCCCTCACTGGCCTCCAAGTTTTCTAGGATGATGCAATGTCCAGCCATCAACACATTTGTGAAGGAATTTTTAATCCCCAAAAGAGCGCCCCCCCATAGCAGGAGAAAAAAGTCCATTTTTTCTTGTCCCATAAGATGAAAAAACACATTGTTGACTGTCATACCTGTACGCTTTGTCATATTGACACAAAATTTGACAATCACATGTATCTCAATAAGATCTACGAAAAAGTCAATGCGCGCGTATCTGTAAAATGTACGGTTAAAGGGCTATTTTGCATTTTTTGCCGATTCGCACACATTGGAATGTGGCTAACTCCTCCTAAGGCTTTCGTCCCACTGACACCAAATTTGCTCAGGCCAATCTACACCCCATGGCCATTCAAAGTTGTAAAAATCATGACGCTGCACCCCACGGTTTACGTTCTAGGGGGCGCCAAAGATGACCCAAATATCCACATTCTTAAAAGAATCCACATCCCCCCCCCCCCATCCCCCAACCCCCATGGCAGGAGAAACAGTCAAGTTTTTCCTGCCCATCACTCAATGGCTCAATCGCATCACTCTCCCGGCAACACCGTAACGAGGAGCAACTTGCCGTTTGGATATATCCTTGATGTGTTTGTGCCCTCACTCATGGTCCAGACTTTTTTCAAATAGGACATGTAGTTTGTCTGCAGCGAGTGTTTTGGTAGAAACTGCGCCTCCCATTCATTATAATGGGAAATGACCACAGACAAGTGCGCACACCATCTTTGGACCTTGAGTGTGACGCGATCAGGAGGGGGAGGCGGTCGCGCTGGGGGCGGCGCAACGCGGCTCGGGCCCGACAGTGCCCCACCGGGGCCCTAGTTAGGGCCCGAGCGTAGCTGCTAAGCAGCTGCGAGAGCCCTATTATTCCCCAAGTGGTTTTTCTTTGTTTCTTTTTTCTTTTTCCTCCCCTTTGAACTGGAAAATGGCCCACTTCCCACTGGCGAAAACTCATGAAATTTGGCGGGACGACCGGGCCTGGTGAAAAATTTGATATTCCGAAGTCGCCCAAACAAGAAAATGCAAAATGGCTCCATAGCGCCCCCTAAGGTGAAAATTCACACTATTGACTGTCACGCCTGTACGCTTTGTCAAAATGACACAAAAATTGACACACACATGTATCTCAATAAGATCTACAAAAAAGTCAGTGCGGGCGTATCTGTCAAATTTACGGTTAAAGGGTTATTTCGCATTTTTTGCCGATCCGCACACATTGGAATTTCGCTAACTCCTCCGAAGGCTTTCGTTCCACCGGCACCACATTTGCTCAGGCCAATCTACACCCCATGGCCATTAAAAGTTATTCAAATCATGACGCTGCACCCCACGGTTTAGGTTCTAGGGGGCGCCAAAGATAACCCTAAAATCCACATATTTAAAAGTCTTATAACTTTTTATTTTTGCCCTCACTGGCCTCCAAGTTTTCTAGGATGATGCAATGTCCAGCCATCAACACATTTGTGAAGGAATTTTTACTCCCCAAAAGAGCGCCCCCCCATGGCAGGAGAAAAAAGTCCATTTTTTCTTGTCCCCTAAGGTGAAAATACACATTGTTGAGTGTCACGCCTGTACGCTTTGTCAAAATGACACAAAAATTGACACACACATGTATCTCAATAAGATCTACAAAAAAGTCAATGCGCGCGTATCTGTCAAATGTACGGTTAAAGGGTTATTCCGCATTTTTTGCCGATTCGCACACGTTGGAATTTCGCTAACTCCTCCGAAGGCTTTCGTTCCACCGGCACCACATTTGCTCAGGCCAATCTACACCCCATGGCCATTAAAAGTTATTCAAATCATGACGCTGCACCCCACGGTTTACGTTCTAGGGGGCGCCAAAGATAACCCAAAAATCCACATTTTTAAAAGTCTTATAACTTTTTATTTTTGTCCTCACTGGCCTCCAAGTTTTCTAGGATGATGCAATGTCCAGCCATCAACACATTTGTGAAGGAATTTTTACTCCCCAAAAGAGCGCCCCCCCATGGTAGGAGAAAAAAGTCAATTTTTTCTTGTCCCCTTACATGAAAATACACATTGTTGAGTGTCACGCCTGAACGCTTTGTCATATTGACACAAAAATTGACACACACATGTATCTCAATAAGATCTACGAAAAAGTCAAAGAGCGCGTATCTGTATAATGTACGGTTAAAGGGCTATTTTGCATTTTTTGCCGATTCGCACACATTGGAATGTGGCTATCTCCTCCTAAGGCTTTCGTCCCACCGATACCAAATTTGCTCAGGGCAATCTACACCCCATGCCCATTCAAAGTTGTAAAAATCATGACGCTGCACCCCACGGTTTACGTTCTAGGGGGCGCCAAAGATGACCCAAAAATCCACATTCTTAAAAGTCATTTTGGCCACTGCAGGAGTACAGAGTACTGCAGTTCTAGGGGGCGCCAAAGATGACCCAAAAATCCACATTCTTAAAAGTCTTTTTGGCCACTGCAGGAGTACAGAGTACTGCAGGATACACACACATATACACACACGCCAACATACACACACACACACACACACACACACACACACACACACACACACACACACACACACACACACACACTCAGAGTCTGTTTTTTAGCACCTGCAAAAACATGCTGTTTACATATTTGACAAGAATGCAGAGGCTTCCTTTTGCCCCTGAAAAAAATCAAATTTCAAACACAACTTGACTGTTCATTTCTCCAAAAGACAACCATGAAGCTCCATTTCAAACCTGAAGCAGATAGTTGGTGCATGTGTACAGTAACCTGAGGGGAGTGAGGTGACTATTTCTGAGGAGAACATGAGCAGTGAAGATTCACCTTGGAGCTAGAACAGGGACGTGCACATGATTATACAGGGGCAGGGGCTCAAGTTTTTTCCAGTCATTTATACAATATGGAAATTAATGTGAAATTAAACCACAAATATGTGTGATGAACTGTTTTTAAAACTTAAACTTCAAATAAAAATTGTAAACTTCAAAACATATGCAAATTTTTAACAAAGAACATAGTAATTTACCTCTATTTACATCAAAATGCAGGCAATGGCCCAGGCGTTCTTTGTAAAATTATTTACAAAACACTGTATAGTCTCACAAATGTCACTTTTTATTTATGCCACTACAAAAAAACATGATGTAAATGATGCATGATGTAAAACATGATGTAAAAAACTTGTGTAGATCCTCCTCTATGTCAGTCCATGTGTAATTTTTCCATAATTCTTTGTTTTTTGCAGCATTTTTGTTAGTGTAACTGCAGATTGTGCTGACAGTGTCTATGGCACAAAAAAAAAAAAAAATTAAAATGCCTCAACATGAACCCCTGGTGGTCTCTGAGGGTGAAACCTGCTAACTGCTGCAGCTCTGTCAGCTTCAGTCTCCCATGCAGAGCTCTGAGCGCATGTGTGGCTCTGCACCCTTAGCAGCGTTGCTAACTCCTCAGTAAGGAAAGCCTGCTTCATGTCAGAGTCTCTAAACTCCAGAAGAAGTCGATAAAAGTCCCTTTCTTTCTAAAAAAAAGTCGTTAGGGGGTCTGAAAAGTCATTGAATCTAACAACAAAGTCGCTAGGTTTGCAACTACGTGTCCCAGACTGCATCCCTGCTGAGAGTCCCTCCCTCCCTTCTCATGTTGCAGGAAGAACGTAAGCGCCCGCCCCTTGTCAATCAGTCACCATATAATTTTGGATTGGTTGTTGTGGTGAAGTTTTCCACCAATAGGAGAGATGTTGTGGTGTGTTTTTTTTTCTTTTGGCAAGCCTTTTCCGCCTGTAAGACCTGTCGCTAATGTCTGCATGCTATGTTTTCCTGTCTCATACAGCGCGATCGAGCGCCGAACGTGATCAAAATAAGCAGAAAAAAAGTATCGCGGACATAATTTATCATAACTCTGGTTTTATTTGGCCTATCAACACAATTTAAAAACTGGTATATAGGTTGAGGTCCTCACTTTTGAGATAAGTTGAAACGGAGAGTCAACGAGGCTCCGTCTTGCAGCTACATCCGGTTAAATATGTCATGTGACTTGAACGCACACACAGACACACACACACGCACACACACACACACACACACACTCAGAGTCTGGTTTTTAGCACCTGCAAAAACATGCTATTTACATATTTGACAAGAATGCAGAGGCTCCTTTTGCCCCTGAAAAAAATCAAATTTCAAACACAACTTGACTGGTCATTTCTCCAAAAGACAACCATGAAGCTCCATCCAAACCTGAAGCAGGCAGTTGGTGCATGTGTACAGTAACCTGAGGGGAGTGAGGTGAGTGCTTCTGAGGAGAACATGAGCAGTGAAGATTCACCTTGGAGCTAGAACAGAGACATGCACATGATTATACAGGGGCAGGGGCTCAAGTTTTTTCCAGTCGTTTATACAATATGGAAATTAATGTGAAATTAAAACACAAAGTATTAATAGAAAGGTAATGACTGTCCTGTGTAGGTGACAGTGATATCCAATAGGCTAAGCACTCACGAGGCTGGCTGTGGCAAGTGTAAGTGAAAGCAACACGCACTGGCAGGAAGAACAGCAAACGCCGATGAAGGAAAAGGGTCTTTGCAGTGATGGGCGTTAACAGAGAGGGCGATGGCCAGAGGACACAAATGGGACGGGGAGGCAGCACGTTGGGGGGGGGGGAGACGCGACACGGCTCGGGCCCGCCAGTGCCCCAACGGGGTCCTAGTTAGGGCCCGAGCGTAGCTGCTAAGCAGCTGCGAGAGCCCTCTTGTTCCTGATGGATTCTTCTTTCGTTATTTTTCCTCCGCTTTAAACTGGAAAATGGCCCACTTCCCACTGGCGAAAACTCAGGAAATTTGGCAGGACGACCGGGCCTGGTGAAAAATTTGATATTCTGAAGTCGCCCAAACAAAAAAATGAAAAATGGCTCCATAGCGCCCCCTATGGTGAAAACTCACCTGACGCCTGTACGCTTTGTCAAAATGACACAAAATTTGACACACATGTGTATCTCAATAAGATCTACAAAAAAGTCAGTGCGGGCGTATCTGTCAAATGTACGGTTAAAGGGCTATTTCGCATTTTTTGCCGATCCGCACACATTGGAATTTCGCTAACTCCTCCGAAGGCTTTCGTTCCACCGGCACCAAATTTGCTCAGGCCAATCTACACCCCATGGCCATTAAAAGTTGTACAAATCATGACGCTGCACCCCACGGTTTATGTTCTAGGGGGCGCCAAAAATAACCCAAAAATCCACATTCTTAAAAGTCTTATAACTTTTTATTTTTGTCCTCACTGGCCTCCAAGTTTTCTAGGATGATGCTATGTCCAGCCATCAACACATTTGTGAAGGAATTTTTACTCCCCAAAAGAGCGCCCCCACATGGCAGGAGAAAAAAGTCCATTTTTTCTTGTCCCCTAAGGTGAAAATACACATTGTTGAGTGTCACACCTATACGCTTTGTCATATTGACCCAAAATTTGACAATCACGTGTATCTCAATAAGATCTACGAAAAAGTCAATGGGCACGTATCTGTAAAATGTACGGTTAAAGGGTTATTTCGCATTTTTTCCCGATCCGCACACATTGGAATTTCGCTAACTCCTCCGAAGGCTTTAGTTCCACCGCCACCAAATTTGCTCAGGCCAATCTACACCCCATGGCCATTAAAAGTTGTACAAATCATGACGCTGCACTCCACGGTTTAGGTTCTAGGGGGCGCCAAAGATAACCCAAAAATCCACATTCTTAATAGTCTTATAACTTTTTATTTTTGTCCTCACTGGCCTCCAAGTTTTCTAGGATGATGCAATGTCCAGCCATCAACACATTTGTGAAGGAATTTTTACTCCCGAAAAGAGCGCCCCCCCATGGCAGGAGAAAAAAGTCCATTTTTTCTTGTCCCCTAAGGTGAAAAAACACATTGTTGACTGTCACGCCTATACGCTTTGTCAAAATGACACAAAATTTGACACACACGTGTATCTCAATAAGATCTACGAAAAAGTCAATGGGCACGTATCTGTAAAACGTACGGTTAAAGGGCTATTTCGCATTTTTTGCCGATTCGCACACATTGGAATGTGGCTAACTCCTCCTAAGGCTTTCTTCCCACCAACACCAAATTTGCTCAAGCCGATCTACATCCCATGGCCATTCAAAGTTGTAAAAATCATGCCGCTGCACCCCATGGTTTACGTTCTAGGGGGCGCCAAAGATGACCCAAATATCCACATTCTTAAAAGAATCCACCCCCCCCCCCCCAAGGCAGGAGAAAAAGTCCAGTTAACCCTGCCCATCGCTCAATGGCTCAATCGCATCGCTCTCCTGGCAACACCGTAAGGAGGAGCAACTTGCCATTTGGATATATCCTAGCTGTGTTTGTGCCCTCACTCATGGTCCAGACTTTTTTCAAATAGGACATGTAGTTTGTCTGCAGCGACCGTTTTGGTAGAAACTGCACCTCCCATTCATTATAATGGGAAATGACCACAGACAAGTGCGCACACCATCTTTGGACCTTGAGTGTGATGCGATCGTGAGGGGGAGGCGGTCGCGCTGGGGGCGGCGCGACGCGGCTCGGGCCCGACAGTGCCCCACCGGGGCCCTAGTTATTAGGGCCCGAGCGTAGCTGCTAAGCAGCTGCGAGAGCCCTCTTGTTCCTGCATGTTTCCTTCTTTAGGGCCCGAGCGTAGCTGCTAAGCAGCTGCGAGAGCCCTCTTGTTCCTGCATGTTTCCTTCTTTTGTTATTATTAGGGCCCGAGCGTAGCTGCTAAGCAGCTGCGAGAGCCCTCTTGTTCCTGCATGTTTCCTTCTTTTGTTATTAGGGCCCGAGCCAGCTGCAGAGCAGCCGGGCGTAGGCCCTGTTATTCCTGTAGGGGTTTTTCTTTGTTTCTTTCTTTCTTCTTTTTCCTCCCCTTTGAACTGGAAAATGGCCCACTTCCCACTGGCGAAAACTCAGGAAATTTGGCAGGACGACCGGGCCTGGTGAAAAATTTGATATTCCGAAGTCGCCCAAACAAGAAAATGCAAAATGGCTCCATAGCGCCCCCTAAGGTGAAAATTCACACTATTGACTGTCACGCCTGTACGCTTTGTCAAAATGACACAAAAATTGACACACACATGTATCTCAATAAGATCTACAAAAAAGTCAGTGCGGGCGTATCTGTCAAATGTACGGTTAAAGGGTTATTTCGCATTTTTTGCCGATCCGCACACATTGGAATTTCGCTAACTCCTCCGAAGGCTTTCGTTCCACCGGCACCACATTTGCTCAGGCCAATCTACACCCCATGGCCATTAAAAGTTATTCAAATCATGACGCTGCACCCCACGGTTTAGGTTCTAGGGGGCGCCAAAGATAACCCTAAAATCCACATTTTTAAAAGTCTTATAACTTTTTATTTTTCCCCTCACTGGCCTCCAAGTTTTCTAGGATGATGCAATGTCCAGCCATCAACACATTTGTGAAGGAATTTTTACTCCCCAAAAGAGCGCCCCCCCATGGCAGGAGAAAAAAGTCCATTTTTTTCTTGTCCCCTAAGGTGAAAATACACATTGTTGAGTGTCACGCCTGTACGCTTTGTCAAAATGACACAAAAATTGACACACACATGTATCTCAATAAGATCTACAAAAAAGTCCGTGCGCGCGTATCTGTCTAATGTATGGTTAAAGGGTTATTCCGAATTTTTTGCCGATTCGCACACATTGGAATTTCGCTAACTCCTCCGAAGGCTTTCGTTCCACCGGCACCACATTTGCTCAGGCCAAATTACACCCCATGGCCATTAAAAGTTATTCAAATCATGACGCTGCACCCCACGGTTTACGTTCTAGGGGGCGCCAAAGATAACCCAAAAATCCACATTTTTAAAAGTCTTATAACTTTTTATTTTTGTCCTCACTGGCCTCCAAGTTTTCTAGGATGATGCAATGTCCAGCCATCAACACATTTGTGAAGGAATTTTTACTCCCCAAAAGAGCGCCCCCCCATGGCAGGAGAAAAAAGTCCATTTTTTTCTTGTCCCCTAAGGTGAAAATACACATTGTTGAGTGTCACGCCTGTACGCTTTGTCAAAATGACACAAAAATTGACACACACATGTATCTCAATAAGATCTACAAAAAAGTCCATGCGCGCGTATCTGTCTAATGTACGGTTAAAGGGTTATTCCGAATTTTTTGCCGATTCGCACACATTGGAATTTCGCTAACTCCTCCGAAGGCTTTCGTTCCACCGGCACCACATTTGCTCAGGCCAAATTACACCCCATGGCCATTAAAAGTTATTCAAATCATGACGCTGCACCCCACGGTTTACGTTCTAGGGGGCGCCAAAGATAACCCAAAAATCCACATTTTTAAAAGTCTTATAACTTTTTATTTTTGTCCTCACTGGCCTCCAAGTTTTCTAGGATGATGCAATGTCCAGCCATCAACACATTTGTGAAGGAATTTTTACTCCCCAAAAGAGCGCCCCCCCATGGCAGGAGAAAAAAGTCCATTTTTTTCTTGTCCCCTAAGGTGAAAATACACATTGTTGAGTGTCACGCCTGTACGCTTTGTCAAAATGACACAAAAATTGACACACACATGTATCTCAATAAGATCTACAAAAAAGTCAAAGAGCGCGTATCTGTATAATGTACGGTAAAAGGGCTATTTTGCATTTTTTGCCGATTCGCACACATTGGAATTTCGCTAACTCCTCCTAAGGCTTTCGTCCCACTGACACCAAATTTGCTCAGGCCAATCTACACTCCATGGCCATTCAAAGTTGTAAAAATCATGACGCTGCACCCCACGGTTTACGTTTTAGGGGGCGCCAAAGATGACCCAAATATACATTACAGTAGACAAAGTAGTTTTGCCCACTGAGTGGCGCCAAAGGGACTTGTCTGTGGAGTCTGTGAGTCACTATTGGCCGTTTTTGACTACTTTAGATTTTACCTTTATATTTCCTCTTACAAAATTTTTACCTTGCCTTGCCTGGTATCATTTTTTTCAGCACAACCTCACCTGTGTCAATTTACAGTTATTTTATCATTTTGACATACTATATTTACACATTGGACCCAAATTCACACACAAAACATAAAATCCGAGTGGAAAAAAGTAACGTTTTTACTGTGAAAACCACAAATATGTGTGATGAACTGTTTTTAAAACTTAAACTTCAAATAAAAATTGTAAACTTCAAAACATATGCAAATTTTTAACAAAGAACATAGTAATTTACCTCTATTGACATCAAAATGCAGGCAATGGCCCAGGTGTTCTTTGTAAAATTATTTACAAAACACTGTATAGTCTCACAAATGTCACTTTTTATTTATGCCACTACAAAAAAACATGATGTAAATGATGCATGATGTAAAACATGATGTAAAAAACTTGTGTAGATCCTCCTCTATGTTAGTCCATGTGTAATTTTTCCATAATTCTTTGTTTTTTGCAGCATTTTTGTTAGTGTAACTGCAGATTGTGCTGACAGTGTCTATGGCAAAAAAAAAAAAAAAAACTGAAAATGCCTCAACATGAACCCCTGGTGGTCTCTGAGGGTGAAACCTGCTAACTGCTGCAGCTCTGTCAGCTTCAGTCTCCCATGCAGAGCTCGGAGCGCATGTGTGGCTCTGCACCCTTAGCAGCGTTGCTAACTCCTCAGTAAGGAAAGCCTGCTTCATGTCAGAGTCTCTAAACTCCAGAAGAAGTCGATAAAAGTCCCTTTCTTTCTAAAAAAAAGTCGTTAGGGGGTCTGAAAAGTAATTGAATCTAACAACAAAGTCGCTAGGTTTGCAACTACGTGTCCCAGACTGCATCCCTGCTGAGAGTCCCTCCCTCCCTTCTCATGTTGCAGGAAGAACGTAAGCGCCCGCCCCTTGTCAATCAGTCACCATATAATTTTGGATTGGTTGTTGTGGTGAAGTTTTCCACCAATAGGAGAGATGTTGTGGTGTGTTTTTTTTTTTCTTTTGGCAAGCCTTTTCCGCCTGTAAGACCTGTCGCTAATGTGTGCATGCTATGTTTTCCTGTCTCATACAGCGCGATCGAGCGCCGAACGTGATCAAAATAAGCAGAAAAAAAGTATCGCGGACATAATTTATCATAACTCTGGTTTTATTTGGCCTATCAACACAATTTAAAAACTGGTATATAGGTTGAGGTCCTCACTTTTGAGATAAGTTGAAACGGAGAGTCAACGAGGCTCCGTCTTGCAGCTACATCCGGTTAAATATGTCATGTGACTTGAACGCTGGGGAGCGTCAATCGAATCGAATCAAACCTAACTCTCAGATGAATCTTCAAAATTCACCTCAGAAATATGCTTATTATTCTTCTCAGAGTACTGCAGGATACACACACACACACACACACACAGACACACACACACACACACGCACACACACACACACACACTCAGAGTCTGTTTTTTAGCACCTGCAAAAACATGCTATTTACATATTTGACAAGAATGCAGAGGCTTCCTTTTGCCCCTGAAAAAAATCAAATTTCAAACACAACTTGACTGCTCATTTCTCCAAAAGACAACCATGAAGCTCCATCCAAACCTGAAGCAGGCAGTTGGTGCATGTGTACAGTAACCTGAGGGGAGTGAGGTGACTGCTTCTGAGGAGAACATGAGCAGTGAAGATTCACCTTGGAGCTAGAACAGGGACGTGCACATGATAATACAGGGGCAGGGGCTCAAGTTTTTTCCAGTCGTTTATACAATATGGAAATTAATGTGAAATTAAAAGTATGACTGTCCTGTGTAGGTGACAGTGATATCCAATAGGCTAGGCACTCACGAGGCTGGCTGTGGCAAGTGTAAGTGAAAGCAACACGCACTGGCAGGAAGAACAGCAAACGCCGATGAAGGAAAAGGGTCTTTGCAGTGATGGGCGTTACCAGAGAGGGCGATGGCCAGAGGACGCGAATGGGACGGGGAGGCAGCGCGTTGGGGGGGGGGGGGCGACACGGCTCGGGCCCGCCAGTGCCCCAACGGGGCCCTAGTCTTTGTTTCTTTCTTAGGGCCCGAGCGTAGCTGCTAAGCAGCTGCGAGAGCCCTCTTGTTCCTGTAGTTTCCTTCTTTTGTTATTATTAGGGCCCGAGCGTAGCTGCTAAGCAGCTGCGAGAGCCCTATTATTCCCCAAGTGGTTTTTCTTTGTTTCTTTCTTTCTTTCTTTCTTTCTTTCTTCTTTTTCCTCCCCTTTGAACTGGAAAATGGCCCACTTCCCACTGGCGAAAACTCATGAAATTTGGCAGGACGACCGGGCCTGGTGAAAAATTTGATATTCTGAAGTCGCCCAAACAATAAAATGCAAAATGGCTCCATAGCGCCCCCTAAGGTGGAAATTCACACTATTGATTGTCACGCCTGTACGCTTTGTCATATTGACACAAAAATTGACACACATATGTATCTCAATAAGATCTACAAAAAAGTCAGTGCGGCCCTATCTGTCAAAATTACGGTTAAAGGGTTATTCCGCATTTTTTGCCGATCCGCACACATTGGAATTTCGCTAACTCCTCCGAAGGCTCTCGTTCCACCGGCACCACATTTGCTCAGGCCAATCTACACCCCGTGGCCATTAAAAGTTATCAAAATCATGACGCTGCACCCCACGGTTTAGGTTCTAGGGGGCGCCAAAGATAACACTAAAATCCACATATTTAAAAGTCTTATAACTTTTTATTTTTGTCCTCACTGGCCTCCAAGTTTTCTAGGATGATGCAATGTCCAGCCATCAACACATTTGTGAAGGAATTTTTACTCCCCAAAAGAGCGCCCCCCCATGGCAGGAGAAAAAAGTCCATTTTTTCTTGTCCCCTAAGGTGAAAATACACATTGTTGAGTGTCACGTCTATACGCTTTGTCAAAATGACACAAAAATTGACACACACATGTATCTCAATAAGATCTACGAAAAAGTCAATGCGTGCATATCTGTCAAATGTACAGTTAAAGGGTTATTCCGCATTTTTTGCCGATCCGCACACATTGGAATGTGGCTAACTCCTCCTAAGGCTTTCGTTCCACCGGCACCACATTTGCTCAGGCCAATCTACACCCCATGGCCATTAAAAGTTATTCAAATCATGACGCTGCACCCCACGGTTTAGGTTCTAGGGGGCGCCAAAGATAACCCTAAAATCCACATATTTAAAAGTCTTATAACTTTTTATTTTTGTCCTCACTGGCCTCCAAGTTTTCTAGGATGATGCAATGTCCAGCCATCAACACATTTGTGAAGGAATTTTTACTCCCCAAAAGAGCACCCCCCATGGCAGGAGAAAAAAGTCCATTTTTTCTTGTCCCCTAAGGTGAAAATACATATTGTTGAGATTCACGCCTATATGCTTTGTCATATTGACACAAAATTTGACAATCACGTGCCTTGCCTGGTATCATTTTTTTCAGCACAACCTCACCTGTGCGAATTTACAGTTATTTTATCATGTTGACATACTGAATTTACACAATGGACCCAAATTCACACACAAAACATAAAATCCGAGTGGAAAAAAGTAACATTTTTACTGTGAAAACCACAAATATGTGTGATGAACTGTTTTTAAAACTTAAACTTCAAATAAAAATTGTAAACTTCAAAACATATGCAAATTTTTAACAAAGAACATAGTGATTTACCTCTATTTACATCAAAATGCAGGCAATGGCCCAGGCGTTCTTTGTAAAATTATTTACAAAACACTGTATAGTCTCACAAATGTCACTTTTTATTTATGCCACTACAAAAAAACATGATGTAAATGATGCATGATGTAAAACATGATGTAAAAAACTTGTGTAGATCCTCCTCTATGTCAGTCCATGTGTAATTTTTCCATAATTCTTTGTTTTTTGCAGCATTTTTGTTAGTGTAACTGCAGATTGTGCTGACAGTGTCTATGGCACAAAAAAAAAAAAAATTAAAATGCCTCAACATGAACCCCTGGTGGTCTCTGAGGGTGAAACCTGCTAACTGCTGCAGCTCTGTCAGCTTCAGTCTCCCATGCAGAGCTCTGAGCGCATGTGTGGCTCTGCACCCTTAGCAGCGTTGCTAACTCCTCAGTAAGGAAAGCCTGCTTCATGTCAGAGTCTCTAAACTCCAGAAGAAGTCGATAAAAGTCCCTTTCTTTCTAAAAAAAAGTCGTTAGGGGGTCTGAAAAGTCATTGAATCTAACAACAAAGTCGCTAGGTTTGCAACTACGTGTCCCAGACTGCATCCCTGCTGAGAGTCCCTCCCTCGCTTCTCATGTTGCAGGAAGAACGTAAGCGCCCGCCCCTTGTCAATCAGTCACCATATAATTTTGGATTGGTTGTTGTGGTGAAGTTTTCCACCAATAGGAGAGATGTTGTGGTGTGTTTTTTTTTTCTTTTGGCAAGCCTTTTCCGCCTGTAAGACCTGTCGCTAATGTCTGCATGCTATGTTTTCCTGTCTCATACAGCGCGATCGAGCGCCGAATGTGATCAAAATAAGCAGAAAAAAGTATCGCGGACATAATTTATCATAACTCTGGTTTTATTTGGCCTATCAACACAATTTAAAAACTGGTATATAGGTTGAGGTCCTCACTTTTGAGATAAGTTGAAACGGAGAGTCAACGAGGCTCCGTCTTGCAGCTACATCCGGTTAAATATGTCATGTGACTTGAACGCACACACAGACACACACACACGCACACACACACACACACACACACACACACACACACACACACTCAGAGTCTGGTTTTTAGCACCTGCAAAAACATGCCATTTACATATTTGACAAGAATGCAGAGGCTCCTTTTGCCCCTGAAAAAAATCAAATTTCAAACACAACTTGACTGGTCATTTCTCCAAAAGACAACCATGAAGCTCCATCCAAACCTGAAGCAGGCAGTTGGTGCATGTGTACAGTAACCTGAGGGGAGTGAGGTGAGTGCTTCTGAGGAGAACATGAGCAGTGAAGATTCACCTTGGAGCTAGAACAGAGACATGCACATGATTATACAGGGGCAGGGGCTCAAGTTTTTTCCAGTCGTTTATACAATATGGAAATTAATGTGAAATTAAAACACAAAGTATTAATAGAAAGGTAATGACTGTCCTGTGTAGGTGACAGTGATATCGAATAGGCTAGGCACTCACGAGGCTGGCTGTGGCAAGTGTAAGTGAAAGCAACACGCACTGGCAGGAAGAACAGCAAACGCCGATGAAGGAAAAGGGTCTTTGCAGTGATGGGCGTTACCAGAGAGGGCGATGGCCAGAGGACACAAATGGGACGGGGAGGCAGCACGTTGGGGGGGGGCGACACGGCTCGGGCCCGCCAGTGCCCCAACGGGGTCCTAGTTAGGGCCCGAGCGTAGCTGCTAAGCAGCTGCGAGAGCCCTCTTGTTCCTGATGGATTCTTCTTTTGTTATTATTATTATTATTATTATTTTTCCTCCGCTTTAAACTGGAAAATGGCCCACTTCCCACTGGCGAAAACTCATGAAATTTGGCAGGACGACCGGGCCTGGTGAAAAATTCGATATTCTGAAGTCGCCCAAACAATAAAATGCAAAATGGCTCCATAGCGCCCCCTAAGGTGAAAATTCACACTATTGACTGTCACGCCTTTACGCTTTGTCATATTGACACAAAAATTGACACACACATGTATCTCAATAAGATCTACAAAAAAGTCAGTGCGGGCGTATCTGTCAAATGTACGGTTAAAGGGTTATTTCGCATTTTTTGCCGATCCGCACACATTGGAATTTCGCTAACTCCTCCGAAGGCTTTCGTTCCAACGGCACCACATTTGCTCAGGCCAATCTACACCCCATGGCCATTAAAAGTTGTACAAATCATGACGCTGCACCCCACGGTTTACGTTCTAGGGGGCGCCAAAGATAACCCAAAAATCCACAGTCTTAAAAGTCTTATAACTTTTTATTTTTGTCCTCACTGGCCTCCAAGTTCTCTAGGATGATGCAATGTCCAGCCATCAACACATTTGTGAAGGAATTTTTACTCCCCAAATGAGCGCCCCCCAATGGCAGGAGAAAAAAGTCAATTTTTTCTTGTCTCCTAAGGCGAAAATACACATTGTTGACTGTCACGCCTGTATGCTTTGTCAAAATGACACAAAAATTGACATACACATGTATCTCAATACGATCTACGAAAAAGTCAATGCGAGCGTATCTGTTCAATGTACGGTTAAAGGGCTATTTCGCATTTTTTGCCGATTCGCACACATTGGAATTTCACTAACTCCTCCTAAAGCTTTTGTCCCATCGGCTTCAAATTTGCTCAGGTCAATCTACACCCCATGGCCATTCAAAGTTGTACAAATCATGACGCTGCACCCCACGGTTTACGTTCTAGGGGGCGCCAAAGAGGACCCAAATATCCACATTTTTAAAAGTCTTATAACTTTTTATTTTTGTCCTCACTGGCCTCCAAGTTCTCTAGGATGATGCAATGTCCAGCCATCAACACATTTGTGAAGGAATTTTTTCTCCCCAAAAGAGCGCCCCCCCATGGCAGGAGAAAAAGTCAAGTTTTTCCTGCCCATCGCTCAATGGCTCAAACTCATCGCTCTCTCGGCAAAACGGAAAGGAGGAGCAACTTGCCATTTGGATATATACTAGCTGTGTTTGTGCCCTCACTCATGGTCCAGACTTTTTTCAAAAAGGACATGGAGTTTGTCTGCAGCGAGCGTTTTGGTAGAAACTGCGCCTCCCATTCATTATAATGGTAAATGACCACAGACAAGTGCGCACACCATCTTTGGACCTTGAGTGTGACGCGATCGGGAGGGGTAGGCGGTCGCGCTGGGGGCGGCGCGACACGGCTCGGGCCCGCCAGTGCCCCAACGGGGCCCTAGTTATTTTTCCTCCCCTTTGAACTGGAAAATGGCCCACTTCCCACTGGCGAAAACTCATGAAATTTGGCAGGACGACCGGGCCTGGTGAAAAATTTGATATTCCGAAGTCGCCCAAACAAGAAAATGCAAAATGGCTCCATAGCGCCCCCTAAGGTGAAAATTCACACTATTGACTGTCACGCCTGTACGCTTTGTCAAAATGACACAAAAATTGACACACACATGTATCTCAATAAGATCTACAAAAAAGTCAGTGCGGGCGTATCTGTCAAATGTACGGTTAAAGGGTTATTTCGCATTTTTTGCCGATCCGCACACATTGGAATTTCGCTAACTCCTCCGAAGGCTTTCGTTCCACCGGCACCACATTTGCTCAGGCCAATCTACACCCCATGGCCATTAAAAGTTATTCAAATCATGACGCTGCACCCCACGGTTTAGGTTCTAGGGGGCGCCAAAGATAACCCTAAGATCCACATATTTAAAAGTCTTATAACTTTTTATTTTTGCCCTCACTGGCCTCCAAGTTTTCTAGGATGATGCAATGTCCAGCCATCAACACATTTGTGAAGGAATTTTTACTCCCCAAAAGAGCGCCCCCCCATGGCAGGAGAAAAAAGTCCATTTTTTCTTGTCCCCTAAGGTGAAAATACACATTGTTGAGTGTAACACCTGTACGCTTTGGCAAAATGACACAAAAATTGACACACACATGTATCTCAATAAGATCTACGAAAAAGTCAATGCGCGCGTATCTGTCAAATGTACGGTTAAAGGGTTATTCCGCATTTTTTGCCGATCCGCACACATTGGAATTTCGCTAACTCCTCCGAAGGCTTTCGTTCCACCGGCACCACATTTGCTCAGGCCAATCTACACCCCATGGCCATTAAAAGTTATTCAAATCATGACGCTGCACCCCACGGTTTAGGTTCTAGGGGGCGCCAAAGATAACCCTAAAATCCACATATTTAAAAGTCTTATAACTTTTTATTTTTGTCCTCACTGGCCTCCAAGTTTTCTAGGATGATGCAATGTCCAGCCATCAACACATTTGTGAAGGAATTTTTACTCCCCAAAAGAGCGCCCCCCCCATGGCAGGAGAAAAAAGTCAATTTTTTCTTGTCCCCTAAGGTGGAAATTCACACTATTGACTGTCACGCCTGTACGCTTTATCATATTGACACAAAATTTGACAATCACATGTATCTCAATAAGATCTACAAAAAAGTCAATGCGCGCGTATCTGTCAAATGTACGGTTAAAGGGCTATTTTGCATTTTTTGCCGATTCGCACACATTGGAATGTGGCTAACTCCTCCTAAGGCTTTCGTCCCACTGACACCAAATTTGCTCAGGCCAATCTACACCCCATGGTCATTCAAATTTGTAAAAATCATGACGCTGCACCCCACGGTTTACGTTCTAGGGGGCGCCAAAGATGACCCAAATATCCACATTCTTAAAAGAATCCACATCCCCCCCCATCCCCCAACCCCCATGGCAGGAGAAACAGTCAAGTTTTTCCTGCCCATCACTCAATGGCTCAATCGCATCACTCTCCCGGCAACACCGTAACAAGGAGCAACTTGCCGTTTGGATATATCCTAGCTGTGTTTGTGCCCTCACTCATGGTCCAGACTTTTTTCAAATAGGACATGTAGTTTGTCTGCAGCGAGTGTTTTGGTAGAAACTGCGCCTCCCATTCATTATAATGGGAAATGACCACAGACAAGTGCGCACACCATCTTTGGACCTTGAGTGTGACGCGATCGGGAGGGGGAGGCGGTCGCGCTGGGGGCGGCGCAACGCGGCTCGGGCCCGACAGTGCCCCACCGGGGCCCTAGTTAGGGCCCGAGCCAGCTGCAGAGCAGCCGGGCGTAGGCCCTATTATTCCCCAAGTGGTTTTTCTTTGTTTCTTTCTTTCTTTTTTCTTTTTCCTCCCCTTTGAACTGGAAAATGGCCCACTTCCCACTGGCGAAAACTCATGAAATTTGGCAGGACGACCGGGCCTGGTGAAAAATTTGATATTCTGAAGTCGCCAGAACAATAAAATGCAAAATGGCTCCATAGCGCCCCCTAAGGTGAAAATTCACACTATTCACTGTCACGACTGTACGCTTTGTCAAAATGACACAAAAATTGACACACACATGTATCTCAATAAGATCTACAAAAAAGTCAGTGCGGCCGTATCTGTCAAAATTACGGTTAAAGGGTTATTTCGCATTTTTTGCAGATCTGCACACATTGGAATTTCGCTAACTCCTCCGAAGGCTTTCGTTCCACCGGCACCACATTTGCTCAGGCCAATCTACACCCCGTGGCCATTAAAAGTTATCAAAATCATGACGCTGCACCCTAAGGTTTAGGTTCTAGGGGGCGCCAAAGATAACACTAAAATCCACATATTTAAAAGTCTTATAACTTTTTATTTTTGTCCTCACTGGCCTCCAAGTTTTCTAGGATGATGCAATGTCCAGCCATCAACACATTTGTGAAGGAATTTTTACTCCCCAAAAGAGCGCCCCCCCATGGCAGGAGAAAAAAGTCCATTTTTTCTTGTCCCCTAAGGTGAAAATACACATTGTTGAGTGTCACGCCTATACGCTTTGTCAAAATGACACAAAAATTGACACACACATGTAACTCAATAAGATCTACGAAAAAGTCAATGCGCGCGTATCTGTCAAATGTACGGTTAAAGGGTTATTCCGCATTTTTTGCCGATCCGCACACATTGGAATTTCGCTAACTCCTCCTAAGGCTTTCGTTCCACCGGCACCACATTTGCTCAGGCCAATCTACACCCCATGGCCATTAAAAGTTATTCAAATCATGACGCTGCACCCCACGGTTTAGGTTCTAGGGGGCGCCAAAGATAACCCTAAAATCCACATATTTAAAAGTCTTATAACTTTTTATTTTTGTCCTCACTGGCCTCCAAGTTTTCTAGGATGATGCAATGTCCAGCCATCAACAAATTTGTGAAGGAATTTTTACTCCCCAAAAGAGCGCCCCCCCATGGCAGGAGAAAAAAGTCCATTTTTTCTTGTCCCCTAAGGTGAAAATACATATTGTTGAGATTCACGCCTATACGCTTTGTCATATTGACACAAAATTTGACAATCACGTGCCTTGCCTGGTATCATTTTTTTCAGCACAACCTCACCTGTGCGAATTTACAGTTATTTTATCATGTTGACATACTGAATTTACACAATGGACCCAAATTCACACACAAAACATAAAATCCGAGTGGAAAAAAGTAACATTTTTACTGTGAAAACCACAAATATGTGTGATGAACTGTTTTTAAAACTTAAACTTCAAATAAAAATTGTAAACTTCAAAACATATGCAAATTTTTAACAAAGAACATAGTGATTTACCTCTATTTACATCAAAATGCAGGCAATGGCCCAGGCGTTCTTTGTAAAATTATTTACAAAACACTGTATAGTCTCACAAATGTCACTTTTTATTTATGCCACTACAAAAAAACATGATGTAAATGATGCATGATGTAAAACATGATGTAAAAAACTTGTGTAGATCCTCTTGTATGTCAGTCCATGTGTAATTTTTCCATAATTCTTTGTTTTTTGCAGCATTTTTGTTAGTGTAACTGCAGATTGTGCTGACAGTGTCTATGGCACAAAAAAAAAAAATTAAAATGCCTCAACATGAACCCCTGGTGGTCTCTGAGGGTGAAACCTGCTAACTGCTGCAGCTCTGTCAGCTTCAGTCTCCCATGCAGAGCTCTGAGCGCATGTGTGGCTCTGCACCCTTAGCAGCGTTGCTAACTCCTCAGTAAGGAAAGCCTGCTTCATGTCAGAGTCTCTAAACTCCAGAAGAAGTCGATAAAAGTCCCTTTCTTTCTAAAAAAAGTCGTTAGGGGGTCTGAAAAGTCATTGAATCTAACAACAAAGTCGCTAGGTTTGCAACTACGTGTCCCAGACTGCATCCCTGCTGAGAGTCCCTCCCTCCTTCTCATGTTGCAGGAAGAACGTAAGCGCCCGCCCCTTGTCAATCAGTCACCATATAATTTTGGATTGGTTGTTGTGGTGAAGTTTTCCACCAATAGGAGAGATGTTGTGGTGTGTTTTTTTTTTCTTTTGGCAAGCCTTTTCCGCCTGTAAGAGCTGTCGCTAATGTCTGCATGCTATGTTTTCCTGTCTCATACAGCGCGATCGAGCGCCGAACGTGATCAAAATAAGCAGAAAAAAAGTATCGCGGACATAATTTATCATAACTCTGGTTTTATTTGGCCTATCAACACAATTTAAAAACTGGTATATAGGTTGAGGTCCTCACTTTTGAGATAAGTTGAAACGGAGAGTCAACGAGGCTCCGTCTTGCAGCTACATCCGGTTAAATATGTCATGTGACTTGAACGCACACACAGACACACACACGCACACACACACACACACACACACACACACACACACACTCAGAGTCTGGTTTTTAGCACCTGCAAAAACATGCTATTTACATATTTGACAAGAATGCAGAGGCTCCTTTTGCCCCTGAAAAAAATCAAATTTCAAACACAACTTGACTGCTCATTTCTCCAAAAGACAACCATGAAGCTCCATCCAAACCTGAAGCAGGCAGTTGGTGCATGTGTACAGTAACCTGAGGGGAGTGAGGTGAGTGCTTCTGAGGAGAACATGAGCAGTGAAGATTCACCTTGGAGCTAGAACAGAGACATGCACATGATTATACAGGGGCAGGGGCTCAAGTTTTTTCCAGTCGTTTATACAATATGGAAATTAATGTGAAATTAAAACACAAAGTATTAATAGAAAGGTAATGACTGTCCTGTGTAGGTGACAGTGATATCCAATAGGCTAGGCACTCACGAGGCTGGCTGTGGCAAGTGTAAGTGAAAGCAACACGCACTGGCAGGAAGAACAGCAAACGCCGATGAAGGAAAAGGGTCTTTGCAGTGATGGGCGTTACCAGAGAGGGCGATGGCCAGAGGACACAAATGGGACGGGGAGGCAGCACGTTGGGGGGGCGCGACACGGCTCGGGCCCGCCAGTGCCCCAACGGGGTCCTAGTTATTTTTCCTCCCCTTTGAACTGGAAAATGGCCCACTTCCCACTGGCGAAAACTCATGAAATTTGGCAGGACGACCGGGCCTGGTGAAAAATTTGATATTCCGAAGTCGCCCAAACAAGAAAATGCAAAATGGCTCCATAGCGCCCCCTAAGGTGAAAATTCACACTATTGACTGTCACGCCTGTACGCTTTGTCAAAATGACACAAAAATTGACACACACATGTATCTCAATAAGATCTACAAAAAAGTCAGTGCGGGCGTATCTGTCAAATGTACGGTTAAAGGGTTATTTCGCATTTTTTGCCGATCCGCACACATTGGAATTTCGCTAACTCCTCCGAAGGCTTTCGTTCCACCGGCACCACATTTGCTCAGGCCAATCTACACCCCATGGCCATTAAAAGTTATTCAAATCATGACGCTGCACCCCACGGTTTAGGTTCTAGGGGGCGCCAAAGATAACCCTAAGATCCACATATTTAAAAGTCTTATAACTTTTTATTTTTGCCCTCACTGGCCTCCAAGTTTTCTAGGATGATGCAATGTCCAGCCATCAACACATTTGTGAAGGAATTTTTACTCCCCAAAAGAGCGCCCCCCATGGCAGGAGAAAAAAGTCCATTTTTTCTTGTCCCCTAAGGTGAAAATACACATTGTTGAGTGTAACACCTGTACGCTTTGGCAAAATGACACAAAAATTGACACACACATGTATCTCAATAAGATCTACGAAAAAGTCAATGCGGGCGTATCTGTTAAATGTACGGTTAAAGGGTTATTCTGCATTTTTTGCCGATCCGCACACATTGGAATTTCGCTAACTCCTCCGAAGGCTTTCGTTCCACCGGCTCCACATTTGCTCAGGCCAATCTACACCCCATGGCCATTAAAAGTTATTCAAATCATGACGCTGCACCCCACGGTTTAGGTTCTAGGGGGCGCCAAATATAACCCTAAAATCCACATATTTAAAAGTCTTATAACTTTTTATTTTTGTCCCCACTGGCCTCCAAGTTTTCTAGGATGATGCAATGTCCAGCCATCGACACATTTGTGAAGGAATTTTTACTCGCCAAAAGAGCGCCCCCCCATGGCAGGAGAAAAAAGTCCATTTTTTCTTGTCCACTAAGGTGAAAATACACATTGTTGAGTGCTACGCCTGTATGTTTTGTCGTATTGACACAAAATTTTACATACACATGTATTTCAATAAGATCTTCGAAAAAGTCAAGGGCCAGGTATCTGTAAAATGTACGGTTAAAGGGTTATTTTGCATTTTTTGCAGATTCGCACACATTGGAATTTCGCTAACTCCTCAGAAGGCTTTCGTTCCACCGGCACCACATTTGCTCAGGCCAATCTACACCCCATGGCCATTAAAAGTTATTCAAATCATGACGCTGCACCCCACGGTTTAGGTTCTAGGGGGCGCCAAAGATAACCCTAAAATCCACATATTTAAAAGTCTTATAACTTTTTATTTTTGTCCTCACTGGCCTCCATGTTTTCTAGGATGATGCAATGTCCAGCCATCAACACATTTGTGAAGGAGTTTTTCTCGTTAAAAGAGCCCCCCCCATGGCAGGAGAATAAAGTCAAGTTTTTCCTGTTCATCATTCAATGGCTCAAACGCACTGCTCTCTCGGCAAAAGCGAAAGGAGGAGCAACTTGCCATTTGGATATATCTTAGCTGTGTTTGTGCCCTCACTCATGGTCCAGACTTTTTTCAAATAGGACATGGAGTTTTTCTGCAGCGAGCGCTTTGGTAGAAACTGCGCCTCCCGTTCATTATAATGGTAAATGACCACAAACAAGTGCGCACACCATCTTTGGACCTTGAGTGTGACGCGATCGGGTGGGGGAGGCGGTCGCGCTGGGGGCGGCGTGACACGGCTCGGGCCCGCCAGTGCCCCAACGGGGCCCTAGTTTCTTCTTTTTCCTCCCCTTTGAACTGGAAAATGGCCCACTTCCCACTGGCGAAAACTCATGAAATTTGGCAGGACGACCGGGCCTGGTGAAAAATTTGATATTCCGAAGTCGCCCAAACAAGAAAATGCAAAATGGCTCCATAGCGCCCCCTAAGGTGAAAATTCACACTATTGACTGTCACGCCTTTAAGCTTTGTCATATTGACACAAAAATTGACACACACATGTATCTCAATAAGATCTACAAAAAAGTCAGTGCGGGCGTATCTGTCAAATGTACGGTGAAAGGGTTATTCCGCATTTTTTGCCGATCCGCACACATTGGAATTTCGCTAACTCCTCCGAAGGCTTTCGTTCCACCGGCACCACATTTGCTCAGGCCAATCTACACCCCATGGCCATTAAAAGTTATTCAAATCATGACGCTGCACCCCACGGTTTAGGTTCTAGGGGGCGCCAAAGATAACCCTAAAATCCACATATTTCAAAGTCTTATAACTTTTTATTTTTGCCCTCACTGGCCTCCAAGTTTTCTAGGATGATGCAATGTCCAGCCATCAACACATTTGTGAAGGAATTTTTAATCCCCAAAAGAGCGCCCCCCCATGGCAGGAGAAAAAAGTCCATTTTTTCTTGTCCCCTAAGGTGAAAATACACATTGTTGAGTGTCACGCCTGTACGCTTTGTCATATTGACACAAAATTTGACACACACATGTATCTCAATAAGATCTACGAAAAAGTCAATGCGCGCGTATCTGTCAAATGTACGGTTAAAGGGTTATTCCGCATTTTTTGCTGATCCGCACACATTGGAATTTCGCTAACTCCTCCTAAGGCTTTCGTTCCACCGGCACCACATTTGCTCAGGCCAATCTACACCCCATGGCCATTAAAAGTTATTCAAATCATGACGCTGCACCCCACGGTTTAGGTTCTAGGGGGCGCCAAAGATAACCCTAAAATCCACATATTTAAAAGTCTTATAACTTTTTATTTTTGTCCTCACTGGCCTCCAAGTTTTCTAGGATGATGCAATGTCCAGCCATCAACACATTTGTGAAGGAATTTTTACTCCCCAAAAGAGCACCCCCCATGGCAGGAGAAAAAAGTCCATTTTTTCTTGTCCCCTAAGGTGAAAATACATATTGTTGAGATTCACGCCTATATGCTTTGTCATATTGACACAAAATTTGACAATCACGTGCCTTGCCTGGTATCATTTTTTTCAGCACAACCTCACCTGTGCGAATTTACAGTTATTTTATCATGTTGACATACTGAATTTACACAATGGACCCAAATTCACACACAAAACATAAAATCCGAGTGGAAAAAAGTAACATTTTTACTGTGAAAACCACAAATATGTGTGATGAACTGTTTTTAAAACTTAAACTTCAAATAAAAATTGTAAACTTCAAAACATATGCAAATTTTTAACAAAGAACATAGTGATTTACCTCTATTTACATCAAAATGCAGGCAATGGCCCAGGCGTTCTTTGTAAAATTATTTACAAAACACTGTATAGTCTCACAAATGTCACTTTTTATTTATGCCACTACAAAAAAACATGATGTAAATGATGCATGATGTAAAACATGATGTAAAAAACTTGTGTAGATCCTCCTCTATGTCAGTCCATGTGTAATTTTTCCATAATTCTTTGTTTTTTGCAGCATTTTTGTTAGTGTAACTGCAGATTGTGCTGACAGTGTCTATGGCACAAAAAAAAAAAAATTAAAATGCCTCAACATGAACCCCTGGTGGTCTCTGAGGGTGAAACCTGCTAACTGCTGCAGCTCTGTCAGCTTCAGTCTCCCATGCAGAGCTCTGAGCGCATGTGTGGCTCTGCACCCTTAGCAGCGTTGCTAACTCCTCAGTAAGGAAAGCCTGCTTCATGTCAGAGTCTCTAAACTCCAGAAGAAGTCGATAAAAGTCCCTTTCTTTCTAAAAAAAAGTCGTTAGGGGGTCTGAAAAGTCATTGAATCTAACAACAAAGTCGCTAGGTTTGCAACTACGTGTCCCAGACTGCATCCCTGCTGAGAGTCCCTCCCTCCCTTCTCATGTTGCAGGAAGAACGTAAGCGCCCGCCCCTTGTCAATCAGTCACCATATAATTTTGGATTGGTTGTTGTGGTGAAGTTTTCCACCAATAGGAGAGATGTTGTGGTGTGTTTTTTTTTTTCTTTTGGCAAGCCTTTTCCGCCTGTAAGACCTGTCGCTAATGTCTGCATGCTATGTTTTCCTGTCTCATACAGCGCGATCGAGCGCCGAACGTGATCAAAATAAGCAGAAAAAAAGTATCGCGGACATAATTTATCATAACTCTGGTTTTATTTGGCCTATCAACACAATTTAAAAACTGGTATATAGGTTGAGGTCCTCACTTTTGAGATAAGTTGAAACGGAGAGTCAACGAGGCTCCGTCTTGCAGCTACATCCGGTTAAATATGTCATGTGACTTGAACGCACACACAGACACACACACACGCACACACACACACACACACACACTCAGAGTCTGGTTTTTAGCACCTGCAAAAACATGCTATTTACATATTTGACAAGAATGCAGAGGCTCCTTTTGCCCCTGAAAAAAATCAAATTTCAAACACAACTTGACTGGTCATTTCTCCAAAAGACAACCATGAAGCTCCATCCAAACCTGAAGCAGGCAGTTGGTGCATGTGTACAGTAACCTGAGGGGAGTGAGGTGAGTGCTTCTGAGGAGAACATGAGCAGTGAAGATTCACCTTGGAGCTAGAACAGAGACATGCACATGATTATACAGGGGCAGGGGCTCAAGTTTTTTCCAGTCGTTTATACAATATGGAAATTAATGTGAAATTAAAACACAAAGTATTAATAGAAAGGTAATGACTGTCCTGTGTAGGTGACAGTGATATCCAATAGGCTAGGCACTCACGAGGCTGGCTGTGGCAAGTGTAAGTGAAAGCAACACGCACTGGCAGGAAGAACAGCAAACGCCGATGAAGGAAAAGGGTCTTTGCAGTGATGGGCGTTAACAGAGAGGGCGATGGCCAGAGGACACAAATGGGACGGGGAGGCAGCACGTTGGGGGGGGGGGGGGGAGACGCGACACGGCTCGGGCCCGCCAGTGCCCCAACGGGGTCCTAGTTATTAGGGCCCGAGCGTAGCTGCTAAGCAGCTGCGAGAGCCCTCTTGTTCCTGATGGATTCTTCTTTCGTTATTTTTCCTCCGCTTTAAACTGGAAAATGGCCCACTTCCCACTGGCGAAAACTCAGGAAATTTGGCAGGACGACCGGGCCTGGTGAAAAATTTGATATTCTGAAGTCGCCCAAACAAAAAAATGAAAAATGGCTCCATAGCGCCCCCTATGGTGAAAACTCACCTGACGCCTGTACGCTTTGTCAAAATGACACAAAATTTGACACACATGTGTATCTCAATAAGATCTACAAAAAAGTCAGTGCGGGCGTATCTGTCAAATGTACGGTTAAAGGGCTTATTTCGCATTTTTTGCCGATCCGCACACATTGGAATTTCGCTAACTCCTCCGAAGGCTTTCGTTCCACCGGCACCAAATTTGCTCAGGCCAATCTACACCCCATGGCCATTAAAAGTTGTACAAATCATGACGCTGCACCCCACGGTTTATGTTCTAGGGGGCGCCAAAAATAACCCAAAAATCCACATTCTTAAAAGTCTTATAACTTTTTATTTTTGTCCTCACTGGCCTCCAAGTTTTCTAGGATGATGCTATGTCCAGCCATCAACACATTTGTGAAGGAATTTTTACTCCCCAAAAGAGCGCCCCCACATGGCAGGAGAAAAAAGTCCATTTTTTCTTGTCCCCTAAGGTGAAAATACACATTGTTGAGTGTCACACCTATACGCTTTGTCATATTGACCCAAAATTTGACAATCACGTGTATCTCAATAAGATCTACGAAAAAGTCAATGGGCACGTATCTGTAAAATGTACGGTTAAAGGGTTATTTCGCATTTTTTCCCGATCCGCACACATTGGAATTTCGCTAACTCCTCCGAAGGCTTTAGTTCCACCGCCACCAAATTTGCTCAGGCCAATCTACACCCCATGGCCATTAAAAGTTGTACAAATCATGACGCTGCACTCCACGGTTTAGGTTCTAGGGGGCGCCAAAGATAACCCAAAAATCCACATTCTTAATAGTCTTATAACTTTTTATTTTTGTCCTCACTGGCCTCCAAGTTTTCTAGGATGATGCAATGTCCAGCCATCAACACATTTGTGAAGGAATTTTTACTCCCGAAAAGAGCGCCCCCCCATGGCAGGAGAAAAAAGTCCATTTTTTCTTGTCCCCTAAGGTGAAAAAACACACTATTGACTGTCACGCCTGTACGCTTTGTCAAAATGACACAAAAATTGACACACACATGTATCTCAATAAGATCTACAAAAAAGTCAGTGCGGGCGTATCTGTCAAATGTACGGTTAAAGGGTTATTTCGCATTTTTTGCCGATCCGCACACATTGGAATTTCGCTAACTCCTCCGAAGGCTTTCGTTCCACCGGCACCACATTTGCTCAGGCCAATCTACACCCCATGGCCATTAAAAGTTATTCAAATCATGACGCTGCACCCCACGGTTTAGGTTCTAGGGGGCGCCAAAGATAACCCTAAGATCCACATATTTAAAAGTCTTATAACTTTTTATTTTTGCCCTCACTGGCCTCCAAGTTTTCTAGGATGATGCAATGTCCAGCCATCAACACATTTGTGAAGGAATTTTTACTCCCCAAAAGAGCGCCCCCCCATGGCAGGAGAAAAAAGTCCATTTTTTCTTGTCCCCTAAGGTGAAAATACACATTGTTGAGTGTAACACCTGTACGCTTTGGCAAAATGACACAAAAATTGACACACACATGTATCTCAATAAGATCTACGAAAAAGTCAATGCGCGCGTATCTGTCAAATGTACGGTTAAAGGGTTATTCCGCATTTTTTGCCGATCCGCACACATTGGAATTTCGCTAACTCCTCCGAAGGCTTTCGTTCCACCGGCACCACATTTGCTCAGGCCAATCTACACCCCATGGCCATTAAAAGTTATTCAAATCATGACGCTGCACCCCACGGTTTAGGTTCTAGGGGGCGCCAAAGATAACCCTAAAATCCACATATTTAAAAGTCTTATAACTTTTTATTTTTGTCCTCACTGGCCTCCAAGTTTTCTAGGATGATGCAATGTCCAGCCATCAACACATTTGTGAAGGAATTTTTACTCCCAAAGGCGCCCCCCATGGCAGGAGAAAAAAGTCAATTTTTTCTTGTCCCCTAAGGTGGAAATTCACATTGTTGACTGTCACGCCTATACGCTTTGTCAAAATGACACAAAATTTGACACACACGTGTATCTCAATAAGATCTACGAAAAAGTCAATGGGCACGTATCTGTAAAATGTACGGTTAAAGGGCTATTTCGCATTTTTTGCCGATTCGCACACATTGGAATGTGGCTAACTCCTCCTAAGGCTTTCGTCCCACTGACACCAAATTTGCTCAGGCCAATCTACACCCCATGGTCATTCAAATTTGTAAAAATCATGCCGCTGCACCCCATGGTTTACGTTCTAGGGGGCGCCAAAGATGACCCAAATATCCACATTCTTAAAAGAATCCACCCCCCCCCCCCCCCAAGGCAGGAGAAAAAGTCCAGTTAACCCTGCCCATCGCTCAATGGCTCAATCGCATCGCTCTCCTGGCAACACCGTAAGGAGGAGCAACTTGCCATTTGGATATATCCTAGCTGTGTTTGTGCCCTCACTCATGGTCCAGACTTTTTTCAAATAGGACATGTAGTTTGTCTGCAGCGACCGTTTTGGTAGAAACTGCACCTCCCATTCATTATAATGGGAAATGACCACAGACAAGTGCGCACACCATCTTTGGACCTTGAGTGTGATGCGATCGTGAGGGGGAGGCGGTCGCGCTGGGGGCGGCGCGACGCGGCTCGGGCCCGACAGTGCCCCACCGGGGCCCTAGTTATTAGGGCCCGAGCGTAGCTGCTAAGCAGCTGCGAGAGCCCTCTTGTTCCTGCATGTTTCCTTCTTTAGGGCCCGAGCGTAGCTGCTAAGCAGCTGCGAGAGCCCTCTTGTTCCTGCATGTTTCCTTCTTTTGTTATTATTAGGGCCCGAGCGTAGCTGCTAAGCAGCTGCGAGAGCCCTCTTGTTCCTGCATGTTTCCTTCTTTTGTTATTAGGGCCCGAGCCAGCTGCAGAGCAGCCGGGCGTAGGCCCTGTTATTCCTGTAGGGGTTTTTCTTTGTTTCTTTCTTTCTTCTTTTTCCTCCCCTTTGAACTGGAAAATGGCCCACTTCCCACTGGCGAAAACTCAGGAAATTTGGCAGGACGACCGGGCCTGGTGAAAAATTTGATATTCCGAAGTCGCCCAAACAAGAAAATGCAAAATGGCTCCATAGCGCCCCCTAAGGTGAAAATTCACACTATTGACTGTCACGCCTGTACGCTTTGTCAAAATGACACAAAAATTGACACACACATGTATCTCAATAAGATCTACAAAAAAGTCAGTGCGGGCGTATCTGTCAAATGTACGGTTAAAGGGTTATTTCGCATTTTTTGCCGATCCGCACACATTGGAATTTCGCTAACTCCTCCGAAGGCTTTCGTTCCACCGGCACCACATTTGCTCAGGCCAATCTACACCCCATGGCCATTAAAAGTTATTCAAATCATGACGCTGCACCCCACGGTTTAGGTTCTAGGGGGCGCCAAAGATAACCCTAAAATCCACATTTTTAAAAGTCTTATAACTTTTTATTTTTCCCCTCACTGGCCTCCAAGTTTTCTAGGATGATGCAATGTCCAGCCATCAACACATTTGTGAAGGAATTTTTACTCCCCAAAAGAGCGCCCCCCCATGGCAGGAGAAAAAAGTCCATTTTTTTCTTGTCCCCTAAGGTGAAAATACACATTGTTGAGTGTCACGCCTGTACGCTTTGTCAAAATGACACAAAAATTGACACACACATGTATCTCAATAAGATCTACAAAAAAGTCCATGCGCGCGTATCTGTCTAATGTACGGTTAAAGGGTTATTCCGAATTTTTTGCCGATTCGCACACATTGGAATTTCGCTAACTCCTCCGAAGGCTTTCGTTCCACCGGCACCACATTTGCTCAGGCCAAATTACACCCCATGGCCATTAAAAGTTATTCAAATCATGACGCTGCACCCCACGGTTTACGTTCTAGGGGGCGCCAAAGATAACCCAAAAATCCACATTTTTAAAAGTCTTATAACTTTTTATTTTTGTCCTCACTGGCCTCCAAGTTTTCTAGGATGATGCAATGTCCAGCCATCAACACATTTGTGAAGGAATTTTTACTCCCCAAAAGAGCGCCCCCCCATGGCAGGAGAAAAAAGTCCATTTTTTTCTTGTCCCCTAAGGTGAAAATACACATTGTTGAGTGTCACGCCTGTACGCTTTGTCAAAATGACACAAAAATTGACACACACATGTATCTCAATAAGATCTACAAAAAAGTCCATGCGCGCGTATCTGTCTAATGTACGGTTAAAGGGTTATTCCGAATTTTTTGCCGATTCGCACACATTGGAATTTCGCTAACTCCTCCGAAGGCTTTCGTTCCACCGGCACCACATTTGCTCAGGCCAAATTACACCCCATGGCCATTAAAAGTTATTCAAATCATGACGCTGCACCCCACGGTTTACGTTCTAGGGGGCGCCAAAGATAACCCAAAAATCCACATTTTTAAAAGTCTTATAACTTTTTATTTTTGTCCTCACTGGCCTCCAAGTTTTCTAGGATGATGCAATGTCCAGCCATCAACACATTTGTGAAGGAATTTTTACTCCCCAAAAGAGCGCCCCCCCATGGCAGGAGAAAAAAGTCCATTTTTTCTTGTCCCCTAAGGTGAAAATACACATTGTTGACTGTCACGCCTGTACGCTTTGGCAAAATGACACAAAAATTGACAATCATGTGTATCTCAATTAGATCTACGAAAAAGTCAAAGAGCGCGTATCTGTATAATGTACGGTAAAAGGGCTATTTTGCATTTTTTGCCGATTCGCACACATTGGAATTTCGCTAACTCCTCCTAAGGCTTTCGTCCCACTGACACCAAATTTGCTCAGGCCAATCTACACTCCATGGCCATTCAAAGTTGTAAAAATCATGACGCTGCACCCCACGGTTTACGTTTTAGGGGGCGCCAAAGATGACCCAAATATACATTACAGTAGACAAAGTAGTTTTGCCCACTGAGTGGCGCCAAAGGGACTTGTCTGTGGAGTCTGTGAGTCACTATTGGCCGTTTTTGACTACTTTAGATTTTACCTTTATATTTCCTCTTACAAAATTTTTACCTTGCCTTGCCTGGTATCATTTTTTTCAGCACAACCTCACCTGTGTCAATTTACAGTTATTTTATCATTTTGACATACTATATTTACACATTGGACCCAAATTCACACACAAAACATAAAATCCGAGTGGAAAAAAGTAACGTTTTTACTGTGAAAACCACAAATATGTGTGATGAACTGTTTTTAAAACTTAAACTTCAAATAAAAATTGTAAACTTCAAAACATATGCAAATTTTTAACAAAGAACATAGTAATTTACCTCTATTGACATCAAAATGCAGGCAATGGCCCAGGTGTTCTTTGTAAAATTATTTACAAAACACTGTATAGTCTCACAAATGTCACTTTTTATTTATGCCACTACAAAAAAACATGATGTAAATGATGCATGATGTAAAACATGATGTAAAAAACTTGTGTAGATCCTCCTCTATGTTAGTCCATGTGTAATTTTTCCATAATTCTTTGTTTTTTGCAGCATTTTTGTTAGTGTAACTGCAGATTGTGCTGACAGTGTCTATGGCAAAAAAAAAAAAAAAAAAACAAACTGAAAATGCCTCAACATGAACCCCTGGTGGTCTCTGAGGGTGAAACCTGCTAACTGCTGCAGCTCTGTCAGCTTCAGTCTCCCATGCAGAGCTCGGAGCGCATGTGTGGCTCTGCACCCTTAGCAGCGTTGCTAACTCCTCAGTAAGGAAAGCCTGCTTCATGTCAGAGTCTCTAAACTCCAGAAGAAGTCGATAAAAGTCACTTTCTTTCTAAAAAAAAGTCGTTAGGGGGTCTGAAAAGTCATTGAATCTAACAACAAAGTCGCTAGGTTTGCAACTACGTGTCCCAGACTGCATCCCTGCTGAGAGTCCCTCCCTCCCTTCTCATATTGCAGGAAGAACGTAAGTTCCCGCCCCTTGTCAATCAGTCACCATATAATTTTGGATTGGTTGTTGTGGTGAAGTTTTCCACCAATAGGAGAGATGTTGTGGTGTGTTTTTTTTTTCCTTTGGCAAGCCTTTTCCACCTGTAAGACCTGTCGCTAATGTCTGCATGCTATGTTTTCCTGTCTCATACAGCGCGATCGAGCGCCGAACGTGATCAAAATAAGCAGAAAACAAGTATCGTGGACATAATTTATCATAACTCTGGTTTTATTTGGCCTATCAACACAATTTAAAAACTGGTATATAGGTTGAGGTCCTCACTTTTGAGATAAATTGAAACGGAGAGTCAACGAGGCTCCGTCTTGCAGCTACATCCGGTTAAATATGTCATGTGACTTGAACGCGCACACACACACACACACACACACACACACACACACAGACACACACACACACGCACACACACACACTCAGAGTCTGGTTTTTAGCACCTGCAAAAACATGCTATTGACATATTTGACAAGAATGCAGAGGCTCCTTTTGCCCCTGAAAAAAATCATATTTCAAACACAACTTGACTGGTCATTTCTCCAAAAGACAACCATGAAGCTCCATCCAAACCTGAAGCAGGCAGTTGGTGCATGTGTACAGTAACCTGAGGGGAGTGAGGTGACTGCTTCTGAGGAGAACATGAGCAGTGAAGATTCACCTTAGAGCTAGAACAGAGACGTGCACATGATTATACAGGGGCAGGGGCTCAAGTTTTTTCCAGTTGTTTATACAATATGGAAATTAATGTGAAATTAAAAAACAAAGTATTAATAGAAAGGTAATGACTGTCCTGTGTAGGTGACAGTGATATCCAATAGGCTAGGCACTCACGAGGCTGGCTGTGGCAAGTGTAAGTGAAAGCAACACGCACTGGCAGGAAGAACAGCAAACGCCGATGAAGGAAAAGGGTCTTTGCAGTGATGGGCGTTACCAGAGAGGGCGATGGCCAGAGGACACAAATGGGACGGGGAGGCAGCGCGTTGGGGGGGGGGGACGCGACACAGCTCGGGCCCGCCAGTGCCCCAACGGGGTCCTAGTTAGGGCCCGAGCCAGCTGCAGAGCAGCCGGGCGTAGAGCCCTATTATTCCCCAAGTGGTTTTTCTTTGTTTCTTTCTTTCTTTCTTTAGGGCCCGAGCGTAGCTGCTAAGCAGCTGCGAGAGCCCTATTATTCCTGATGGATTCTTCTTTCTTCTTCTTCTTATTATTTTTCTGCCCCTTTGAACTGGAAAATGGCCCACTTCCCACTGGTGAAAAGTCATGAAATTTGGCAGGACGACCGGGCCTGGTGAAAAATTCGATATTCTGAAGTCGCCCAAAAAATCAAATGCAAAATGGCTCCATAGCGCCCCCTAAGGTGAAAAATTCACATGATTGAGTGTCACGCCTTTACGCTTTGTCAAAATGACACAAAATTTGACACACACGTGTATCTCAATAAGATCTACAAAAAAGTCAGTGCGGGCGTATCTGTCAAATGTACGGTTAAAGGGCTATTTCGCATTTTTTGCCGATCCGCACACATTGGAATTTCGCTAACTCCTCCGAAGGCTTTCGTTCCACCGGCACCAAATTTGCTCAGGCCAATCTACACCCCATGGCCATTAAAAGTTGTACAAATCATGACGCTGCATCCCACGGTTTACGTTCTAGGGGGCGCCAAAGATAACCCAGAAATCCACATTCTTAAAAGTCGTAAAACTTTTTATTTTTGTCCTCACTGGCCTCCAAGTTTTCTAGGATGATGCAATGTCCAGCCATCAACACATTTGTGAAGGAATTTTTACTCCCCAAAAGAGCGCCCCCCCATGGCAGGAGAAAAAAGTCCATTTTTTCTTGTCTCCTAAGGCGAAAATTCACACTATTGACTGTCACGCCTTTACGCTTTGTCATATTGACACAAAAATTGACACACACATGTATCTCAATAAGATCTACAAAAAAGTCAGGGTGGGCGTATCTGTCAAATGTACGGTGAAAGGGCTATTTCGCATTTTTTGCCGATCCGCACACATTGGAATTTCGCTAACTCCTCCGAAGGCTTTCGTTCCAAAGGCACCACATTTGCTGAGGCCAATCTACACCCCATGGCCATTAAAAGTTGTACAAATCATGACGCTGCACCCCACGGTTTACGTTCTAGGGGGCGCCAAAGATAACCCAAAAATCCACAGTCTTAAAAGTCTTATAACTTTTTATTTTTGTCCTCACTGGCCTCCAAGTTCTCTAGGATGATGCAATGTCCAGCCATCAACACATTTGTGAAGGAATTTTTACTCGCCAAAAGAGCGCCCCCCCATGGCAGGAGAAAAAAGTCCATTTTTTCTTGTCTCCTAAGGCGAAAATACACATTGTTGACTGTCACGCCTTTACGCTTTGTCAAAATGACACAAAATTTGACACACACATGTATCTCAATAAGATCTACAAAAAAGTCAGTGCGGGCGTATCTGTATAATGTACGGTTAAAGGGTTATTTCGCATTTTTTGCCGATCCGCACACATTGGAATTTCGCTAACTCCTCCTAAATCTTTTGTCCCATCGGCTTCAAATTTGCTCAGGTCAATCTACACCCCATGGCCATTCAAAGTTGTACAAATCATGACGCTGCACCCCACAGTTTACGTTCTAGGGGGCGCCAAAGAGGACCCAAATATCCACATTTTTAAAAGTCTTATAACTTTTTATTTTTGTCCTCACTGGCCTCCAAGTTTTCTAGGATGATGCAATGTCCAGCCATCAACACATTTGTGAAGGAATTTTTTCTCCCCAAAAGAGCGCCCCCCCATGGCAGGAGAAAAAGTCAAGTTTTTCCTGCCCATCGCTCAATGGCTCAAACGCATCGCTCTCTCTGCAAAACCGAAAGGAGGAGCAACTTGCCATTTGGATATATACTAGCTGTGTTTGTGCCCTCACTCATGGTCCAGACTTTTTTCAAATAGGACATGTAGTTTGTCTGCAGCGAGCGTTTTGGTAGAAACTGCGCCTCCCATTCATTATAATGGGAAATGACCACAGACAAGTGCGCACACCATCTTTGGACCTTGAGTGTGACGCGATCGGGAGGGGGAGGCGGTCGCGCTGGGGGCGGCGCGACGCGGCTCGGGCCCGACAGTGCCCCACCGGGGCCCTAGTTATTATTATTTTTCCTCCCCTTTGAACTGGAAAATGGCCCACTTCCCACTGGCGAAAACTCATGAAATTTGGCAGGACGACCGGGCCTGGTGAAAAATTTGATATTCCGAAGTCGCCCAAACAAGAAAATGCAAAATGGCTCCATAGCGCCCCCTAAGGTGAAAATTCACACTATTGACTGTCACGCCTGTACGCTTTGTCAAAATGACACAAAAATTGACACACACATGTATCTCAATAAGATCTACAAAAAAGTCAGTGCGGGCGTATCTGTCAAATGTACGGTTAAAGGGTTATTTCGCATTTTTTGCCGATCCGCACACATTGGAATTTCGCTAACTCCTCCGAAGGCTTTCGTTCCACCGGCACCACATTTGCTCAGGCCAATCTACACCCCATGGCCATTAAAAGTTATTCAAATCATGACGCTGCACCCCACGGTTTAGGTTCTAGGGGGCGCCAAAGATAACCCTAAGATCCACATATTTAAAAGTCTTATAACTTTTTATTTTTGCCCTCACTGGCCTCCAAGTTTTCTAGGATGATGCAATGTCCAGCCATCAACACATTTGTGAAGGAATTTTTACTCCCCAAAAGAGCGCCCCCCCATGGCAGGAGAAAAAAGTCCATTTTTTCTTGTCCCCTAAGGTGAAAATACACATTGTTGAGTGTAACGACTGTATGTTTTGTCGTTTTGACACAAAATTTTACATACACGTGTCTTTCAATAAGATCTTCGAAAAAGTCAATGGCCACGTATCTGTAAAATGTACGGTTAAAGGGTTATTTCGCATTTTTTGCAGATTCGCACACATTGGAATTTCGCTAACTCCTCCGAAGGCTTTCGTTCCACCGGCACCACATTTGCTCAGGCCAATGTACACCCCATGGCCATTAAAAGTTATTCAAATCATGACGCTGCACCCCACGGTTTAGGTTCTAGGGGGCGCCAAAGATAACCCTAAAATCCACATATTTAAAAGTCTTATAACTTTTTATTTTTGTCCTCACTGGCCTCCATGTTTTATAGGATGATGCAATGTCCAGCCATCAACACATTTGTGAAGGAGTTTTTTCTCGTTAAATGAGCGCCCCCCCATGGCAGGAGAATAAAGTCAAGTTTTTCCTGTTCATCATTCAATGGCTCAAACGCACTGCTCTCTCGGCAAAAGCGAAAGGAGGAGCAACTTGCCATTTGGATATATCTTAGCTGTGTTTGTGCCCTCACTCATGGTCCAGACTTTTTTCAAATAGGACATGGAGTTTTTCTGCAGCGAGCGTTTTGGTAGAAACTGCGCCTCCCGTTCATTATAATGGTAAATGACCACAAACAAGTGCGCACACCATCTTTGGACCTTGAGTGTGACGCGATCGGGTGGGGGAGGCGGTCGTGCTGGGGGCAGCGTGACACGGCTCGGGCCCGCCAGTGCCCCAACGGGGCCCTAGTTAGGGCCCGAGCCAGCTGCAGAGCAGCCGGGCGTAGGCCCTATTATTCCCCAAGTGGTTTTTCTTTGTTTCTTTCTTTCTTTTTAGGGCCCGAGCGTAGCTGCTAAGCAGCTGCGAGAGCCCTCTTGTTCCTGATGGATTCTTCTTTCGTTATTTTTCCTCCGCTTTAAACTGGAAAATGGCCCACTTCCCACTGGCGAAAACTCAGAAAATTTGGCAGGATGACCGGGCCTGGTGAAAAATTTGATATTCTGAAGTCGTCCAAACAAAAAAATGAAAAATGGCTCCATAGCGCCCCCTATGGTGAAAACTCACCTGATGCCTGTACGCTTTGTCAAAATGACACAAAATTTGACACACATGTGTATCTCAATAAGATCTACGAAAAAGTCAGTGCGGGCGTATCTGTCAAATGTACGGTTAAAGGGCTATTTCGCTTTTTTTGCCGATCCGCACACATTGGAATTTCGCTAACTCCTCCGAAGGCTTTCGTTCCACCGGCACCAAATTTGCTCAGGCCAATCTACACCCCATGGCCATTAAAAGTTGTACAAATCATGACGCTGCACCCCACGGTTTAGGTTCTAGGCGGCGCCAAAGATAACCCAAAAATCCACATTCTTAAAAGTCTTATAACTTTTTATTTTTGTCCTCACTGGCCTCCAAGGTTTCTAGGATGATGCAATGTCCAGCCATCAACACATTTGTGAAGGAATTTTTACTCCCCAAAAGAGCGCCCCCCCATGGCAGGAGAAAAAAGTCAATTTTTTCTTGTCCCCTAAGGTAAAAATACACATTGTTGAGTGTCACGCCTATACACTTTGTCATATTGACAGACAATTTGACAATCACGTGTATCTCAATAAGATCTACAAAAAAGTCAATAGGCACGTATATGTCAAATGTACGGTTAAAGGGCTATTTCGCATTTTTTGCCGATTCGCACACATTGGAATGTGGCTATCTCCTCCTAAGGCTTTCGTCCCACTGATACCAAATTTGCTCAGGGCAATCTACACCCCATGCCCATTCAAAGTTGTAAAAATCATGCCGCTGCACCCCACGGTTTACGTTCTAGGGGGCGCCAAAGATGACCCAAAAATCCACATTCTTAAAAGTCTTTTTGGTCACTGCAGGAGTACAGAGTACTGCAAGATACACACACATACACACACACACACACACACACACACACACACACACACACACACACACACACACACTCAGAGTCTGTTTTTTAGCACCTGCAAAAACATGCTGTTTACATATTTGACAAGAATGCAGAGGCTTCCTTTTGCCCCTGAAAAAAATCAAATTTCAAACACAACTTGACTGTTCATTTCTCCAAATGACAACCATGAAGCTCCATCCAAACCTGAAGCAGGCAGTTGGTGCATGTGTACAGTAACCTGAGGGGAGTGAGGTGACTGCTTCTGAGGAGAACATGAGCAGTGAAGATTCACCTTGGAGCGAGAACAGGGACGTGCACATGATTATGCAGGGGCAGGGGCTCAAGTTTTTTCCAGTCGTTTATACAATATGGAAATTAATGTGAAATTAAAAAACAAAGTATTAATAGAAAGGTAATGACTGTCCTGTGTAGGTGACAGTAATATCCAATAGGCTAGGCACTCACGAGGCTGGCTGTGGCAAGTGTAAGTGAAAGCAACACGCACTGGCAGGAAGAACAGCAAACGCCGATGAAGGAAAAGGGTCTTTGCAGTGATGGGCGTTACCAGAGAGGACGATGGCCAGAGGACGCGAATGGGACGGGGAGGCAGCGCGTTGGGGGGGGGGGCGCGACACAGCTCGGGCCCGCCAGTGCCCCAACGGGGCCCTAGTTTCTTTTTCCTCCCCTTTGAACTGGAAAATGGCCCACTTCCCACTGGCGAAAACTCATGAAATTTGGCAGGACGACCGGGCCTGGTGAAAAATTCGATATTCTGAAGTCGCCAAAACAATAAAATGCAAAATGGCTCCATAGCGCCCCCTAAGGTGGAAATTCACACTATTGACTGTCACGCCTGTACGCTTTGTCATATTGACACAAAAATTGACACACACATGTATCTCAATAAGATCTACAAAAAAGTCAGTGCGGCCGTATCTGTCAAAATTACGGTTAAAGGGTTATTTCGCATTTTTTGCCGATCCGCACACATTGGAATTTCGCTAACTCCTCCGAAGGCTTTCGTTCCACCGGCACCACATTTGCTCAGGCCAATCTACACCCCGTGGCCATTAAAAGTTATCAAAATCATGACGCTGCACCCCAAGGTTTAGGTTCTAGGGGGCGCCAAAGATAACACTAAAATCCACATATTTAAAAGTCTTATAACTTTTTATTTTTGTCCTCACTGGCCTCCAAGTTTTCTAGGATGATGCAATGTCCAGCCATCAACACATTTGTGAAGGAATTTTTACTCCCCAAAAGAGCGCCCCCCATGGCAGGAGAAAAAAGTCCATTTTTTCTTGTCCCCTAAGGTGAAAATACACATTGTTGAGTGTCACGCCTATACGCTTTGTCAAAATGACACAAAAATTGACACACACATGTAACTCAATAAGATCTACAAAAAAGTCCATGCGCGCGTATCTGTCAAATGTACAGTTAAAGGGTTATTCCGCATTTTTTGCCGATACGCACACATTGGAATTTCGCTAACTCCTCCGAAGGCTTTCGTTCCACCGGCACCACATTTGCTCAGGCCAATCTACACCCCATGGCCATTAAAAGTTATTCAAATCATGATGCTGCACCCCATGGTTTAGGTTCTAGGGGGCGCCAAAAATAACCCAAAAATCCACATTCTTAAATGTTTTATAACTTTTTATTTTTGTCCTCACTGGCCTCCAAGTTTTCTAGGATGATGCAATGTCCAGCCATCAACACATTTGTGAAGGAATTTTTACTCCCTTAAAGAGCGCCCCCCCATGGTAGGAGAAAAAAGTCAATTTTTTCTTGTCCCCTTACATAAAAATACACATTGTTGAGTGTCACGCCTGAACGCTTTGTCATATTGACACAAAAATTGACAATCATGTGTATCTCAATTAGATCTACGAAAAAGTCAAAGAGCGCGTATCTGTATAATGTACGGTTAAAGGGCTATTTTGCATTTTTTGCCGATTCGCACACATTGGAATGTGGCTATCTCCTCCTAAGGCTTTCGTCCCACCGATACCAAATTTGCTCAGGGCAATCTACACCCCATGCCCATTCAAAGTTGTAAAAATCATGACGCTGCACCCCACGGTTTACGTTCTAGGGGGCGCCAAAGATGACCCAAAAATCCACATTCTTAAAAGTCATTTTGGCCACTGCAGGAGTACAGAGTACTGCAGTTCTAGGGGGCGCCAAAGATGACCCAAAAATCCACATTCTTAAAAGTCTTTTTGGCCACTGCAGGAGTACAGAGTACTGCAGGATACACACACATATACACACACGCCAACATACACACACACACACACACACACACACACACACACAGACACACACACACACTCAGAGTCTGTTTTTTAGCACCTGCAAAAACATGCTGTTTACATATTTGACAAGAATGCAGAGGCTTCCTTTTGCCCCTGAAAAAAATCAAATTTCAAACACAACTTGACTGTTCATTTCTCCAAAAGACAACCATAAAGCTCCATTTCAAACCTGAAGCAGATAGTTGGTGCATGTGTACAGTAACCTGAGGGGAGTGAGGTGACTATTTCTGAGGAGAACATGAGCAGTGAAGATTCACCTTGGAGCTAGAACAGGGACGTGCACATGATTATACAGGGGCAGGGGCTCAAGTTTTTTCCAGTCATTTATACAATATGGAAATTAATGTGAAATTAAACCACAAATATGTGTGATGAACTGTTTTTAAAACTTAAACTTCAAATAAAAATTGTAAACTTCAAAACATATGCAAATTTTTAACAAAGAACATAGTAATTTACCTCTATTTACATCAAAATGCAGGCAATGGCCCAGGCGTTCTTTGTAAAATTATTTACAAAACACTGTATAGTCTCACAAATGTCACTTTTTATTTATGCCACTACAAAAAAACATGATGTAAATGATGCATGATGTAAAACATGATGTAAAAAACTTGTGTAGATCCTCCTCTATGTCAGTCCATGTGTAATTTTTCCATAATTCTTTGTTTTTTGCAGCATTTTTGTTAGTGTAACTGCAGATTGTGCTGACAGTGTCTATGGCACAAAAAAAAAAAAAATTAAAATGCCTCAACATGAACCCCTGGTGGTCTCTGAGGGTGAAACCTGCTAACTGCTGCAGCTCTGTCAGCTTCAGTCTCCCATGCAGAGCTCTGAGTGCATGTGTGGCTCTGCACCCTTAGCAGCGTTGCTAACTCCTCAGTAAGGAAAGCCTGCTTCATGTCAGAGTCTCTAAACTCCAGAAGAAGTCGATAAAAGTCACTTTCTTTCTAAAAAAAAGTCGTTAGGGGGTCTGAAAAGTCATTGAATCTAACAACAAAGTCGCTAGGTTTGCAACTACGTGTCCCAGACTGCATCCCTGCTGAGAGTCCCTCCCTCCCTTCTCATGTTGCAGGAAGAACGTAAGCGCCCGCCCCTTGTCAATCAGTCACCATATAATTTTGGATTGGTTGTTGTGGTGAAGTTTTCCACCAATAGGAGAGATGTTGTGGTGTGTTTTTTTTTTCCTTTGGCAAGCCTTTTCCGCCTGTAAGACCTGTCGCTAATGTCTGCATGCTATGTTTTCCTGTCTCATACAGCGCGATCGAGCGCCGAACGTGATCAAAATAAGCAGAAAAAAAGTATCGCGGACATAATTTATCATAACTCTGGTTTTATTTGGCCTATCAACACAATTTAAAAACTGGTATATAGGTTGAGGTCCTCACTTTTGAGATAAGTTGAAACGGAGAGTCAACGAGGCTCCGTCTTGCAGCTACATCCGGTTAAATATGTCATGTGATTTGAACGCACACATAGACACACACACACACGCACACACACACACACACACACACACACACACACACACACACACTCAGAGTCTGGTTTTTAGCACCTGCAAAAACATGCTATTTACATATTTGACAAGAATGCAGAGGCTCCTTTTGCCCCTGAAAAAAATCAAATTTCAAATACAACTTGACTGGTCATTTCTCCAAAAGACAACCATGAAGCTCCATCCAAACCTGAAGCAGGCAGTTGGTGCATGTGTACAGTAACCTGAGGGGAGTGAGGTGAGTGCTTCTGAGGAGAACATGAGCAGTGAAGATTCACCTTGGAGCTAGAACAGAGACATGCACATGATTATACAGGGGCAGGGGCTCAAGTTTTTTCCAGTCGTTTATACAATATGGAAATTAATGTGAAATTAAAACACAAAGTATTAATAGAAAGGTAATGACTGTCCTGTGTAGGTGACAGTGATATCCAATAGGCTAGGCACTCACGAGGCTGGCTGTGGCAAGTGTAAGTGAAAGCAACACGCACTGGCAGGAAGAACAGCAAACGCCGATGAAGGAAAAGGGTCTTTGCAGTGATGGGCGTTACCAGAGAGGGCGATGGCCAGAGGACACAAATGGGACGGGGAGGCAGCACGTTGGGGGGGGGGGGGGGGGGAGACGCGACACGGCTCGGGCCCGCCAGTGCCCCAACGGGGTCCTAGTTGTTTCTTTTTAGGGCCCGAGCGTAGCTGCTAAGCAGCTGCGAGAGCCCTATTATTCCCCAAGTGGTTTTTCTTTGTTTCTTTAGGGCCCGAGCGTAGCTGCTAAGCAGCTGCGAGAGCCCTCTTGTTCCTGCATGTTTCCTTCTTTCGTTATTATTTTTCCTCCGCTTTAAACTGGAAAATGGCCCACTTCCCACTGGCGAAAACTCAGGAAATTTGGCAGGACGACCGGGCCTGGTGAAAAATTCGATATTCTGAAGTCGCCCAAACAATAAAATGCAAAATGGCTCCATAGCGCCCCCTAAGGTGAAAATTCACATGACGGCTGTACGCTTTGTCATATTGACACAAAAATTGACACACACATGTATCTCAATAAGATCTACAAAAAAGTCAGTGCGGGCGTATCTGTCAAATGTACGGTTAAAGGGTTATTTCGCATTTTTTGCAGATCCGCACACATTGGAATTTCGCTAACTCCTCCGAAGGCTTTTGTTCCACCGGCACCACATTTGCTCAGGCCAATCTACACTCCATGGCCATTCAAAGTTGTACAAATCATGATGCTGCACCCCATGGTTTAGGTTCTAGGGGGCGCCAAAAATAACCCAAAAATCCACATTCTTAAAAGTTTTATAACTTTTTTTTTTTGTCCTCACTGGCCTCCAAGTTTTCTAGGATGATGCAATGTCCAGCCATCAACACATTTGTGAAGGAATTTTTACTCCCCAAAAGAGCGCCCCCCCCATGGCAGGACAAAAAAGTCAAATTTTTCTTGTCCCCTAAGGTGAAAATACACATTGTTGAGATTCACGCCTGTACGCTTTGTCATATTGACAAAAAATTTGACACACACGTGTATCTCAATAAGATCTACGAAAAAGTCAATGCGCGCGTATCTGTAAAATGTACGGCTAAACGGCTATTTTGCATTTTTTGCCGATTCGCACACATTGGAATGTGGCTAATTCCTCCTAAGGCTTTCGTCCCACTGACACCAAATTTTCTCAGGCCAATCTACACCCCATGGCCATTCAAAGTTGTAAAAATCATGCCGCTGCACCCCACGGTCTACGTTCTAGGGGGCGCCAAAGAGGACCCAAATATCCACATTTTTAAAAGTCTTATAACTTTTTATTTTTGTCCTCACTGGCCTCCAAGTTTTCTAGGATGATGCAATGTCCAGCCATCAACACATTTGTGAAGGATTTTTTTCTCCCCAAAAGAGCGCCCCCCCATGGCAGGAGAAAAAGTCAAGTTTTTCCTGCCCATCGCTCAATGGCTCAAACGCATCGCTCTCTCGGCATAACCGAAAGGATGAGCAACTTGCCATTTGGATATATACTTGCTGTGTTTGTGCCCTCACTCATGGTCCAGACTTTTTTCAAAAAGGACATGGAGTTTGTCTGCAGCGAGCGTTTTGGTAGAAACTGCGCCTCCCATTCATTATAATGGTAAATGACCACAGACAAGTGCGCACACCATCTTTGGACCTTGAGTGTGACGCGATCGGGAGGGGTAGGCGGTCGCGCTGGGTGCGGCGCGACACAGCTCGGGCCCGCCAGTGCCCCAACGGGGTCCTAGTTAGGGCCCGAGCGTAGCTGCTAAGCAGCTGCGAGAGCCCTATTATTCCCCAAGTGGTTTTTCTTTGTTTCTTTTTTCTTTTTCCTCCCCTTTGAACTGGAAAATGGCCCACTTCCCACTGGCGAAAACTCATGAAATTTGGCGGGACGACCGGGCCTGGTGAAAAATTTGATATTCCGAAGTCGCCCAAACAAGAAAATGCAAAATGGCTCCATAGCGCCCCCTAAGGTGAAAATTCACACTATTGACTGTCACGCCTGTACGCTTTGTCAAAATGACACAAAAATTGACACACACATGTATCTCAATAAGATCTACAAAAAAGTCAGTGCGGGCGTATCTGTCAAATTTACGGTTAAAGGGTTATTTCGCATTTTTTGCCGATCCGCACACATTGGAATTTCGCTAACTCCTCCGAAGGCTTTCGTTCCACCGGCACCACATTTGCTCAGGCCAATCTACACCCCATGGCCATTAAAAGTTATTCAAATCATGACGCTGCACCCCACGGTTTAGGTTCTAGGGGGCGCCAAAGATAACCCTAAAATCCACATATTTAAAAGTCTTATAACTTTTTATTTTTGCCCTCACTGGCCTCCAAGTTTTCTAGGATGATGCAATGTCCAGCCATCAACACATTTGTGAAGGAATTTTTACTCCCCAAAAGAGCGCCCCCCCATGGCAGGAGAAAAAAGTCCATTTTTTCTTGTCCCCTAAGGTGAAAATACACATTGTTGAGTGTCACGCCTGTACTCTTTGTCAAAATGACACAAAAATTGACACACACATGTATCTCAATAAGATCTACAAAAAAGTCAATGCGCGCGTATCTGTCAAATGTACGGTTAAAGGGTTATTCCGCATTTTTTGCCGATTCGCACACATTGGAATTTCGCTAACTCCTCCGAAGGCTTTCGTTCCACCGGCACCACATTTGCTCAGGCCAATCTACACCCCATGGCCATTAAAAGTTATTCAAATCATGACGCTGCACCCCACGGTTTACGTTCTAGGGGGCGCCAAAGATAACCCAAAAATCCACATTTTTAAAAGTCTTATAACTTTTTATTTTTGTCCTCACTGGCCTCCAAGTTTTCTAGGATGATGCAATGTCCAGCCATCAACACATTTGTGAAGGAATTTTTACTCCCCAAAAGAGCGCCCCCCCATGGTAGGAGAAAAAAGTCAATTTTTTCTTGTCCCCTTACATGAAAATACACATTGTTGAGTGTCACGCCTGAACGCTTTGTCATATTGACACAAAAATTGACACACACATGTATCTCAATAAGATCTACGAAAAAGTCAAAGAGCGCGTATCTGTATAATGTACGGTTAAAGGGCTATTTTGCATTTTTTGCCGATTCGCACACATTGGAATGTGGCTATCTCCTCCTAAGGCTTTCGTCCCACCGATACCAAATTTGCTCAGGGCAATCTACACCCCATGCCCATTCAAAGTTGTAAAAATCATGACGCTGCACCCCACGGTTTACGTTCTAGGGGGCGCCAAAGATGACCCAAAAATCCACATTCTTAAAAGTCATTTTGGCCACTGCAGGAGTACAGAGTACTGCAGTTCTAGGGGGCGCCAAAGATGACCCAAAAATCCACATTCTTAAAAATCTTTTTGGCCACTGCAGGAGTACAGAGTACTGCAGGATACACACACATATACACACACGCCAACATACACACACACACACACACACACACACACACACACACACACACAGACACACACACACACTCAGAGTCTGTTTTTTAGCACCTGCAAAAACATGCTGTTTACATATTTGACAAGAATGCAGAGGCTTCCTTTTGCCCCTGAAAAAAATCAAATTTCAAACACAACTTGACTGTTCATTTCTCCAAAAGACAACCATGAAGCTCCATTTCAAACCTGAAGCAGATAGTTGGTGCATGTGTACAGTAACCTGAGGGGAGTGAGGTGACTATTTCTGAGGAGAACATGAGCAGTGAAGATTCACCTTGGAGCTAGAACAGGGACGTGCACATGATTATACAGGGGCAGGGGCTCAAGTTTTTTCCAGTCATTTATACAATATGGAAATTAATGTGAAATTAAACCACAAATATGTGTGATGAACTGTTTTTAAAACTTAAACTTCAAATAAAAATTGTAAACTTCAAAACATATGCAAATTTTTAACAAAGAACATAGTAATTTACCTCTATTTACATCAAAATGCAGGCAATGGCCCAGGCGTTCTTTGTAAAATTATTTACAAAACACTGTATAGTCTCACAAATGTCACTTTTTATTTATGCCACTACAAAAAAACATGATGTAAATGATGCATGATGTAAAACATGATGTAAAAAACTTGTGTAGATCCTCCTCTATGTCAGTCCATGTGTAATTTTTCCATAATTCTTTGTTTTTTGCAGCATTTTTGTTAGTGTAACTGCAGATTGTGCTGACAGTGTCTATGGCACAAAAAAAAAAAAAATTAAAATGCCTCAACATGAACCCCTGGTGGTCTCTGAGGGTGAAACCTGCTAACTGCTGCAGCTCTGTCAGCTTCAGTCTCCCATGCAGAGCTCTGAGCGCATGTGTGGCTCTGCACCCTTAGCAGCGTTGCTAACTCCTCAGTAAGGAAAGCCTGCTTCATGTCAGAGTCTCTAAACTCCAGAAGAAGTCGATAAAAGTCCCTTTCTTTCTAAAAAAAAGTCGTTAGGGGGTCTGAAAAGTCATTGAATCTAACAACAAAGTCGCTAGGTTTGCAACTACGTGTCCCAGACTGCATCCCTGCTGAGAGTCCCTCCCTCCCTTCTCATGTTGCAGGAAGAACGTAAGCGCCCGCCCCTTGTCAATCAGTCACCATATAATTTTGGATTGGTTGTTGTGGTGAAGTTTTCCACCAATAGGAGAGATGTTGTGGTGTGTTTTTTTTTCTTTTGGCAAGCCTTTTCCGCCTGTAAGACCTGTCGCTAATGTCTGCATGCTATGTTTTCCTGTCTCATACAGCGCGATCGAGCGCCGAACGTGATCAAAATAAGCAGAAAAAAAGTATCGCGGACATAATTTATCATAACTCTGGTTTTATTTGGCCTATCAACACAATTTAAAAACTGGTATATAGGTTGAGGTCCTCACTTTTGAGATAAGTTGAAACGGAGAGTCAACGAGGCTCCTTCTTGCAGCTACATCCGGTTAAATATGTCATGTGACTTGAACGCACACACAGACACACACACACGCACACACACACACACACACACACTCAGAGTCTGGTTTTTAGCACCTGCAAAAACATGCTATTTACATATTTGACAAGAATGCAGAGGCTCCTTTTGCCCCTGAAAAAAATCAAATTTCAAACACAACTTGACTGGTCATTTCTCCAAAAGACAACCATGAAGCTCCATCCAAACCTGAAGCAGGCAGTTGGTGCATGTGTACAGTAACCTGAGGGGAGTGAGGTGAGTGCTTCTGAGGAGAACATGAGCAGTGAAGATTCACCTTGGAGCTAGAACAGAGACATGCACATGATTATACAGGGGCAGGGGCTCAAGTTTTTTCCAGTCGTTTATACAATATGGAAATTAATGTGAAATTAAAACACAAAGTATTAATAGAAAGGTAATGACTGTCCTGTGTAGGTGACAGTGATATCCAATAGGCTAGGCACTCACGAGGCTGGCTGTGGCAAGTGTAAGTGAAAGCAACACGCACTGGCAGGAAGAACAGCAAACGCCGATGAAGGAAAAGGGTCTTTGCAGTGATGGGCGTTAACAGAGAGGGCGATGGCCAGAGGACACAAATGGGACGGGGAGGCAGCACGTTGGGGGGGGGGAGACGCGACACGGCTCGGGCCCGCCAGTGCCCCAACGGGGTCCTAGTTAGGGCCCGAGCGTAGCTGCTAAGCAGCTGCGAGAGCCCTATTATTCCCCAAGTGGTTTTTCTTTGTTTCTTTTTTCTTTTTCCTCCCCTTTGAACTGGAAAATGGCCCACTTCCCACTGGCGAAAACTCATGAAATTTGGCAGGACAACCGGGCCTGGTGAAAAATTTGATATTCTGAAGTCGCCCAAACAATACAATGCAAAATGGCTCCATAGCGCCCCCTAAGGTGAAAAATTCACCTGACGCCTGTACGCTTTGTCAAAATGACACAAAAATTGACACACACATGTATCTCAATAAGATCGACAAAAAAGTCAGTGCGGGCGTATCTGTCAAATGTACGGTTAAAGGGTTATTGCGCATTTTTTGCCGATACGCACACATTGGAATTTCGCTAACTCCTCCGAAGGCTTTCGTTCCACCGGCACCACATTTGCTCAGGCCAATCTACACCCCATGGCCATTAAAAGTTATTCAAATCATGACGCTGCACCCCACGGTTTAGGTTCTAGGGGGCGCCAAAGATAACCCTAAAATCCACATATTTCAAAGTCTTATAACTTTTTATTTTTGCCCTCACTGGCCTCCAAGTTTTCTAGGATGATGCAATGTCCAGCCATCAACACATTTGTGAAGGAATTTTTACTCCCCAAAAGAGCGCCCCCCCATGGCAGGAGAAAAAAGTCCATTTTTTCTTGTCCCAAAAGGTGAAAATTTACACTATTGACTGTCACGCCTGTACGCTTTGTCAAAATGACACAAAAATTGACACACACATGTATCTCAATAAGATCTACAAAAAAGTCAGTGTGGCCGTATCTGTCAAATGTACGGTTAAAGGGTTATTTCGCATTTTTTGCCGATACGCACACATTGGAATTTCGCTAACTCCTCCGAAGGCTTTCGTTCCACCGGCACCACATTTGCTCAGGCCAATCTACACCCCGTGGCCATTAAAAGTTATCAAAATCATGACGCTGCACCCCACGGTTTAGGTTCTAGGGGGCGCCAAAAATAACCCTAAAATCCACATATTTCAAAGTCTTATAACTTTTTATTTTTGTCCTCACTGGCCTCCAAGTTTTCTAGGATGATGCAATGTCCAGCCATCAACACATTTGTGAAGGAATTTTTACTCCCCAAAAGAGCGCCCCCCCATGGCAGGAGAAAAAAGTCCATTTTTTTTTTGTCCCCTAAGGTGAAAATACATATTGTTGAGATTCACGCCTATACGCTTTGTCATATTGACACAAAATTTGACAATCACGTGCCTTGCCTGGTATCATTTTTTTCAGCACAACCTCACCTGTGCGAATTTACAGTTATTTTATCATGTTGACATACTGAATTTACACAATGGACCCAAATTCACACACAAAACATAAAATCCGAGTGGAAAAAAGTAACATTTTTACTGTGAAAATCAAAAATATGTGTGATGAACTGTTTTTAAAACTTAAACTTCAAATAAAAATTGTAAACTTCAAAGCATATGCAAATTTTTAACAAAGAACATAGTGATTTACCTCTATTTACATCAAAATGCAGGCAATGGCCCAGGCGTTCTTTGTAAAATTATTTACAAAACACTGTATAGTCTCACAAATGTCACTTTTTATTTATGCCACTACAAAAAAACATGATGTAAATGATGCATGATGTAAAACATGATGTAAAAAACTTGTGTAGATCCTCCTCTATGTCAGTCCATGTGTAATTTTTCCATAATTCTTTGTTTTTTTGCAGCATTTTTGTTAGTGTAACTGCAGATTGTGCTGACAGTGTCTATGGCACAAAAAAAAAAAAAATTAAAATGCCTCAACATGAACCCCTGGTGGTCTCTGAGGGTGAAACCTGCTAACTGCTGCAGCTCTGTCAGCTTCAGTCTCCCATGCAGAGCTCGGAGCGCATGTGTGGCTCTGCACCCTTAGCAGCGTTGCTAACTCCTCAGTAAGGAAAGCCTGCTTCATGTCAGAGTCTCTAAACTCCAGAAGAAGTCGATAAAAGTCCCTTTCTTTCTAAAAAAAAGTCGTTAGGGGGTCTGAAAAGTCATTGAATCTAACAACAAAGTCGCTAGGTTTGCAACTACGTGTCCCAGACTGCATCCCTGCTGAGAGTCCCTCCCTCCCTTCTCATGTTGCAGGAAGAACGTAAGCGCCCGCCCCTTGTCAATCAGTCACCATATAATTTTGGATTGGTTGTTGTGGTGAAGTTTTCCACCAATAGGAGAGATGTTGTGGTGTTTTTTTTTTTTCTTTTGGCAAGCCTTTTCCGCCTGTAAGACCTGTCGCTAATGTCTGCATGCTATGTTTTCCTGTCTCATACAGCGCGATCGAGCGCCGAACGTGATCAAAATAAGCAGAAAAAAAGTATTGCGGACATAATTTATCATAACTCTGGTTTTATTTGGCCTATCAACACAATTTAAAAACTGGTATATAGGTTGAGGTCCTCACTTTTGAGATAAGTTGAAACGGAGAGTCAACGAGGCTCCGTCTTGCAGCTTCATCCGGTTAAATATGTCATGTGACTTGAACGCACACACAGACACACACACACACACACACACACACACACACACACTCAGAGTCTGGTTTTTAGCACCTGCAAAAACATGCTATTTACATATTTGACAAGAATGCAGAGGCTCCTTTTGCCCCTGAAAAAAATCAAATTTCAAACACAACTTGACTGGTCATTTCTCCAAAAGACAACCATGAAGCTCCATCCAAACCTGAAGCAGGCAGTTGGTGCATGTGTACAGTAACCTGAGGGGAGTGAGGTGAGTGCTTCTGAGGAGAACATGAGCAGTGAAGATTCACCTTGGAGCTAGAACAGAGACATGCACATGATTATACAGGGGCAGGGGCTCAAGTTTTTTCCAGTCGTTTATTCAATATGGAAATTAATGTGAAATTAAAACACAAAGTATTAATAGAAAGGTAATGACTGTCCTGTGTAGGTGACAGTGATATCGAATAGGCTAGGCACTCACGAGGCTGGCTGTGGCAAGTGTAAGTGAAAGCAACACGCACTGGCAGGAAGAACAGCAAACGCCGATGAAGGAAAAGGGTCTTTGCAGTGATGGGCGTTACCAGAGAGGGCGATGGCCAGAGGACACAAATGGGACGGGGAGGCAGCGCGTTGGGGGGGGGGCGACACGGCTCGGGCCCGCCAGTGCCCCAACGGGGTCCTAGTTATTTTTCCTCCCCTTTGAACTGGAAAATGGCCCACTTCCCACTGGCGAAAACTCATGAAATTTGGCAGGACGACCGGGCCTGGTGAAAAATTTGATATTCCGAAGTCGCCCAAACAAGAAAATGCAAAATGGCTCCATAGCGCCCCCTAAGGTGAAAATTCACACTATTGACTGTCACGCCTGTACGCTTTGTCAAAATGACACAAAAATTGACACACACATGTATCTCAATAAGATCTACAAAAAAGTCAGTGCGGGCGTATCTGTCAAATGTACGGTTAAAGGGTTATTTCGCATTTTTTTCCGATCCGCACACATTGGAATTTCGCTAACTCCTCCGAAGGCTTTCGTTCCACCGGCACCACATTTGCTCAGGCCAATCTACACCCCATGGCCATTAAAAGTTATTCAAATCATGACGCTGCACCCCACGGTTTAGGTTCTAGGGGGCGCCAAAGATAACCCAAAAATCCACATATTTAAAAGTCTTATAACTTTTTATTTTTGCCCTCACTGGCCTCCAAGTTTTCTAGGATGATGCAATGTCCAGCCATCAACACATTTGTGAAGGAATTTTTACTCCCCAAAAGAGCGCCCCCCCATGGCAGGAGAAAAAAGTCCATTTTTTCTTGTCCCCTAAGGTGAAAATTCACACTATTGACTGTCACGCCTGTACGCTTTGTCAAAATGACACAAAAATTGACACACACATGTATCTCAATAAGATCTACAAAAAAGTCCATGCGCGTATCTGTCTAATGTACGGTTAAAGGGTTATTCCGCATTTTTTTGCCGATTCGCACACATTGGAATTTCGCTAACTCCTCCGAAGGCTTTCGTTCCACCGGCACCACATTTGCTCAGGCCAAATTACACCCCATGGCCATTAAAAGTTATTCAAATCATGACGCTGCACCCCACGGTTTACGTTCTAGGGGGCGCCAAAGATAACCCAAAAATCCACATTTTTAAAAGTCTTTTAACTTTTTATTTTTGTCCTCACTGGCCTCCAAGTTTTCTAGGATGATGCAATGTCCAGCCATCAACACATTTGTGAAGGAATTTTTTTTCCCTAAAAGAGCGCCCCCCATGGCAGGAGAAAAAAGTCCATTTTTTCTTGTCCCCTAAGGTGAAAATACACATTGTTGACTGTCACGCCTGTACGCTTTGGCAAAATGACACAAAAATTGACAATCATGTGTATCTCAATTAGATCTACGAAAAAGTCAAAGAGCGCGTATCTGTATAATGTACGGTAAAAGGGCTATTTTGCATTTTTTGCCAATTCGCACACATTGGAATTTCGCTAACTCCTCCTAAGGCCTTCGTCCCACTGACACCAAATTTGCTCAGGCCAATCTACACTCCATGGCCATTCAAAGTTGTAAAAATCATGACGCTGCACCCCACGGTTTACGTTTTAGGGGGCGCCAAAGATGACCCAAATATACATTACAGTAGACAAAGTAGTTTTGCCCACTGAGTGGCGCCAAAGGGACTTGTCTGTGGAGTCTGTGAGTCACTATTGGCCGTTTTTGACTACTTTAGATTTTACCTTTTATATTTCCTCTTAAAATTTTTACCTTGCCTTGCCTGGTATCATTTTTTTCAGCACAACCTCACCTGTGTCAATTTACAGTTATTTTATCATTTTGACATACTATATTTACACAATGGACCCAAATTCACACACAAAACATAAAATCCGAGTGGAAAAAAGTAACATTTTTACTGTGAAAACCACAAATATGTGTGATGAACTGTTTTTAAAACTTAAACTTCAAATAAAAATTGTAAACTTCAAAACATATGCAAATTTTTAACAAAGAACATAGTGATTTACCTCTATTTACATCAAAATGCAGGCAATGGCCCAGGCGTTCTTTGTAAAATTATTTACAAAACACTGTATAGTCTCACAAATGTCACTTTTTATTTATGCCACTACAAAAAAACATGATGTAAATGATGCATGATGTAAAACATGATGTAAAAAACTTGTGTAGATCCTCCTCTATGTCAGTCCATGTGTAATTTTTCCATAATTCTTTGTTTTTTGCAGCATTTTTGTTAGTGTAACTGCAGATTGTGCTGACAGTGTCTATGGCACAAAAAAAAAAAAAAATTTAAAATGCCTCAACATAAACCCCTGGTGGTCTCTGAGGGTGAAACCTGCTAACTGCTGCAGCTCTGTCAGCTTCAGTCTCCCATGCAGAGCTCTGAGCGCATGTGTGGCTCTGCACCCTTAGCAGCGTTGCTAACTCCTCAGTAAGGAAAGCCTGCTTCATGTCAGAGTCTCTAAACTCCAGAAGAAGTCGATAAAAGTCCCTTTCTTTCTAAAAAAAAGTCGTTAGGGGGTCTGAAAAGTCATTGAATCTAACAACAAAGTCGCTAGGTTTGCAACTACGTGTCCCAGACTGCATCCCTGCTGAGAGTCCCTCCCTCCCTTCTCATGTTGCAGGAAGAACATAAGCGCCCGCCCCTTGTCAATCAGTCACCATATAATTTTGGATTGGTTGTTGTGGTGAAGTTTTCCACCAATAGGAGAGATGTAGTGGTGTGTTTTTTTTTTTCTTTTGGCAAGCCTTTTCCGCCTGTAAGGAGAGGTGACCAGATGCAGCGCAAGATGGCGGACCCAAAGATAGAAAACCACATTTACAAAACGCAATAAGTTTCCGCGTTACCTCCGATTGGCGGACCCAAAACAATTACTTCCGGTGGAAAGGCTTTCTCGTTGGCGGACTTCCGGCGCCAAAATACTTCAGGTAGTCGGATTTAGTCGCCGGATCCTTTTTTTTTTTTTGCTCCGTTCATTCCATAAGAATCGAATTAAATTTATTATTGAGCTAAAAATCAAAATAAAACGTTTATGTATTAATTATGACTACTGTTTCGTTCTGATTTAATTCTGAAGTTTACAGTAATATGTATATATAGCCTGATGTCCTCATATTCTGATAATTTGTCAGAATAGGTAAATGTATGTAGAAGTTATCATCTTACTCAAATTCTTTTGTAAGAGTTTGCTACAAGTATGGACTGTTTTAACCTCTCGTTACACATCATATAACAGTGTTTTCTAACTTTTCTCTCCAATAGCTTTATTACACAGCACATCAATGTTTCTTAACTTCTCTGTGACCTTGTTTCTCCACTCCTATTAGGACCTCGTTTAATGTCAACAATGTTGCCCTGACCCTCACATATTTTCTGTTGTTCATAATTATGTTTTATGAGAGTGCTTATGTTGCTGCACAAATTTACTCCCCCCATCCTTTAGTAACATTGTGTAACCAGGGACATAATTTATGAAATGGTGTGCTTCCTGGTGAACCTCTTCAGGATTGCTTGACTGTGCAAAATCCAAGTATACAATAGTTGTAGAGACACAAGTCACATGATCTCTTTAAGGTTCAGAAGAGCCATATAGCAAAAACAATTGAATAGCGATATCATTACAGACTGTGTAAAGAAATGGGAAATTGTCATACAACTGCTTTGAAGATTTCTTTAATTTTTTCCAAACAAAATTGTGAACAGTAAAAAAAAATATAATCGTATATACATAATTTAGAGCGTTGCCGTCGGTGTGGTGGGGGGCTTAAAACACGTTGCCACAGGCCATCATCAGCTCTGCTCTGAACCGGTTGATGCCATGCTCCTTCAGTGCTTTGATCAAAAGCTGAAAAACAGTCAAATAATGTGAACAATTGAAGTTATGCAGTATGGGTTAATTGTTGTTCTTGAGCTTTCCAAATGAATAAGAACAACCTCTTAACAATATCATCAATTTTCAAAGCAAGCTATATAGTTTGATCTACTCACCTCTGGGAGCATGACGTCAAAAACGAAATCAAGCAGATGAATCTCGCCTCTCTTTATTTTTTTAGAAATGTTTGTTGCCACCTCAATGAACCGCAGGAGCTCGAACATCTATTGAAGAAAAACACAGAAAGTAAACACCTTTCAAATGTAACACCTCTGAGAGTAAAAATACTCATGATGGATGGCATTTTTACTTACGCGCTGCTCACTCCAACTTAGTGTCCTTATCTTAAGATGCTGCTTTAGTCGGAGTGAGGTGGCGGGATTCCTCCAAAGAAACATCCTGTTGGAGCGGATCTTTCCAGACAGTAGATCATCGTGTAATGTCTGAAACCAAAGAGCAAGAGACAAAAATGTAATCATCAGAAAAAGAAACGGTGGCTTTAACAACTGATAGTGCATTCAAAAGCAACCTTGATCTGTGTCTTAGAAAAGACAGCATGAATTCCTCAACTGTCAACAGCATCCTTGATCCTGCAGAGAAATAAGAAAAGAGCAAGCCCTCATTTTTTCATCCTTTGAGCCTCGTATTTTTGACTGATACTATGTTTCCTTGATAAATTATGTTATACCGAGGATGCTCAATGGAGTCCTCGCACCCGCAGTCAAACGGCTCCATTTCAATCCCAGCACAATCCTGATGCAGCCAGCCCCTGCACGTCTTGCACTGGACCCATTTTATGACGTTTACCTCAGGGTAAAGCAATCTGATCAAATGAGAGACAAACATAATATTAAACAAACATGCTGTCCAATTGATTATACCTCTACAGCACATTTGAATGTATAAATAATTTTCCTGCATGATTCGTGCATTTAAACTATATGTAAAAGTGGTCACTTCATGGAAAATCACTGAATAGGCCCCGATAATTGCATTTATTAAATTGAGTCTGCAACACACCTCTCTCCTGTGTTGTTCGATGTCTGGTAGACACAGAATTGCATTGAATCTGCCATGCACATTCTTTGGACATCCGATACCGTCTGCGTCATGGTTTCCTTGACAAGGCAATTTGAAAAGTAACATCAATTACCAAATACATCGAGACAATGTTGAGCCATACAACTGTGTGCATTTTGAAGGACTCCCACTGAGATAATACTGTTTTTACAAGGCAATTTTCTAACCTCTATGTCCTGCTGCTCCGCCTTCCTCTTTAGACTGAAGACTGGAGTATGCTTTCCAGCAATGAGCTCTTGACATTCTTTGGTCCAGTGGGCGAAGATTTTCCCACAACTGTAATGACAATATGTCTTTAAGTACAATATATTGATTGTCTTCCAGTTAATTAGGACATCTAGTTTACTTAAACTGTCTACCTGTTCAAAGAATTGTTCTCCAGGAGCAACAGGCACCACCATCGCCGCCAAACAGGCATGTCATGCTGAAATTGTTGTTTGTATTTCATTTTAGTGCACAATACAAAATACAATCTTGAGGATGACACTGCGTGTTGAAAAGTACTTACAACTGAGTAGTCAAACTGTGACTCCATAACGATGTACATGGCAGACTTAAAAAAAAATTATGAGACAACATGTGAGATAACTTTAAAAAAGTCCATGTTGGAAAGTTATTCTAGATACAATATTTGTGCATTACAGCTCGTTATGACCTACCATCAACATGAATATGCCACAGTCTGAGCCGAAGTCCTGGCTGGGGAAGCCCTGATTTAACAAAAGCAAACGTTAATCATCTTGTCACATACACTTTGTAGGAGCCAGATTGGGGTTTTGCAGTTTATTGTTATGTATTTTTTGTGCCAGCAGATGGTGCTATTGTGCCTGTCTATTTAATGGGTGGGTTGATTAGGAGAGGTGCGCACATAAAATGATGAATGAGTAAATAAATCAAAACAACAGAAAATGTGTGTGACATGTGACATTATTCCACCCGCGGGCACGCATCAACTCAAGCAAAAAGGTGTTCGCCACAAGTAACAGCATTGGAAAGCTGTTATACACTTTTCAACTGTAATATAGAGCATGCACAAATACCTCCAAATCTCTGCCCGTTTTCTCAGTCCATTGCCCAGGCCATATCTTCTGCGCAATGTTCCTGTTAATTTGAGAGCGTCACTTAGATTTCCCATGATGGAAACAATGGAATGCAGGGTTAGGGTTAGTTTGAGTGGTCGGAGGTGAGATTGAATGAATGCGGACGGCTTGCTTCTTTTCAAACTTCCTGAGAGTTCTTCTTCTTCTGTAAATTTTGCCGTCAGAAAGTGTAGGTGCATACCGCCACCTACTGTTCTGGCATCGCAAAGCAGAAGTTCAAAGTTCATGTTTTGGGTCCGCCAATCGGAGGTAATGCGGAAACTTATTGCGTTTTGTAAATGTGGTTTTCTATCTTTGGGTCCGCCATCTTGGCGCTGCATCTGGGTACCCTTGCCTGTAAGACCTGTCGCTAATGTCTGCATGCTATGTTTTCCTGTCTCATACAGCGCGATCGAGCGCCGAACGTGATCAAAATAAGCAGAAAAAAAGTATCGCGGACATAATTTATCATAACTCTGGTTTTATTTGGCCTATCAACACAATTTAAAAACTGGTATATAGGTTGAGGTCCTCACTTTTGAGATAAGTTGAAACGGAGAGTCAACGAGGCTCCGTCTTGCAGCTACATCCGGTTAAATATGTCATGTGACTTGAACGCACACACAGACACACACACACGCACACACACACACACACACACACACACACACACACACACACACACACTCAGAGTCTGGTTTTTAGCACCTGCAAAAACATGCTATTTACATATTTGACAAGAATGCAGAGGCTCCTTTTGCCCCTGAAAAAAATCAAATTTCAAACACAACTTGACTGGTCATTTCTCCAAAAGACAACCATGAAGCTCCATCCAAACCTGAAGCAGGCAGTTGGTGCATGTGTACAGTAACCTGAGGGGAGTGAGGTGACTGCTTCTGAGGAGAACATGAGCAGTGAAGATTCACCTTGGAGCTAGAACAGAGACATGCACATGATTATACAGGGGCAGGGGCTCAAGTTTTTTCCAGTCGTTTATACAATATGGAAATTAATGTGAAATTAAAAAACAAAGTATTAATAGAAAGGTAATGACTGTCCTGTGTAGGTGACAGTGATATCGAATAGGCTAGGCACTCACGAGGCTGGCTGTGGCAAGTGTAAGTGAAAGCAACACGCACTGGCAGGAAGAACAGCAAACGCCGATGAAGGAAAAGGGTCTTTGCAGTGATGGGCGTTACCAGAGAGGGCGATGGCCAGAGGACACAAATGGGACGGGGAGGCAGCACGTTGGGGGGGGGGGGGCGACACGGCTCGGGCCCGCCAGTGCCCCAACGGGGTCCTAGTTCTTTCTTTCTTAGGGCCCGAGCGTAGCTGCTAAGCAGCTGCGAGAGCCCTCTTGTTCCTGATGGATTCTTCTTTCGTTATTTTTCCTCCGCTTTAAACTGGAAAATGGCCCACTTCCCACTGACGAAAACTCAGGAAATTTGGCAGGACGACCGGGCCTGGTGAAAAATTTGATATTCTGAAGTCGCCCAAACAAAAAAATGAAAAATGGCTCCATAGCGCCCCCTATGGTGAAAATTCACACTATTGACTGTCACGCCTGTACGCTTTGTCAAAATGACACAAAAATTGACACACACATGTATCTCAATAAGATCTACAAAAAAGTCAGTGCGGGCGTATCTGTCAAATGTACGGTTAAAGGGTTATTTCGCATTTTTTGCCGATCCGCACACATTGGAATTTCGCTAACTCCTCCGAAGGCTTTCGTTCCACCGGCATCACATTTGCTCAGGCCAATCTACACCCCATGGCCATTAAAAGTTATTCAAATCATGACCCTGCACCCCACGGTTTAGGTTCTAGGGGGCGCCAAAGATAACACTAAAATCCACATATTTAAAAGTCTTATAACTTTTTATTTTTTGCCCTCACTGGCCTCCAAGTTTTCTAGGATGATGCAATGTCCAGCCATCAACACATTTGTGAAGGAATTTTTACTCCCCAAAAGAGCGCCCCCCCATGGCAGGAGAAAAAAGTCCATTTTTTCTTGTCCCCTAAGGTGAAAATACACATTGTTGAGTGTCACGCCTGTACGCTTTGTCAAAATGACACAAAAATTGACACACACATGTATCTCAATAAGATCTACAAAAAAGTCAATGCGCGCGTATCTGTATAATGTACGGTAAAAGGGCTATTTTGCATTTTTTGCCGATTCGCACACATTGGAATTTCGCTAACTCCTCCTAAGGCTTTCGTCCCACTGACACCAAATTTGCTCAGGCCAATCTACACTCCATGGCCATTCAAAGTTGTAAAAATCATGACGCTGCACCCCACGGTTTACGTTTTAGGGGGCGCCAAAGATGACCCAAATATACATTACAGTAGACAAAGTAGTTTTGCCCACTGAGTGGCGCCAAAGGGACTTGTCTGTGGAGTCTGTGAGTCACTATTGGCCGTTTTTGACTACTTTAGATTTTACCTTTATATTTCCTCTTACAAAATTTTTACCTTGCCTTGCCTGGTATCATTTTTTTCAGCACAACCTCACCTGTGTCAATTTACAGTTATTTTATCATTTTGACATACTATATTTACACATTGGACCCAAATTCACACACAAAACATAAAATCCGAGTGGAAAAAAGTAACGTTTTTACTGTGAAAACCACAAATATGTGTGATGAACTGTTTTTAAAACTTAAACTTCAAATAAAAATTGTAAACTTCAAAACATATGCAAATTTTTAACAAAGAACATAGTAATTTACCTCTATTTACATCAAAATGCAGGCAATGGCCCAGGTGTTCTTTGTAAAATTATTTACAAAACACTGTATAGTCTCACAAATGTCACTTTTTATTTATGCCACTACAAAAAAACATGATGTAAATGATGCATGATGTAAAACATGATGTAAAAAACTTGTGTAGATCCTCCTCTATGTTAGTCCATGTGTAATTTTTCCATAATTCTTTGTTTTTTGCAGCATTTTTGTTAGTGTAACTGCAGATTGTGCTGACAGTGTCTATGGCAAAAAAAAAAAAAAAAAACTGAAAATGCCTCAACATGAACCCCTGGTGGTCTCTGAGGGTGAAACCTGCTAACTGCTGCAGCTCTGTCAGCTTCAGTCTCCCATGCAGAGCTCGGAGCGCATGTGTGGCTCTGCACCCTTAGCAGCGTTGCTAACTCCTCAGTAAGGAAAGCCTGCTTCATGTCAGAGTCTCTAAACTCCAGAAGAAGTCGATAAAAGTCACTTTCTTTCTAAAAAAAAGTCGTTAGGGGGTCTGAAAAGTAATTGAATCTAACAACAAAGTCGCTAGGTTTGCAACTACGTGTCCCAGACTGCATCCCTGCTGAGAGTCCCTCCCTCCCTTCTCATATTGGAGGAAGAACGTAAGCGCCCGCCCCTTGTCAATCAGTCACCATATAATTTTGGATTGGTTGTTGTGGTGAAGTTTTCCACCAATAGGAGAGATGTTGTGGTGTGTTTTTTTTTTCCTTTGGCAAGCCTTTTCCGCTGTAAGACCTGTCGCTAATGTCTGCATGCTATGTTTTCCTGTCTCATACAGCGCGATCGAGCGCCGAACGTGATCAAAATAAGCTGAAAACAAGTATCGCGGACATAATTTATCATAACTCTGGTTTTATTTGGCCTATCAACACAATTTAAAAACTGGTATATAGGTTGAGGTCCTCACTTTTGAGATAAGTTGAAACGGAGAGTCAATGAGGCTCCGTCTTGCAGCTACATCCGGTTAAATATGTCATGTGACTTGAACGCACACACACACACACACACACACACACACACACACACACACACACACACAGACACACACACACACGCACACACACACACCCAGAGTCTGGTTTTTAGCACCTGCAAAAACATGCTATTTACATATTTGACAAGAATGCAGAGGCTCCTTTTGCCCCTGAAAAAAATCAGATTTCAAACACAACTTGACTGGTCATTTCTCCAAAAGACAACCATGAAGCTCCATCCAAACCTGAAGCAGGCAGTTGGTGCATGTGTACAGTAACCTGAGGGGAGTGAGGTGACTGCTTCTGAGGAGAACATGAGCAGTGAAGATTCACCTTAGAGCTAGAACAGAGACGTGCACATGATTATACAGGGGCAGGGGCTCAAGTTTTTTCCAGTTGTTTATACAATATGGAAATTAATGTGAAATTAAAAAACAAAGTATTAATAGAAAGGTAATGACTGTCCTGTGTAGGTGACAGTGATATCCAATAGGCTAGGCACTCACGAGGCTGGCTGTGGCAAGTGTAAGTGAAAGCAACACGCACTGGCAGGAAGAACAGCAAACGCCGATGAAGGAAAAGGGTCTTTGCAGTGATGGGCGTTACCAGAGAGGGCGATGGCCAGAGGACGCGAATGGGACGGGGAGGCAGCGCGTTGGGGGGGGGACGCGACACAGCTCGGGCCCGCCAGTGCCCCAACGGGGTCCTAGTTTCTTCTTTTTCCTCCCCTTTGAACTGGAAAATGGCCCACTTCCCACTGGCGAAAACTCATGAAATTTGGCAGGACGACCGGGCCTGGTGAAAAATTTGATATTCCGAAGTCGCCCAAACAAGAAAATGCAAAATGGCTCCATAGCGCCCCCTAAGGTGAAAATTCACACTATTGACTGTCACGCCTGTACGCTTTGTCAAAATGACACAAAAATTGACACACACATGTATCTCAATAAGATCTACAAAAAAGTCAGTGCGGGCGTATCTGTCAAATGTACGGTTAAAGGGTTATTTCGCATTTTTTGCCGATCCGCACACATTGGAATTTCGCTAACTCCTCCGAAGGCTTTCGTTCCACCGGCACCACATTTGCTCAGGCCAATCTACACCCCATGGCCATTAAAAGTTATTCAAATCATGACGCTGCACCCCACTGTTTAGGTTCTAGGGGGCGCCAAAGATAACCCTAAGATCCACATATTTAAAAGTCTTATAACTTTTTATTTTTGCCCTCACTGGCCTCCAAGTTTTCTAGGATGATGCAATGTCCAGCCATCAACACATTTGTGAAGGAATTTTTACTCCCCAAAAGAGCGCCCCCCCATGGCAGGAGAAAAAAGTCCATTTTTTCTTGTCCCCTAAGGTGAAAATACACATTGTTGAGTGTCACGCCTATACGCTTTGTCAAAATGACACAAAAATTGACACACACATGTAACTCAATAAGATCTACAAAAAAGTCCATGCGCGCGTATCTGTCAAATGTACAGTTAAAGGGTTATTCCGCATTTTTTGCCGATACGCACACATTGGAATTTCGCTAACTCCTCCGAAGGCTTTCTGTCTACCGGCACCACATTTGCTCAGGCCAATCTACACCCCATGGCCATTAAAAGTTATTCAAATCATGATGCTGCACCCCATGGTTTAGGTTCTAGGGGGCGCCAAAAATAACCCAAAAATCCACATTCTTAAATGTTTTATAACTTTTTATTTTTGTCCTCACTGGCCTCCAAGTTTTCTAGGATGATGCAATGTCCAGCCATCAACACATTTGTGAAGGAATTTTTACTCCCCAAAAGAGCGCCTCCCCATGGTAGGAGAAAAAAGTCAATTTTTTCTTGTCCCCTTACATAAAAATACACATTGTTGAGTGTCACGCCTGAACGCTTTGTCATATTGACACAAAAATTGACAATCATGTGTATCTCAATTAGATCTACGAAAAAGTCAAAGAGCGCGTACCTGTTTAATGTACGGTTAAAGGGCTATTTTGCATTTTTTGCCGATTCGCACACATTGGAATGTGGCTATCTCCTCCTAAGGCTTTCGTCCCACCGATACCAAATTTGCTCAGGGCAATCTACACCCCATGCCCATTCAAAGTTGTAAAAATCATGACGCTGCACCCCACGGTTTACGTTCTAGGGGGCGCCAAAGATGACCCAAAAATCCACATTCTTAAAAGTCATTTTGGCCACTGCAGGAGTACAGAGTACTGCAGTTCTAGGGGGCGCCAAAGATGACCCAAAAATCCACATTCTTAAAAGTCTTTTTGGCCACTGCAGGAGTACAGAGTACTGCAGGATACACACACATATACACACACGCCAACATACACACACACACACACACACACACACACACACACACACACACACAGACACACACACACACTCAGAGTCTGTTTTTTAGCACCTGCAAAAACATGCTGTTTACATATTTGACAAGAATGCAGAGGCTTCCTTTTGCCCCTGAAAAAAATCAAATTTCAAACACAACTTGACTGTTCATTTCTCCAAAAGACAACCATGAAGCTCCATTTCAAACCTGAAGCAGATAGTTGGTGCATGTGTACAGTAACCTGAGGGGAGTGAGGTGACTATTTCTGAGGAGAACATGAGCAGTGAAGATTCACCTTGGAGCTAGAACAGGGACGTGCACATGATTATACAGGGGCAGGGGCTCAAGTTTTTTCCAGTCATTTATACAATATGGAAATTAATGTGAAATTAAACCACAAATATGTGTGATGAACTGTTTTTAAAACTTAAACTTCAAATAAAAATTGTAAACTTCAAAACATATGCAAATTTTTAACAAAGAACATAGTAATTTACCTCTATTTACATCAAAATGCAGGCAATGGCCCAGGCGTTCTTTGTAAAATTATTTACAAAACACTGCATAGTCTCACAAATGTCACTTTTTATTTATGCCACTACAAAAAAACATGATGTAAATGATGCATGATGTAAAACATGATGTAAAAAACTTGTGTAGATCCTCCTCTATGTCAGTCCATGTGTAATTTTTCCATAATTCTTTGTTTTTTGCAGCATTTTTGTTAGTGTAACTGCAGATTGTGCTGACAGTGTCTATGGCACAAAAAAAAAAAAATTAAAATGCCTCAACATGAACCCCTGGTGGTCTCTGAGGGTGAAACCTGCTAACTGCTGCAGCTCTGTCAGCTTCAGTCTCCCATGCAGAGCTCTGAGCGCATGTGTGGCTCTGCACCCTTAGCAGCGTTGCTAACTCCTCAGTAAGGAAAGCCTGCTTCATGTCAGAGTCTCTAAACTCCAGAAGAAGTCGATAAAAGTCCCTTTCTTTCTAAAAAAAAGTCGTTAGGGTGTCTGAAAAGTCATTGAATCTAACAACAAAGTCGCTAGGTTTGCAACTACGTGTCCCAGACTGCATCCCTGCTGAGAGTCCCTCCCTCCCTTCTCATGTTGCAGGAAGAACGTAAGCGCCCGCCCCTTGTCAATCAGTCACCATATAATTTTGGATTGGTTGTTGTGGTGAAGTTTTCCACCAATAGGAGAGATGTTGTGGTGTGTTTTTTTTTTCTTTTGGCAAGCCTTTTCCGCCTGTAAGACCTGTCGCTAATGTCTGCATGCTATGTTTTCCTGTCTCATACAGCGCGATCGAGCGCCGAACGTGATCAAAATAAGCAGAAAAAAAGTATCGCGGACATAATTTATCATAACTCTGGTTTTATTTGGCCTATCAACACAATTTAAAAACTGGTATATAGGTTGAGGTCCTCACTTTTGAGATAAGTTGAAACGGAGAGTCAACGAGGCTCCGTCTTGCAGCTACATCCGGTTAAATATGTCATGTGACTTGAACGCACACATAGACACACACACACACACACACACACACACACACACACACACACACACACACACACACTCAGAGTCTGGTTTTTAGCACCTGCAAAAACATGCTATTTACATATTTGACAAGAATGCAGAGGCTCCTTTTGCCCCTGAAAAAAATCAAATTTCAAACACAACTTGACTGGTCATTTCTCCAAAAGACAACCATGAAGCTCCATCCAAACCTGAAGCAGGCAGTTGGTGCATGTGTACAGTAACCTGAGGGGAGTGAGGTGAGTGCTTCTGAGGAGAACATGAGCAGTGAAGATTCACCTTGGAGCTAGAACAGAGACATGCACATGATTATACAGGGGCAGGGGCTCAAGTTTTTTCCAGTCGTTTATACAATATGGAAATTAATGTGAAATTAAAACACAAAGTATTAATAGAAAGGTAATGACTGTCCTGTGTAGGTGACAGTGATATCCAATAGGCTAGGCACTCACGAGGCTGGCTGTGGCAAGTGTAAGTGAAAGCAACACGCACTGGCAGGAAGAACAGCAAACGCCGATGAAGGAAAAGGGTCTTTGCAGTGATGGGCGTTAACAGAGAGGGCGATGGCCAGAGGACACAAATGGGACGGGGAGGCAGCACGTTGGGGGGGGGAGACACGACACGGCTCGGGCCCGCCAGTGCCCCAACGGGGTCCTAGTTTCTTTTTCCTCCCCTTTGAACTGGAAAATGGCCCACTTCCCACTGGCGAAAACTCATGAAATTTGGCAGGACGACCGGGCCTGGTGAAAAATTTGATATTCCGAAGTCGCCCAAACAAGAAAATGCAAAATGGCTCCATAGCGCCCCCTAAGGTGAAAAATTCACCTGACGCCTGTACGCTTTGTCAAAATGACACAAAAATTGACACACACATGTATCTCAATAAGATCTACAAAAAAGTCAGTGCGGGCGTATCTGTCAAATGTACGGTTAAAGGGTTATTGCGCATTTTTTGCCGATCCGCACACATTGGAATTTCGCTAACTCCTCCGAAGGCTTTCGTTCCACCGGCACCACATTTGCTCAGGCCAATCTACACCCCATGGCCATTAAAAGTTATTCAAATCATGACGCTGCACCCCACGGTTTAGGTTCTAGGGGGCGCCAAAGATAACACTAAAATCCACATATTTCAAAGTCTTATAACTTTTTATTTTTGTCCTCACTGGCCTCCAAGTTTTCTAGGATGATGCAATGTCCAGCCATCAACACATTTGTGAAGGAATTTTTACTCCCCAAAAGAGCGCCCCCCCATGGCAGGAGAAAAAAGTCCATTTTTTCTTGTCCCCTAAGGTGAAAATACACATTGTTGAGTGTCACGCCTGTACGCTTTGTCAAAATGACACAAAAATTGACACACACATGTATCTCAATAAGATCTACAAAAAAGTCAATGGGCGCGTATCTGTCAAATGTACGGTTAAAGGGTTATTCCGCATTTTTTGCCGATTCGCACACATTGGAATTTCGCTAACTCCTCCGAAGGCTTTCGTTCCACCGGCACCACATTTGCTCAGGCCAAATTACACCCCATGGCCATTAAAAGTTATTCAAATCATGACGCTGCACCCCACGGTTTACGTTCTAGGGGGCGCCAAAGATAACCCAAAAATCCAAATTTTTAAAAGTCTTATAACTTTTTATTTTTGTCCTCACTGGCCTCCAAGTTTTCTAGGATGATGCAATGTCCAGCCATCAACACATTTGTGAAGGAATTTTTACTCCCTAAAAGAGCGCCCCCCCATGGCAGGAGAAAAAAGTCCATTTTTTCTTGTCCCCTAAGGTGAAAATACACATTGTTGACTGTCACGCCTGTACGCTTTGGCAAAATGACACAAAAATTGACAATCATGTGTATCTCAATTAGATCTACGAAAAAGTCAACAGCGCGTATCTGTATAATGTACGGTAAAAGGGCTATTTTGCATTTTTTGCCGATTCGCACATATTGGAATTTCGCTAACTCCTCCTAAGGCTTTCGTCCCACTGACACCAAATTTGCTCAGGCCAATCTACACTCCATGGCCATTCAAAGTTGTAAAAATCATGACGCGGCACCCCACGGTTTACGTTTTAGGGGGCGCCAAAGATGACCCAAATATACATTACAGTAGACAAAGTAGTTTTGCCCACTTAGTGGCGCCAAAGGGACTTGTCTGTGGAGTCTGTGAGTCACTATTGGCCGTTTTTGACTACTTTAGATTTTACCTTTATATTTCCTCTTACAAAATTTTTACCTTGCCTTGCCTGGTATAATTTTTTTCAGCACAACCTCACCTGTGTCAATTTACAGTTATTTTATCATTTTGACATACTATATTTACACATTGGACCCAAATTCACACACAAAACATAAAATCCGAGTGGAAAAAAGTAACGTTTTTACTGTGAAAACCACAAATATGTGTGATGAACTGTTTTTAAAACTTAAACTTCAAATAAAAATTGTAAACTTCAAAACATATGCAAATTTTTAACAAAGAACATAGTAATTTACCTCTATTTACATCAAAATGCAGGCAATGGCCCAGGCGTTCTTTGTAAAATTATTTACAAAACACTGTATAGTCTCACAAATGTCACTTTTTATTTATGCCACTACAAAAAAACATGATGTAAATGATGCATGATGTAAAACATGATGTAAAAAACTTGTGTAGATCCTCCTCTATGTCAGTCCATGTGTAATTTTTCCATAATTCTTTGTTTTTTGCAGCATTTTTGTTAGTGTAACTGCAGATTGTGCTGACAGTGTCTATGGCAAAAAAAAAAAAAAAAACTGAAAATGCCTCAACATGAACCCCTGGTGGTCTCTGAGGGTGAAACCTGCTAACTGCTGCAGCTCTGTCAGCTTCAGTCTCCCATGCAGAGCTCGGAGCGCATGTGTGGCTCTGCACCCTTAGCAGCATTGCTAACTCCTCAGTAAGGAAAGCCTGCTTCATGTCAGAGTCTCTAAACTCCAGAAGAAGTCGATAAAAGTCACTTTCTTTCTAAAAAAACGTCGTTAGGGGGTCTGAAAAGTCATTGAATCTAACAACAAAGTCGCTAGGTTTGCAACTACGTGTCCCAGACTGCATCCCTGCTGAGAGTCCCTCCCTCCCTTCTCATATTGCAGGAAGAACGTAAGCGCCCGCCCCTTGTCAATCAGTCACCATATAATTTTGGATTGGTTGTTGTGGTGAAGTTTTCCACCAATAGGAGAGATGTTGTGGTGTGTTTTTTTTTTCCTTTGGCAAGCCTTTTCCGCCTGTAAGACCTGTCGCTAATGTCTGCATGCTATGTTTTCCTGTCTCATACAGCGCGATCGAGCGCCGAACGTGATCAAAATAAGCAGAAAACAAGTATCGCGGACATAATTTATCATAACTCTGGTTTTATTTGGCCTATCAACACAATTTAAAAACTGGTATATAGGTTGAGGTCCTCACTTTTGAGATAAGTTGAAACGGAGAGTCAACGAGGCTCCGTCTTGCAGCTACATCCGGTTAAATATGTCATGTGACTTGAACACACACACACACACACACACAGACACACACACACACACACACACACACACACACACACACACACACACACACACACACACAACCACACTCAGAGTCTGGTTTTTAGCACCTGCAAAAACATGCTATTTACATATTTGACAAGAATGCAGAGGCTCCTTTTGCCCCTGAAAAAAATCAAATTTCAAACACAACTTGACTGGTCATTTCTCCAAAAGACAACCATGAAGCTCCATCCAAACCTGAAGCAGGCAGTTGGTGCATGTGTACAGTAACCTGAGGGGAGTGAGGTGACTGCTTCTGAGGAGAACATGAGCAGTGAAGATTCACCTTAGAGCTAGAACAGAGACGTGCACATGATTATACAGGGGCAGGGGCTCAAGTTTTTTCCAGTTGTTTATACAATATGGAAATTAATGTGAAATTAAAAAACAAAGTATTAATAGAAAGGTAATGACTGTCCTGTGTAGGTGACAGTGATATCCAATAGGCTAGGCACTCACGAGGCTGGCTGTGGCAAGTGTAAGTGAAAGCAACACGCACTGGCAGGAAGAACAGCAAACGCCGATGAAGGAAAAGGGTCTTTGCAGTGATGGGCGTTACCAGAGAGGGCGATGGCCAGAGGACACAAATGGGACGGGGAGGCAGCGCGTTGGGGGGGGGACGCGACACAGCTCGGGCCCGCCAGTGCCCCAACGGGGTCCTAGTTAGGGCCCGAGCGTAGCTGCTAAGCAGCTGCGAGAGCCCTCTTGTTCCTGTAGTTTCCTTCTTTTGTTATTATTAGGGCCCGAGCCAGCTGCAGAGCAGCCGGGCGTAGGCCCTATTATTCCCCAAGTGGTTTTTCTTTGTTTCTTTCTTTCTTTCTTTCTTCTTTTTCCTCCCCTTTGAACTGGAAAATGGCCCACTTCCCACTGGCGAAAACTCATGAAATTTGGCAGGACGACCGGGCCTGGTGAAAAATTCGATATTCTGAAGTCACCCAAACAATAAAATGCAAAATGGCTCCATAGCGCCCCCTAAGGTGGAAATTCACACTATTGACTGTCACGCCTGTACGCTTTGTCATATTGAACCAAAAATTGACACACATATGTATCTCAATAAGATCTACAAAAAAGTCAGTGCGGACGTATCTGTCAAAATTACGGTTAAAGGGTTATTTCGCATTTTTTGCCGATCCGCACACATTGGAATTTCGCTAACTCCTCCGAAGGCTTTCGTTCCACCGGCACCACATTTGCTCAGGCCAATCTACACCCCGTGGCCATTAAAAGTTATCAAAATCATGACGCTGCACCCCAAGGTTTAGGTTCTAGGGGGCGCCAAAGATAACACTAAAATCCACATTCTTAAAAGTCTTATAACTTTTTATTTTTGTCCTCACTGGCCTCCAAGTTTTCTAGGATGATGCAATGTCCAGCCATCAACACATTTGTGAAGGCATTTTTACTCCCCAAAAGAGCGCCCCCCCATGGCAGGAGAAAAAAGTCCATTTTTTCTTGTCCCCTAAGGTGAAAATACACATTGTTGACTGTCACGCCTGTACGCTTTGTCAAAATGACACAAAAATTGACACACACATGTAACTCAATAAGATCTACAAAAAAGTCCATGCGCGCGTATCTGTCAAATGTACAGTTAAAGGGTTATTCCGCATTTTTTGCCGATACGCACACATTGGAATTTCGCTAACTCCTCCTAAGGCTTTCGTTCCACCGGCACCACATTTGCTCAGGCCAATCTACACCCCATGGTCATTAAAAGTTATTCAAATCATGATGCTGCATCCCATGGTTTAGGTTCTAGGGGGCGCCAAAAATAACCCAAAAATCCACATTCTTAAATGTTTTATAACTTTTTATTTTTGTCCTCACTGGCCTCCAAGTTTTCTAGGATGATGCAATGTCCAGCCATCAACACATTTGTGAAGGAATTTTTACTCCCCAAAAGAGCGCCCCCCCATGGTAGGAGAAAAAAGTCCATTTTTTCTTGTCCCCTTACATAAAAATACACATTGTTGAGTGTCACGCCTGAACGCTTTGTCATATTGACACAAAAATTGACAATCATGTGTATCTCAATTAGATCTACGAAAAAGTCAAAGAGCGCGTATCTGTATAATGTACGGTTAAAGGGCTATTTTGCATTTTTTGCCGATTCGCACACATTGGAATGTGGCTATCTCCTCCTAAGGCTTTCGTCCCACTGATACCAAATTTGCTCAGGGCAATCTACACCCCATGCCCATTCAAAGTTGTAAAAATCATGACGCTGCACCCCACGGTTTACGTTCTAGGGGGCGCCAAAGATGACCCAAAAATCCACATTCTTAAAAGTCATTTTGGCCACTGCAGGAGTACAGAGTACTGCAGTTCTAGGGGGCGCCAAAGATGACCCAAAAATCCACATTCTTTAGAGTCTTTTTGGCCACTGCAGGAGTACAGAGTACTGCAGGATACACACACATATACACACACGCCAACATACACACACACACACACACACACACACACACACACACACACACCCACACTCAGAGTCTGTTTTTTAGCACCTGCAAAAACATGCTGTTTACATATTTGACAAGAATGCAGAGGCTTCCTTTTGCCCCTGAAAAAAATCAAATTTCAAACACAACTTGACTGTTCATTTCTCCAAAAGACAACCATGAAGCTCCATTTCAAACCTGAAGCAGATAGTTGGTGCATGTGTACAGTAACCTGAGGGGAGTGAGGTGACTATTTCTGAGGAGAACATGAGCAATGAAGATTCACCTTGGAGCTAGAACAGGGACGTGCACATGATTATACAGGGGCAGGGGCTCAAGTTTTTTCCAGTCATTTATACAATATGGAAATTAATGTGAAATTAAACCACAAATATGTGTGATGAACTGTTTTTAAAACTTAAACTTCAAATAAAAATTGTAAACTTCAAAACATATGCAAATTTTTAACAAAGAACATAGTAATTTACCTCTATTGACATCAAAATGCAGGCAATGGCCCAGGTGTTCTTTGTAAAATTATTTACAAAACACTGTATAGTCTCACAAATGTCACTTTTTATTTATGCCACTACAAAAAAACATGATGTAAATGATGCATGATGTAAAACATGATGTAAAAAACTTGTGTAGATCCTCCTCTATGTTAGTCCATGTGTAATTTTTCCATAATTATTTGTTTTTTGCAGCATTTTTGTTTGTGTAACTGCAGATTGTGCTGACAGTGTCTATGGCAAAAAAAAAAAAAAAAAAAACTGAAAATGCCTCAACATGAACCCCTGGTGGTCTCTGAGGGTGAAACCTGCTAACTGCTGCAGCTCTGTCAGCTTCAGTCTCCCATGCAGAGCTCGGAGCGCATGTGTGGCTCTGCACCCTTAGCAGCGTTGCTAACTCCTCAGTAAGGAAAGCCTGCTTCATGTCAGAGTCTCTAAACTCCAGAAGAAGTCGATAAAAGTCACTTTCTTTCTAAAAAAAAGTCGTTAGGGGGTCTGAAAAGTCATTGAATCTAACAACAAAGTCGCTAGGTTTGCAACTACGTGTCCCAGACTGCATCCCTGCTGAGAGTCCCTCCCTCCCTTCTCATATTGCAGGAAGAACGTAAGTTCCCGCCCCTTGTCAATCAGTCACCATATAATTTTGGATTGGTTGTTGTGGTGAAGTTTTCCACCAATAGGAGAGATGTTGTGGTGTGTATTTTTTTTCCTTTGGCAAGCCTTTTCCGCCTGTAAGACCTGTCGCTAATGTCTGCATGCTATGTTTTCCTGTCTCATACAGCGCGATCGAGCGCCGAACGTGATCAAAATAAGCAGAAAACAAGTATCGCGGACATAATTTATCATAACTCTGGTTTTATTTGGCCTATCAACACAATTTAAAAACTGGTATATAGGTTGAGGTCCTCACTTTTGAGATAAATTGAAACGGAGAGTCAACGAGGCTCCGTCTTGCAGCTACATCCGGTTAAATATGTCATGTGACTTGAACGCACACACACACACACACACACAGACACACACACACACGCACACACACACACTCAGAGTCTGGTTTGTAGCACCTGCAAAAACATGCTATTTACATATTTGACAAGAATGCAGAGGCTCCTTTTGCCCCTGAAAAAAATCAAATTTCAAACACAACTTGACTGGTCATTTCTCCAAAAGACAACCATGAAGCTCCATCCAAACCTGAAGCAGGCAGTTGGTGCATGTGTACAGTAACCTGAGGGGAGTGAGGTGACTGCTTCTGAGGAGAACATGAGCAGTGAAGATTTACCTTAGAGCTAGAACAGAGACGTGCACATGATTATACAGGGGCAGGGGCTCAAGTTTTTTCCAGTCGTTTATACAATTTGGAAATTAATGTGAAATTAAAAAACAAAGTATTAATAGAAAGGTAATGACTGTCCTGTGTAGGTGACAGTGATATCCAATAGGCTAGGCACTCACGAGGCTGGCTGTGGCAAGTGTAAGTGAAAGCAACACGCACTGGCAGGAAGAACAGCAAACGCCGATGAAGGAAAAGGGTCTTTGCAGTGATGGGCGTTACCAAAGAGGGCGATGGCCAGAGGACACAAATGGGACGGGGAGGCAGCGCGTTGGGGGGGGGACGCGACACAGCTCGGGCCCGCCAGTGCCCCAACGGGGTCCTAGTTATTATTTTTCCTCCCCTTTGAACTGGAAAATGGCCCACTTCCCACTGGCGAAAACTCATGAAATTTGGCAGGACGACCGGGCCTGGTGAAAAATTTGATATTCCGAAGTCGCCCAAACAAGAAAATGCAAAATGGCTCCATAGCGCCCCCTAAGGTGAAAATTCAAACTATTGACTGTCACGCCTGTACGCTTTGTCAAAATGACACAAAAATTGACACACACATGTATCTCAATAAGATCTACAAAAAAGTCAGTGCGGGCGTATCTGTCAAATGTACGGTTAAAGGGTTATTTCGCATTTTTTGCCGATCCGCACACATTGGAATTTCGCTAACTCCTCCGAAGGCTTTCGTTCCACCGGCACCACATTTGCTCAGGCCAATCTACACCCCATGGCCATTAAAAGTTATTCAAATCATGACGCTGCACCCCACGGTTTAGGTTCTAGGGGGCGCCAAAGATAACCCTAAGATCCACATATTTAAAAGTCTTATAACTTTTTATTTTTGCCCTCACTGGCCTCCAAGTTTTCTAGGATGATGCAATGTCCAGCCATCAACACATTTGTGAAGGAATTTTTACTCCCCAAAAGAGCGCCCCCCCATGGCAGGAGAAAAAAGTCAATTTTTTCTTGTCCCCTAAGGTGAAAATACACATTGTTGAGTGTAACACCTGTACGCTTTGGCAAAATGACACAAAAATTGACACACACATGTATCTCAATAAGATCTACGAAAAAGTCAATGCGCGCGTATCTGTCAAATGTACGGTTAAAGGGTTATTCCGCATTTTTTGCCGATCCGCACACATTGGAATTTCGCTAACTCCTCCGAAGGCTTTCATTCCACCGGTACCACATTTGCTCAGGCCAATCTACACCCCATGGCCATTAAAAGTTATTCAAATCATGACGCTGCATCCCACGGTTTTGGTTCTAGGGGGCGCCAAAGATAACCCTAAAATCCACATATTTCAAAGTCTTATAACTTTTTATTTTTGTCCTCACTGGCCTCCAAGTTTTCTAGGATGATGCAATGTCCAGCCATCAACACATTTGTGAAGGAATTTTTACTCCCCAAAAGAGCGCCCCCCCATGGCAGGAAAAAATAGCCAATTTTTTCTTGTCCCCTAAGGTGAAAATTCACACTATTGACTGTCACGCCTGTACGCTTTATCATATTGACACAAAAATTGACACACATATGTATCTCAATAAGATCTACAAAAGAGTCGATTCGCGCGTATCTGTCAAATGTACGGTTAAAGGGCTATTTTGCATTTTTTGCCGATTCGCACACATTGGAATGTGGCTAACTCCTCCTAAGGCTTTCGTCCCACTGACACCAAATTTGCTCAGGCCAATCTACACCCCATGGCCATTCAAAGTTGTAAAAATCATGACGCTGCACCCCACGGTTTACGTTCTAGGGGGCGCCAAAGATGACCCAAAAATCCACATTCTTAAAAGTCATTTTGGCCACTGCAGGAGTACAGAGTACTGCAGTTCTAGGGGGCGCCAAAGATGACCCAAAAATCCACATTCTTAAAAGTCTTTTTGGCCACTGCAGGAGTACAGAGTACTGCAGGATACACACACATATACACACACGCCAACATACACACACACACACACACACACACACACACACACACACACACACACACACACACACACTCAGAGTCTGGTTTTTAGCACCTGCAAAAACATGCTGTTTACATATTTGACAAGAATGCAGAGGCTTCCTTTTGCCCCTGAAAAAAATCAAATTTCAAACACAACTTGACTGTTCATTTCTCCAAAAGACAACCATGAAGCTCCATTTCAAACCTGAAGCAGATAGTTGGTGCATGTGTACAGTAACCTGAGGGGAGTGAGGTGACTATTTCTGAGGAGAACATGAGCAGTGAAGATTCACCTTGGAGCTAGAACAGGGACGTGCACATGATTATACAGGGGCAGGGGCTCAAGTTTTTTCCAGTCATTTATACAAAATGGAAATTAATGTGAAATTAAACCACAAATATGTGTGATGAACTGTTTTTAAAACTTAAACTTCAAATAAAAATTGTAAACTTCAAAACATATGCAAATTTTTAACAAAGAACATAGTAATTTACCTCTATTTACATCAAAATGCAGGCAATGGCCCAGGCGTTCTTTGTAAAATTATTTACAAAACACTGTATAGTCTCACAAATGTCACTTTTTATTTATGCCACTACAAAAAAACATGATGTAAATGATGCATGATGTAAAACATGATGTAAAAAACTTGTGTAGATCCTCCTCTATGTCAGTCCATGTGTAATTTTTCCATAATTCTTTGTTTTTTTGCAGCATTTTTGTTAGTGTAACTGCAGATTGTGCTGACAGTGTCTATGGCACAAAAAAAAAAAAAATTAAAATGCCTCAACATGAACCCCTGGTGGTCTCTGAGGGTGAAACCTGCTAACTGCTGCAGCTCTGTCAGCTTCAGTCTCCCATGCAGAGCTCGGAGCGCATGTGTGGCTCTGCACCCTTAGCAGCGTTGCTAACTCCTCAGTAAGGAAAGCCTGCTTCATGTCAGAGTCTCTAAACTCCAGAAGAAGTCGATAAAAGTCCCTTTCTTTCTAAAAAAAAGTCGTTAGGGGGTCTGAAAAGTCATTGAATCTAACAACAAAGTCGCTGGTTTGCAACTACGTGTCCCAGACTGCATCCCTGCTGAGAGTCCCTCCCTCCCTTCTCATGTTGCAGGAAGAACGTAAGCGCCCGCCCCTTGTCAATCAGTCACCATATAATTTTGGATTGGTTGTTGTGGTGAAGTTTTCCACCAATAGGAGAGATGTTGTGGTGTTTTTTTTTTTTCTTTTGGCAAGCCTTTTCCGCCTGTAAGACCTGTCGCTAATGTCTGCATGCTATGTTTTCCTGTCTCATACAGCGCGATCGAGCGCCGAACGTGATCAAAATAAGCAGAAAAAAAGTATTGCGGACATAATTTATCATAACTCTGGTTTTATTTGGCCTATCAACACAATTTAAAAACTGGTATATAGGTTGAGGTCCTCACTTTTGAGATAAGTTGAAACGGAGAGTCAACGAGGCTCCGTCTTGCAGCTTCATCCGGTTAAATATGTCATGTGACTTGAACGCACACACAGACACACACACACACACACACACACACACACACACACTCAGAGTCTGGTTTTTAGCACCTGCAAAAACATGCTATTTACATATTTGACAAGAATGCAGAGGCTCCTTTTGCCCCTGAAAAAAATCAAATTTCAAACACAACTTGACTGGTCATTTCTCCAAAAGACAACCATGAAGCTCCATCCAAACCTGAAGCAGGCAGTTGGTGCATGTGTACAGTAACCTGAGGGGAGTGAGGTGAGTGCTTCTGAGGAGAACATGAGCAGTGAAGATTCACCTTGGAGCTAGAACAGAGACATGCACATGATTATACAGGGGCAGGGGCTCAAGTTTTTTCCAGTCGTTTATACAATATGGAAATTAATGTGAAATTAAAACACAAAGTATTAATAGAAAGGTAATGACTGTCCTGTGTAGGTGACAGTGATATCCAATAGGCTAGGCACTCACGAGGCTGGCTGTGGCAAGTGTAAGTGAAAGCAACACGCACTGGCAGGAAGAACAGCAAACGCCGATGAAGGAAAAGGGTCTTTGCAGTGATGGGCGTTACCAGAGAGGGCGATGGCCAGAGGACACAAATGGGACGGGAAGGCAGCACGTTGGGGGGGGGGGGGGACGGGGGGGGGGGGGGGGGGGACGCGACACGGCTCGGGCCCGCCAGTGCCCCAACGGGGTCCTAGTTAGGGCCCGAGCGTAGCTGCTAAGCAGCTGCGAGAGCCCTCTTGTTCCTGTAGTTTCCTTCTTTTGTTATTATTATTTTTCCTCCCCTTTGAACTGGAAAATGGCCCACTTCCCACTGGCGAAAACTCATGAAATTTGGCAGGACGACCGGGCCTGGTGAAAAATTTGATATTCCGAAGTCGCCCAAACAAGAAAATGCAAAATGGCTCCATAGCGCCCCCTAAGGTGAAAATTCACACTATTGACTGTCACGCCTGTACGCTTTGTCAAAATGACACAAAAATTGACACACACATGTATCTCAATAAGATCTACAAAAAAGTCAGTGCGGGCGTATCTGTCAAATGTACGGTTAAAGGGTTATTTCGCATTTTTTTCCGATCCGCACACATTGGAATTTCGCTAACTCCTCCGAAGGCTTTCGTTCCACCGGCACCACATTTGCTCAGGCCAATCTACACCCCATGGCCATTAAAAGTTATTCAAATCATGACGCTGCACCCCACGGTTTAGGTTCTAGGGGGCGCCAAAGATAACCCAAAAATCCACATATTTAAAAGTCTTATAACTTTTTATTTTTGCCCTCACTGGCCTCCAAGTTTTCTAGGATGATGCAATGTCCAGCCATCAACACATTTGTGAAGGAATTTTTACTCCCCAAAAGAGCGCCCCCCCATGGCAGGAGAAAAAAGTCCATTTTTTCTTGTCCCCTAAGGTGAAAATTCACACTATTGACTGTCACGCCTGTACGCTTTGTCAAAATGACACAAAAATTGACACACACATGTATCTCAATAAGATCTACAAAAAAGTCCATGCGCGCGTATCTGTCTAATGTACGGTTAAAGGGTTATTCCGCATTTTTTTGCCGATTCGCACACATTGGAATTTCGCTAACTCCTCCGAAGGCTTTCGTTCCACCGGCACCACATTTGCTCAGGCCAAATTACACCCCATGGCCATTAAAAGTTATTCAAATCATGACGCTGCACCCCACGGTTTACGTTCTAGGGGGCGCCAAAGATAACCCAAAAATCCACATTTTTAAAAGTCTTTTAACTTTTTATTTTTGTCCTCACTGGCCTCCAAGTTTTCTAGGATGATGCAATGTCCAGCCATCAACACATTTGTGAAGGAATTTTTTTTCCCTAAAAGAGCGCCCCCCCATGGCAGGAGAAAAAAGTCCATTTTTTCTTGTCCCCTAAGGTGAAAATACACATTGTTGACTGTCACGCCTGTACGCTTTGGCAAAATGACACAAAAATTGACAATCATGTGTATCTCAATTAGATCTACGAAAAAGTCAAAGAGCGCGTATCTGTATAATGTACGGTAAAAGGGCTATTTTGCATTTTTTGCCAATTCGCACACATTGGAATTTCGCTAACTCCTCCTAAGGCCTTCGTCCCACTGACACCAAATTTGCTCAGGCCAATCTACACTCCATGGCCATTCAAAGTTGTAAAAATCATGACGCTGCACCCCACGGTTTACGTTTTAGGGGGCGCCAAAGATGACCCAAATATACATTACAGTAGACAAAGTAGTTTTGCCCACTGAGTGGCGCCAAAGGGACTTGTCTGTGGAGTCTGTGAGTCACTATTGGCCGTTTTTGACTACTTTAGATTTTACCTTTTATATTTCCTCTTAAAATTTTTACCTTGCCTTGCCTGGTATCATTTTTTTCAGCACAACCTCACCTGTGTCAATTTACAGTTATTTTATCATTTTGACATACTATATTTACACAATGGACCCAAATTCACACACAAAACATAAAATCCGAGTGGAAAAAAGTAACATTTTTACTGTGAAAACCACAAATATGTGTGATGAACTGTTTTTAAAACTTAAACTTCAAATAAAAATTGTAAACTTCAAAACATATGCAAATTTTTAACAAAGAACATAGTGATTTACCTCTATTTACATCAAAATGCAGGCAATGGCCCAGGCGTTCTTTGTAAAATTATTTACAAAACACTGTATAGTCTCACAAATGTCACTTTTTATTTATGCCACTACAAAAAAACATGATGTAAATGATGCATGATGTAAAACATGATGTAAAAAACTTGTGTAGATCCTCCTCTATGTCAGTCCATGTGTAATTTTTCCATAATTCTTTGTTTTTTGCAGCATTTTTGTTAGTGTAACTGCAGATTGTGCTGACAGTGTCTATGGCACAAAAAAAAAAAAAAATTTAAAATGCCTCAACATAAACCCCTGGTGGTCTCTGAGGGTGAAACCTGCTAACTGCTGCAGCTCTGTCAGCTTCAGTCTCCCATGCAGAGCTCTGAGCGCATGTGTGGCTCTGCACCCTTAGCAGCGTTGCTAACTCCTCAGTAAGGAAAGCCTGCTTCATGTCAGAGTCTCTAAACTCCAGAAGAAGTCGATAAAAGTCCCTTTCTTTCTAAAAAAAAGTCGTTAGGGGGTCTGAAAAGTCATTGAATCTAACAACAAAGTCGCTAGGTTTGCAACTACGTGTCCCAGACTGCATCCCTGCTGAGAGTCCCTCCCTCCCTTCTCATGTTGCAGGAAGAACGTAAGCGCCCGCCCCTTGTCAATCAGTCACCATATAATTTTGGATTGGTTGTTGTGGTGAAGTTTTCCACCAATAGGAGAGATGTAGTGGTGTGTTTTTTTTTTTCTTTTGGCAAGCCTTTTCCGCCTGTAAGGAGAGGTGACCAGATGCAGCGCAAGATGGCGGACCCAAAGATAGAAAACCACATTTACAAAACGCAATAAGTTTCCGCGTTACCTCCGATTGGCGGACCCAAAACAATTACTTCCGGTGGAAAGGCTTTCTCGTTGGCGGACTTCCGGCGCCAAAATACTTCAGGTAGTCGGATTTAGTCGCCGGATCCTTTTTTTTTTTTTGCTCCGTTCATTCCATAAGAATCGAATTAAATTTATTATTGAGCTAAAAATCAAAATAAAACGTTTATGTATTAATTATGACTACTGTTTCGTTCTGATTTAATTCTGAAGTTTACAGTAATATGTATATATAGCCTGATGTCCTCATATTCTGATAATTTGTCAGAATAGGTAAATGTATGTAGAAGTTATCATCTTACTCAAATTCTTTTGTAAGAGTTTGCTACAAGTATGGACTGTTTTAACCTCTCGTTACACATCATATAACAGTGTTTTCTAACTTTTCTCTCCAATAGCTTTATTACACAGCACATCAATGTTTCTTAACTTCTCTGTGACCTTGTTTCTCCACTCCTATTAGGACCTCGTTTAATGTCAACAATGTTGCCCTGACCCTCACATATTTTCTGTTGTTCATAATTATGTTTTATGAGAGTGCTTATGTTGCTGCACAAATTTACTCCCCCCATCCTTTAGTAACATTGTGTAACCAGGGACATAATTTATGAAATGGTGTGCTTCCTGGTGAACCTCTTCAGGATTGCTTGACTGTGCAAAATCCAAGTATACAATAGTTGTAGAGACACAAGTCACATGATCTCTTTAAGGTTCAGAAGAGCCATATAGCAAAAACAATTGAATAGCGATATCATTACAGACTGTGTAAAGAAATGGGAAATTGTCATACAACTGCTTTGAAGATTTCTTTAATTTTTTCCAAACAAAATTGTGAACAGTAAAAAAAAATATAATCGTATATACATAATTTAGAGCGTTGCCGTCGGTGTGGTGGGGGGCTTAAAACACGTTGCCACAGGCCATCATCAGCTCTGCTCTGAACCGGTTGATGCCATGCTCCTTCAGTGCTTTGATCAAAAGCTGAAAAACAGTCAAATAATGTGAACAATTGAAGTTATGCAGTATGGGTTAATTGTTGTTCTTGAGCTTTCCAAATGAATAAGAACAACCTCTTAACAATATCATCAATTTTCAAAGCAAGCTATATAGTTTGATCTACTCACCTCTGGGAGCATGACGTCAAAAACGAAATCAAGCAGATGAATCTCGCCTCTCTTTATTTTTTTAGAAATGTTTGTTGCCACCTCAATGAACCGCAGGAGCTCGAACATCTATTGAAGAAAAACACAGAAAGTAAACACCTTTCAAATGTAACACCTCTGAGAGTAAAAATACTCATGATGGATGGCATTTTTACTTACGCGCTGCTCACTCCAACTTAGTGTCCTTATCTTAAGATGCTGCTTTAGTCGGAGTGAGGTGGCGGGATTCCTCCAAAGAAACATCCTGTTGGAGCGGATCTTTCCAGACAGTAGATCATCGTGTAATGTCTGAAACCAAAGAGCAAGAGACAAAAATGTAATCATCAGAAAAAGAAACGGTGGCTTTAACAACTGATAGTGCATTCAAAAGCAACCTTGATCTGTGTCTTAGAAAAGACAGCATGAATTCCTCAACTGTCAACAGCATCCTTGATCCTGCAGAGAAATAAGAAAAGAGCAAGCCCTCATTTTTTCATCCTTTGAGCCTCGTATTTTTGACTGATACTATGTTTCCTTGATAAATTATGTTATACCGAGGATGCTCAATGGAGTCCTCGCCCCGCAGTCAAACGGCTCCATTTCAATCCCAGCACAATCCTGATGCAGCCAGCCCCTGCACGTCTTGCACTGGACCCATTTTATGACGTTTACCTCAGGGTAAAGCAATCTGATCAAATGAGAGACAAACATAATATTAAACAAACATGCTGTCCAATTGATTATACCTCTACAGCACATTTGAATGTATAAATAATTTTCCTGCATGATTCGTGCATTTAAACTATATGTAAAAGTGGTCACTTCATGGAAAATCACTGAATAGGCCCCGATAATTGCATTTATTAAATTGAGTCTGCAACACACCTCTCTCCTGTGTTGTTCGATGTCTGGTAGACACAGAATTGCATTGAATCTGCCATGCACATTCTTTGGACATCCGATACCGTCTGCGTCATGGTTTCCTTGACAAGGCAATTTGAAAAGTAACATCAATTACCAAATACATCGAGACAATGTTGAGCCATACAACTGTGTGCATTTTGAAGGACTCCCACTGAGATAATACTGTTTTTACAAGGCAATTTTCTAACCTCTATGTCCTGCTGCTCCGCCTTCCTCTTTAGACTGAAGACTGGAGTATGCTTTCCAGCAATGAGCTCTTGACATTCTTTGGTCCAGTGGGCGAAGATTTTCCCACAACTGTAATGACAATATGTCTTTAAGTACAATATATTGATTGTCTTCCAGTTAATTAGGACATCTAGTTTACTTAAACTGTCTACCTGTTCAAAGAATTGTTCTCCAGGAGCAACAGGCACCACCATCGCCGCCAAACAGGCATGTCATGCTGAAATTGTTGTTTGTATTTCATTTTAGTGCACAATACAAAATACAATCTTGAGGATGACACTGCGTGTTGAAAAGTACTTACAACTGAGTAGTCAAACTGTGACTCCATAACGATGTACATGGCAGACTTAAAAAAAAAATTATGAGACAACATGTGAGATAACTTTAAAAAAGTCCATGTTGGAAAGTTATTCTAGATACAATATTTGTGCATTACAGCTCGTTATGACCTACCATCAACATGAATATGCCACAGTCTGAGCCGAAGTCCTGGCTGGGGAAGCCCTGATTTAACAAAAGCAAACGTTAATCATCTTGTCACATACACTTTGTAGGAGCCAGATTGGGGTTTTGCAGTTTATTGTTATGTATTTTTTGTGCCAGCAGATGGTGCTATTGTGCCTGTCTATTTAATGGGTGGGTTGATTAGGAGAGGTGCGCACATAAAATGATGAATGAGTAAATAAATCAAAACAACAGAAAATGTGTGTGACATGTGACATTATTCCACCCGCGGGCACGCATCAACTCAAGCAAAAAGGTGTTCGCCACAAGTAACAGCATTGGAAAGCTGTTATACACTTTTCAACTGTAATATAGAGCATGCACAAATACCTCCAAATCTCTGCCCGTTTTCTCAGTCCATTGCCCAGGCCATATCTTCTGCGCAATGTTCCTGTTAATTTGAGAGCGTCACTTAGATTTCCCATGATGGAAACAATGGAATGCAGGGTTAGGGTTAGTTTGAGTGGTCGGAGGTGAGATTGAATGAATGCGGACGGCTTGCTTCTTTTCAAACTTCCTGAGAGTTCTTCTTCTTCTGTAAATTTTGCCGTCAGAAAGTGTAGGTGCATACCGCCACCTACTGTTCTGGCATCGCAAAGCAGAAGTTCAAAGTTCATGTTTTGGGTCCGCCAATCGGAGGTAATGCGGAAACTTATTGCGTTTTGTAAATGTGGTTTTCTATCTTTGGGTCCGCCATCTTGGCGCTGCATCTGGGTACCCTTGCCTGTAAGACCTGTCGCTAATGTCTGCATGCTATGTTTTCCTGTCTCATACAGCGCGATCGAGCGCCGAACGTGATCAAAATAAGCAGAAAAAAAGTATCGCGGACATAATTTATCATAACTCTGGTTTTATTTGGCCTATCAACACAATTTAAAAACTGGTATATAGGTTGAGGTCCTCACTTTTGAGATAAGTTGAAACGGAGAGTCAACGAGGCTCCGTCTTGCAGCTACATCCGGTTAAATATGTCATGTGACTTGAACGCACACACAGACACACACACACGCACACACACACACACACACACACACACACACACACACACACACACTCAGAGTCTGGTTTTTAGCACCTGCAAAAACATGCTATTTACATATTTGACAAGAATGCAGAGGCTCCTTTTGCCCCTGAAAAAAATCAAATTTCAAACACAACTTGACTGGTCATTTCTCCAAAAGACAACCATGAAGCTCCATCCAAACCTGAAGCAGGCAGTTGGTGCATGTGTACAGTAACCTGAGGGGAGTGAGGTGACTGCTTCTGAGGAGAACATGAGCAGTGAAGATTCACCTTGGAGCTAGAACAGAGACATGCACATGATTATACAGGGGCAGGGGCTCAAGTTTTTTCCAGTCGTTTATACAATATGGAAATTAATGTGAAATTAAAAAACAAAGTATTAATAGAAAGGTAATGACTGTCCTGTGTAGGTGACAGTGATATCGAATAGGCTAGGCACTCACGAGGCTGGCTGTGGCAAGTGTAAGTGAAAGCAACACGCACTGGCAGGAAGAACAGCAAACGCCGATGAAGGAAAAGGGTCTTTGCAGTGATGGGCGTTACCAGAGAGGGCGATGGCCAGAGGACACAAATGGGACGGGGAGGCAGCACGTTGGGGGGGGGGGGGGCGACACGGCTCGGGCCCGCCAGTGCCCCAACGGGGTCCTAGTTAGGGCCCGAGCGTAGCTGCTAAGCAGCTGCGAGAGCCCTCTTGTTCCTGTAGTTTCCTTCTTTTGTTATTATTATTATTTTTCCTCCCCTTTGAACTGGAAAATGGCCCACTTCCCACTGGCGAAAACTCATGAAATTTGGCAGGACAACCGGGCCTGGTGAAAAATTTGATATTCTGAAGTCGCCCAAACAATAAAATGCAAAATGGCTCCATAGCGCCCCCTAAGGTGAAAATTCACACTATTCACTGTCACGCCTGTACGCTTTGTCAAAATGACACAAAAATTGACACACACATGTATCTCAATAAGATCTACAAAAAAGTCAGTGCGGGCGTATCTGTCAAATGTACGGTTAAAGGGTTATTTCGCATTTTTTGCCGATCCGCACACATTGGAATTTCGCTAACTCCTCCGAAGGCTTTCGTTCCACCGGCACCACATTTGCTCAGGCCAATCTACACCCCATGGCCATTAAAAGTTATTCAAATCATGACGCTGCACCCCACGGTTTACGTTCTAGGGGGCGCCAAAGATAACCCAAAAATCCACATTTTTAAAAGTCTTATAACTTTTTATTTTTGTCCTCACTGGCCTCCAAGTTTTCTAGGATGATGCAATGTCCAGCCATCAACACATTTGTGAAGGAATTTTTACTCCCCAAAAGAGCGCCCCCCCATGGCAGGAGAAAAAAGTCCATTTTTTCTTGTCCCCTAAGTTGAAAATACACATTGTTGACTGTCACGCCTGTACGCTTTGGCAAAATGACACAAAAATTGACAATCATGTGTATCTCAATTAGATCTACGAAAAAGTCAAAGAGCGCGTATCTGTATAATGTACGGTAAAAGGGCTATTTTGCATTTTTTGCCGATTCGCACACATTGGAATGTGGCTAACTCCTCCTAAGGCTTTCGTCCCACCGACACCAAATTTGCTCAGGCCAATCTACACTCCATGGCCATTCAAAGTTGTAAAAATCATGACGCTGCACCCCACGGTTTACGTTTTAGGGGGCGCCAAAGATGACCCAAATATACATTACAGTAGACAAAGTAGTTTTGCCCACTGAGTGGCGCCAAAGGGACTTGTCTGTGGAGTCTGTGAGTCACTATTGGCCGTTTTTGACTACTTTAGATTTTACCTTTATATTTCCTCTTACAAAATTTTTACCTTGCCTTGCCTGGTATCATTTTTTTCAGCACAACCTCACCTGTGTCAATTTACAGTTATTTTATCATTTTGACATACTATATTTACACATTGGACCCAAATTCACACACAAAACATAAAATCCGAGTGGAAAAAAGTAACGTTTTTACTGTGAAAACCACAAATATGTGTGATGAACTGTTTTTAAAACTTAAACTTCAAATAAAAATTGTAAACTTCAAAACATATGCAAATTTTTAACAAAGAACATAGTAATTTACCTCTATTTACATCAAAATGCAGGCAATGGCCCAGGTGTTCTTTGTAAAATTATTTACAAAACACTGTAAAGTCTCACAAATGTCACTTTTTATTTATGCCACTACAAAAAAACATGATGTAAATGATGCATGATGTAAAACATGATGTAAAAAACTTGTGTAGATCCTCCTCTATGTTAGTCCATGTGTAATTTTTCCATAATTCTTTGTTTTTTGCAGCATTTTTGTTAGTGTAACTGCAGATTGTGCTGACAGTGTCTATGGCACAAAAAAAAAAAAACTGAAAATGCCTCAACATGAACCCCTGGTGGTCTCTGAGGGTGAAACCTGCTAACTGCTGCAGCTCTGTCAGCTTCAGTCTCCCATGCAGAGCTCTGAGCACATGTGTGGCTCTGCACCCTTAGCAGCGTTGCTAACTCCTCAGTAAGGAAAGCCTGCTTCATGTCAGAGTCTCTAAACTCCAGAAGAAGTCGATAAAAGTCACTTTCTTTCTAAAAAAAAGTCGTTAGGGGGTCTGAAAAGTCATTGAATCTAACAACAAAGTCGCTAGGTTTGCAACTACGTGTCCCAGACTGCATCCCTGCTGAGAGTCCCTCCCTCCCTTCTCATGTTGCAGGAAGAACGTAAGCGCCCGCCCCTTGTCAATCAGTCACCATATAATTTTGGATTGGTTGTTGTGGTGAAGTTTTCCACCAATAGGAGAGATGTTGTGGTGTGTTTTTTTTTTCTTTTGGCAAGCCTTTTCCGCCTGTAAGACCTGTCGCTAATGTCTGCATGCTATGTTTTCCTGTCTCATACAGCGCGGTCGAGCGCCAAACGTGATCAAAATAAGCAGAAAAAAAGTATCGCGGACATAATTTATCATAACTCTGGTTTTATTTGGCCTATCAACACAATTTAAAAACTGGTATATAGGTTGAGGTCCTCACTTTTGAGATAAGTTGAAACGGAGAGTCAACGAGTCTCCGTCTTGCAGCTACATCCGGTTAAATATGTCATGTGACTTGAACGCACACACAGACACACACACGCACACACACACACACACACACACACACACACACACACACACACACACTCAGAGTCTGGTTTTTAGCACCTGCAAAAACATGCTATTTACATATTTGACAAGAATGCAGAGGCTCCTTTTGCCCCTGAAAAAAATCAAATTTCAAACACAACTTGACTGGTCATTTCTCCAAAAGACAACCATGAAGCTCCATCCAAACCTGAAGCAGGCAGTTGGTGCATGCAGTAGCGGTTCGAGGCACGGGCGAACAGGGCAGCCGCCCGGGGCGGCATTTGTGTTATGACTCATGGGGGGCGGCACGAGCACTTCTAAAAAATAAAATAAAAGATAATGATAATAAATCTTAACCGCAAAGAGGTTTTGTATCAACTCTTGTTGTCAAATTGGCGCCCCCCCCCCCCCCCCCCGCTGCTGTAGGCGCCCCTGCTTGCTCCGAAGGTGCTGCACAGAGGCTGACAGACTGTGTGAGACGAGGTGGGGAGAGAGTCGCGGGGGCGACAGCTCTCCTCTGTGTACGCATGTCAGCATATCAGCGGGAGCGCGGCTGCGCATTTTTACTCTGCCGGGAGCGCGGACACGTCATTTTGTAACATTCTGTAGTTTTTTAATCATTTCTGGAGTCTTGGTGAATGAAATCACCGTACCCGTCTGCCTTTGATAGGCGAATAAAGCGCTCGGGTTCATGCTCGGATCTTGCTACGTGCTTGATGAGCTTCATGAGTGAAGTAAACAATGACGGAGGCAGAGAGCAGCTTAAGAGGAGAAACATCCAGCAGTGTGAACAAACTCTTCATATAGAGTGCTTTGGCTCACACTATCAGTGTTTTCTGTGAGTGTTGAATGACTTTGGGTGAGAACAGAGATAAACACACTGTCAGCCACGTATTTATTTATTCATTTTTTAGTTTTTAGTTCTGCTTTTGTACTGGCACTATACTGGGGCAGCTGTATACCCTTTCAACACCTTATTTTCTATATTTACATTTGTATTGAATGGACACTTTATCATGACTGCCACTTTATTTTACAGAAAGCAAATTATTTGTCATTCTCCAGTGCAGAGCCTTTACTTTTATTTATACAGCCGCTTCATTTCATTTAAGTTTGTTTGTTCAAGGTTTTCAAAAATGTGATGAAGGTTCGCAAAACTAAAAGAGAGCTTTCTTGAAAGCCACATGTATAAGCTCTCAAATACTTTTTAGGGCCCGAGCCAGCTGCAGAGCAGCCGGGCGTAGGCCCTATTATTCCCCAAGTGGTTTTTCTTTGTTTCTTTCTTTCTTTTTAGGGCCCGAGCCAGCTGCAGAGCAGCCGGGCGTAGGCCCTATTATTCCCCAAGTGGTTTTTCTTTGTTTCTTTCTTTCTTTCTTTCTTAGGGCCCGAGCCAGCTGCAGAGCAGCCGGGCGTAGGCCCTATTATTCCCCAAGTGGTTTTTCTTTGTTTCTTTAGGGCCCGAGCGTAGCTGCTAAGCAGCTGCGAGAGCCCTCTTGTTCCTGTAGTTTCCTTCTTTTGTTATTATTATTTTT